TAAAAAACTATTTTCTACATTGTAGAATAATAGTGAAGACATCAAAACTATGAAATAACACATACAGTGGGGAAAACAAGTATTTAGTCAGCCACCAATTGTGCAAATTCTCCCACTTAAAAAGATGAGAGAGGCCTGTAATTTTCATCATAGGTACACGTCAACTATGACAGACAAATTAAGAATTTGTTTTTATTTTTATGAATTTATTTGCAAATTATGGTGGAAAATAAGTATTTGGTCACCTACAAACAAGCAAGATTTCTGGCTCTCACAGACCTGTAACTTCTTCTTTAAGAGGCTCCACTGTCCTCCACTCGTTACCTGTATTAATGGCACCTGTTTGAACTTGTTATCAGTATAAAAGACACCTGTCCACAACCTCAAACAGTCACACTCCAAACTCCACTATGGCCAAGACCAAAGAGCTGTCAAAGGACACCAGAAACAAAATTGTAGACCTGCACCAGGCTGGGAAGACTGAATCTGCAATAGGTAAGCAGCTTGGTTTGAAGAAATCAACTGTGGGAGCAATTATTAGGAAATGGAAGACATACAAGACCACTGATAATCTCCCTCGATCTGGGGCTCCACACAAGATCTCACCCCGTGGGGTCAAAATGATCACAAGAACGGTGAGCAAAAATCCCAGAACCACACGGGGGGACCTAGTGAATGACCTGCAGAGAGCTGGGACCAAATTAACAAAGCCTACCATCAGTAACACACTACGCCGCCAGGGACTCAAATCCTGCAGTGCCAGACGTGTCTCCCTGCTTAAGCCAGTACATGTCCATGCCCGTCTGAAGTTTGCTAGAGTGCATTTGGATGATCCAAAAGAGGATTGGGAGAATGTCATATGGTCAGATGAAACCAAAATAGAACTTTTTGGTAAAAACTCAACTCGTCGTGTTTGGAGGACAAAGAATGCTGAGTTGCATCCAAAGAACACCATACCTACTGTGAAGCATGGGGGTGGAAACATCATGCTTTGGGGCTGTTTTTCTGCAAAGGGACCAGGATGACTGATCCGTGTAAAGGAAAGAATGAATGGGGCCATGTATCGTGAGATTTTGAGTGAAAACCTCCTTCCATCAGCAAGGGCATTGAAGATGAAACGTGGCTGGGTCTTTCAGCATGACAATGATCCCAAACTCACCGCCCGGGCAACGAAGGAGTGGCTTCGTAAGAAGCATTTCAAGGTCCTGGAGTGGCCTAGCCAGTCTCCAGATCTCAACCCCATAGAAAATCTTTGGAGGGAGTTGAAAGTCTGTGTTGCCCAGCGACAGCCCCAAAACATCACTGCTCTAGAGGAGATCTGCATGGAGGAATGGGCCAAAATACCAGCAACAGTGTGTGAAAACCTTGTGAAGACTTACAGAAAACGTTTGACCTGTGTCATTGCCAACAAAGGGTATATAACAAAGTATTGAGAAACTTTTGTTATTGACCAAATACTTATTTTCCACCATAATTTGCAAATAAATTCATTAAAAATCCTACAATGTGATTTTCTGGAATTTTTTTTCTCATTTTGTCTGTCATAGTTGACGTGTACCTATGATGATAATTACAGGCCTCTCTCATCTTTTTAAGTGGGAGAACTTGCACAATTGGTGGCTGACTAAATACTTTTTTTCCCCACTGTATGGAATCATGTAGTAACCAAAAAAAGTTATATTTGAGATTCTTCAAATAGCCACCCGTTGCCTTGATGACAACTTTGCACACTCTTGGCATTCTCTCAACCAGCTTCATGAGGTAGTCACCTGGAATGCATTTCAATTAACAGGTGTACCTTCTTAAAAGTTAAGTTGTGGAATTTCTTTCCTCCTTAATGCGTTTGAGCCAATCAGTTGTGTTGTGACAAGGTAGGGGGGGTATACAGAAGATAGCCCTGTTTGGTAAAAGTCCATATTATGGCAAGAACAGCTCAAATAAGCAAAGGGAAACGACAGTCCATCATTACTTTTAAGACATGATGGTCAGTCAATACAGAACATTTCAAGAACTTTGAGTTTCTTCAAGTGCAGTCGCAAAAACCATCAAGCGCTATGATGAAACTGGCTCTCATGAGGACCGCCACAGGAATGGAAGACCCAGAGTTACCTCTGCTGCAGAGGATAAGTTCATCAGAGTTACCAGGCTCAGAAATTGCAGCCCAAATAAATGCTTCACAGAGTTCAAGTCACAGACACATCTCAACATCAACTGTTCAGAGGGGACTGTGTGAATCAGGCCTTCATGGTCGAATTGCTGCAAAGAATCCACTACTAAAGGACACCAATAAGAAGAAGAGACCTGTTTGGGCCAAGAAACATGAGCAATGGACATTAGACCGTGGAAATGTGTCCTTTGGTCTGGAGTCCAAATTTGAGATTTGTGGTTCCAACCGCCGTGTCTTTGTGAGACGCGGTGTGGGTGAACGGATGATCTCCACATGTGTAGTTCCCACCGTAAAGCATGGAGGAGGAGGTGTTATGGTGTGGGGGTGCTTTGCTGGTGACACTGTCTGTGATCTATTTAGAATTCAAGGCACACTTAACCAGCATGGCTACCACATCATTCTGCAGCGATAGGCCATCCCATCTGGTTTGGGCTTAGTGGGACTATCATTTGTTTTTTAACAGGACAATGACCCAGCACACCTCCAGGCTGTGTAAGGGCTATTTTACCAAGAAGGAGAGTGATGGAGTGCTGCATCAGATGACCTGGCCTCCACAATCCCCCGACCTCAACCCAATTGAGATGGTTTGGAATGAGTCGGACGGCAGAGTGAAGGAAAAGCAGCCAACAAGTGCTCGGCATATGTGGGAACTCCTTCAAGACTGTTGGAAAAGCATTCCAAGTGAAGCTGGTTGAGAGAATGCCAAGAGTGTGCAAAGCTGTCATCAAGGCAAAGGGTGGCTATTTGAAGAATCTCAAATATAAAATATATTTTGATTTGTTTAACACTTTTTTTTGGTTACTACATGATTCCATATGTGTTATTTCATAGTTTTGATGTCTTCACTATTATTCTACAATGTAGAAAATAGTACAAATAAAGAAAACCCCATGAATGAGTAGGTGTGTCCAAACTTTTGACTGGTACTGTATGTGTGGGACAAGACCAATGAAACATTCAGCCCACTGCTTAATTTGTCCCCAATCATTCCACCCAAAAGAAACCTGCCCTTAAACTTCTTCGTGACTCTCTGGAATGCCCCTTTGCACAAAATGGGCAAGCAACATCAGAACACACATCAGAACTGGGTGCTGGGACTGAGTCCACTAGCCAGTAACCCTGCACCATCTGTGTGCGACCTTAATAACTAGTGCAGTGATTTATTGGTCCTACTCAGCAGTGTCTTTTTGGGGGGACCAAAGACACCCCCCACCACCCCCTGTGTTTTTTAATAGAACTGCAGGAACGTGCATGAAAGCAGTGGTGAGGTGGGGGCTTCAGCCTTTCAGGACAAGATGCCACTGATCTAGTGGTTAAAAAGATTAAATGTCCAGAAAATGAGCTCAGAGTTTTCTTGGCTAGAAAATATGATCTGAAAGTCAAGTTACTGTTCCTTAAAAAGTTAGTGATGGTACAGATGTTTTCTATCATTTCAGCCAGTAGTTTTGAAAGTGGCGCTCACAAGCCTAAACGGCTCCCTGAAAATTGTGCACAATTCTGTACGTCATCCATTTCGTATATATCTTACGTCCTAAAAAAAAAACATTTTTTGGAATATTCATGTTACGAATTCCAATCGTACAATATGTTAAGATTTTGTAAGTGCTTAAGATCCCGTTGAATATCTTTAAGAGTAGGCCTATTTTTTTCTTTGAGAACACCAGCCGTAGGTTGGCTACAAGATTTTCTTTCTACCATGTCGATGCTAGCTACCCACCATAGATCCACTTAGAGCAGAGCTCTCATCTCCCCCTTCCCTCAGTCAGTAGCCTAAATGTTTTTATAGCTTTGTTGTGTATTGCAGCATTGTCATGTGAACTGCTTACATTGAGCCCCCCCATGTCACCTCCTGAGGCCGATAAGGAGCCCTAGTGAAAAGCCTGGTCTTATCTGTTCCCCATGCTCTGATGCTGGCCTTGCTTTATGGGTAGTACCTCTTTTGTCTCGTTTCTTTCTCTCCCCTGATCACTCTGACTCACTCATTGCCCATGGAAGTTGTTTGAAGGCCCAGAAAAGCTTTGCAAAAGACACACCCACCCTCCCTCCCTCCCTCCCTCCATTCCACTCTCTTCTCCTTCGTTCCCTCTTTATTGAATCCCGCCTCCATATCATTTATCTCTGCACCCCCTCTCCTTTTCTCCTCCGTTTGAGGGGGCCTTAAAGGGGCATCCTCCTTTCTCTCCCAGCTGGGTTTGTTGACACACAGTGAATCTAGGGTTCTCTTTCACCCCCGTCCACCACCCCTCTTTTTACCCTCGCCCCCCTCACCCCACCCCTCCTCGCCCCTCTCTGAACAGTAAAGCTGCCACAGCTGTGGACTGTATTAGCATAGCTGCTGAAGAGGAGGGGGGTGCTAAATATATTACAGCCATTACCTTTTTGTTTGAGCGGTGACAGTTTTTAAAAAATTTCAGCTTTTCACTGGGCCAAGGGAGGGAGCACAAAGGAGCGCCACTATGATTCTATTGAAACTGCTTTTTAAATATGGGTCAGAAAGCTAGCGTGATTCGGAGGGAGGGGGTTCAGAGCGTGAAAAGCTGTGTGAAACCTATTGGAGTCAAAAACAAGTGAGTAAGTCGTTTGTTATAGAAAAAATGAATTAATGCATTAAGAAATGCATAACATTTTTAAAATAAGTGGCTGAAAAACAAACAAGTGCACGATATTTGACCTAAATTCAGATTTCTCCCCCCCCCCCTAATTTCCAAACAACATTTTTTCAGCCAGGACATCCCATAGTGGTAAAAACTATTTGATTTTCAGATGAAAATGTGAGCTAGCTTCAGACCGAAGTATCAAGAGACTGACATTTGGATGGTCCTGTATTTCCATTGGCAGGTGGAGATATGAGCAAGACCAGATCCAGCTGGGACAAGAGGGCCCCCCAGGGGCCTGCCCTCACCAGGGTGACCCGTAGCTGCATTCCCCAGGCCAGGCACATAGAGCCACCCCAGCCCCAGGACTCTGGGCCTGGCCCACATGGGACCCAGCAGAGGAAGCAGACAGACTCAGCCCTACCCCTGGCCCAGGACCTCAGTCTAATGAGTGTGAGTGGACAGGACACCTCACTACCACGGTAATTCCAGTTACATTAGTCATGCAGAATATTTTCAGTAATCCAGTTGGATGGATAGTTGTACTTCTTGCATTTGGGAAGACCTGATTGTTTGATAAATCGATGTATTCTGCTCTCTATTCCATTACACAGCAAATACCTTTTATAAAATTGAGAACAGCACAACATTGGAGATTCTGGAGTCGCAGATGTGACAATAAGATTGAATAATGATTTTCTAACTTTGTTTCAGGAAAGGGAGGGTGTTTAAGGGCAGCAGTGGCCCCATCCAGGGGGGTCCGTCGTCCTCTGGCTCTAAGCCCACACAGAGCTCCCCCTCTCGGCCGGCAGTGAATCCCTCTCCCCGGGGGGGCCTGGCTGCTGTGTCTCGGCTGGTGAAGCTGGGCCGCTGCAAGAACGTGGTGGTGGTGGCCGGCGCAGGCATCAGTACGGCCAGCGGTATCCCAGACTTTAGGTGGGGTTGTGGGTGCATGTCCTCTGGGTTCTAGAGTATACTCTCTCTCTCGCTTGTTTTTGTCTCACTCCAATGTGTGTTTCTATGCTCCCTCCCACTAGGACCCCGGGCACAGGGCTGTACGCCAACCTGGCCAAGTACAACATCCCCTACCCGGAGGCCATCTTCAACATCGAGTACTTCTCCAATGACCCTCGGCCATTCTTCTCCCTGGCGAAGGAGCTGTACCCGGGCAGCCACCGACCCAACTACATCCACTACTTCATCCACATGCTGCACCACAAGGGCCTGCTGCTCCGCATGTACACCCAGAACATTGACGGCCTGGAGAAGAGTGAGTTTGGGGGGGGGCTGGATGGGTCTTTTGAGAAAATGAATCAGCTCATAAGTTTATAAGGACATTAGCTATATTTGAAGTCTACTCGTCCTTCAATAAAAGGTGTGGTAGAAAACAGAAAGCACAGGGTTTCAGAGCTGCACAGAATTTCAGCATGCCATCATAGTGACAGAACAGGGGCAGGGGTTAAACTTAAACAGGCAGTATCATCTCAAACAACTGACATTTAAAGACGTGAGAAAGGACATCACAATCCATGTTTCATCCTCTCCCCTTAACAGTAAGTGGCATCCCAGACGAGAAGCTTGTGGAGGCTCATGGCAGTTTTGCAACTGCTTCCTGTCACCTGTGCTACACCCCGTTCCCTGCACAGGAGGCCAAGGTAAACTGGGGCAAAGGTCACCAGCCCATGCCAATTACAGGTGGTCAGCAAAATATCAGAAATGAAAATAACTTATTAATTCACAAAATCCACAAAGAGATGGAAATAATAAGCCACCAGTTTGTAACACAGATGAATATGGACTTGATTCAGTGTTTGCGTTTTAAGAATATTCAAGACACTCAAAAGCTAGGGCTAAACAGCCTAAAGTAGCCCATGGAAATCTTTGACCAACTTCTTCTTCTCTTTGATGACCGTCTCTTCCAGAGTGCCATAATGAGTGACGAGGTCCCGGTCTGTACATTCTGCCAGGCCACGGTCAAACCGGACATAGTGTTCTTTGGAGAGGACCTTCCTGAGAAGTACTTCCAGCATTCTAAAGACTTCCCTAAAGCCGACCTGCTCATCATCATGGGCACGTCTTTACAGGTGAACCTAAAAACTCTGTAAAGCGTCTGCAGAAATTAAACGTATATAGGATACTAACACAGGACCGCACCACACGGCCAACTACTCCACACTATTTGTCACTTGAGTTCAGTTGCCTTTACAAACTTAAAAACAGCCTAAGACCTATGTTGAAAATAAGCACACACAAAAAAGTGAACCAATGTCATAACATCAGCTTTCTTTCTATGGATCTGACTCACCATGTCTCACATCACGTGGTTTCTGCCAGATCGAGCCCTTTGCCAGCCTGGTGAACACAGTGAGGTCCACGGTCCCGCGGCTGCTCCTGAACCGGGACGCAGTGGGTCCCTTTCAGAAGGTGCCCCTGAGGAGGGGCGACTACATAGAGCTGGGCGACCTGCTGGACACGGTCAGGAGGTTTGCCGAATTCCTAGGGTGGCATTCCGATATCCAAGACCTGATGACCAGTCAGGAAACTGGGGTATGTACAATGCAACACTTTCTACATATATTCAGTTTATAGGCCAGTGTCATTTCTAGTGGCATCTGCTTAAAATGTAGGCTGTTTGGACTAGCTTGCTCTCTCTTGGTTTGTCATGGGCATAGATTAGTATTTTTCTGTGTTGTGAACTAAACTGGTTATGTCATTTCTCTGCAGACCATCCCTACTCTGGTAAGCAGTGTTCCAGTAAGCAATGTTCCATCAGGAAATGGCCGGGGCCGAGGAGGGCCCACCCAGACCAAAGCCACCGGCCTGGGGAGGAGAGGGGCGTCGGAGCCCCGAGGAAGGTTGCCCCCTAAGTCCAGGCCAGGGGCCCGGGGCCCCACCAATGGCAGCAGTGAGGAGAGCGACTCAGAGACAGACAGCAAGAGCACAGTGTCATCCAGCCCAAGTAACTGAAACTGAACATGTCCCCTTGGCCCCCCAAAAAAGACACTCACTTTTATTGGTTGAGGAAATACTGGAAAAGGTTTGTGTCAGCGTCTGCTGACGTGTGCATGTGTACAGTATGAATGTTTCAAATCAATGCAAATTAGAAGCACTTAACTTTTTTCAAATCCACTCAACAGCCCATTCAAACGGTCACATTTTCAGCACATAAGTGAACCTCCTCGTTGTTTGAAATGGTCGGCCAAAGTGAGGATTCTGGGTTTGTCTAAATGGGGTGGGGGTGGTGTTGGGGGCTTGGGCTTGTGCCCAGCTCGTAGAGGACAGTGGTAAATTACCATGGGAGGCGTGACCTCCTGAGTGTGCAGTGTCCCGCTGTGTGTGTTCTCACAGACACCGCTGCCACCGAGTGGGGGGCTCCATCCAAAACTCATAAATGTCTCTGCCCCTCAACAAAGGAGTCAAGGACCCAATATCTGTGTATGTGCGCATTTGTGTTGGTTCACGCTGTATTTTTTTAATGAAAGATGAGAAACGTATGCAGTTTGCTCTGAGATACAGGTTCCATGCTCTGTCAATGTTGGCCAAATGCAAGTATTCCATTTTGCACAAACTCAATGCACACTGTTCTCCACAGGTCAATTGTACACCTGTCTATGCAGTACTACTCTGGGATTCAACACTTCACATTTTTAATTAAAGACCGTTGAGCACTTGTATTTAAGACAAAGTTATCAGATGACCCAAGACTTGCATGAATGGTCTAGTAGGGCAGTTTCCTTTTTCATCATCCTCATGAAAGGTTCAGAGGTTTACAATTTCAACGCAGTCAAAGTTTATTCAACTACAGTATATAAGGGTTGTCCTTTAAATTCAGATGTTTGTGGGTTTTAACTGTGTACTTAATGTATTCCCTATGGTTAGATTTATTTTGGACAGCACTGTATTGTTTGTTATATTAATTGTGCAAAACCCCCATAAATTGTCAACTTTAGCCTTGCGTTTGTCTTCTTTCAGTGTTGTATTAGACTGAGAAATGATTGCGCAAAAAATGCACCAAGTCCTATCTCACGTCTATTTCTGTGATTGGTACACAAACGGAAAGTCCAAAATGTGGTGTTAAAAAATACAATTCAGGATGGTTCATGTTTCATTTTTAATAACTTTGTGAAATAGAGGCCTGACAATATAGATATATAAAAACAATAATTTACTTAGTGTTTACAGTGTGGTTACATTTTCAGTCAGATGAAATATACATAAACACACATTTTTTCCTTCCAAACGGGAAACCAAGTGATCAACGTGTGTGTGCTCCATTCAGTTTTTGTGTGCGGAGGACAACTAACATTGCCTGATGACTCAAACTGAATTCTTCACATCATGTCAGTGTTCTTCAGGTCGGAAAGTCGGAGCTCTAGAAAGATGCCAGAGTTTCCAATTTGGAATTCCATGTTGGATGACTGTTCAAAGCTATTTTTCCCAGTCCGGTTCTTCACTTGGAAGTCAGAGATTTGAGTAAGCAGTTGTTTTGAACATCAGACCAGACTGATGACAGAGAAGAAACTAACGTCCGTGGGCATGGCCTAGAGTTTGGCAGGAGCAAGGAGTTTGGGTAGCGAGACAAAAACTGACGGAGTATAGTTAAAATATTAATATTATTTTACAAGATAATTCTGTTGTTCTAGCTATTTTCACAAATCTTTCTGTTCTCATTCGCTGTGAATTATTACAGTGAGAGTATTTCTTTGCCTGTATTAGTCACTCTAAATATGTAATTTAACACTTTCTTTCCTCATGAGCCCTGTTTATACCTGGTGCCAACATTGGTCCGGTGTCCTTGTCCACATTCTGATTGTGCCCACATTTTTAGAAAGGTATAGACAGTTAAAATAACTGATTGTGATCAGATCTTTCCGACCACCTCCGGAGGTAGTCGGGACTGATTGGTGGATGAAAGCTCAGTGAGCAGATCTTCGTGACAGGTCAGTAGGTGAGAGTGAAATAAAGAAAAGGCTTACAGGGAGGTACGTTGGAGGGCGTTAAATGTGGGTTGCAACACACAAGGTTGCCAGTTCAAATCCCAATGCGTTTTTTGTTTAACAGCCTACCCAACTTACTTTTGTGTGTGTGTGTATATATAGTGTATGTGGACACCCCTTCAAATTAGTGGATTCGGCTAGTTCAGCCACACTCTTTGCTGACAGGTGTATAAAAATCGAGCACACAGCCATGCAATCTCCATATACAAAAATTGGCAGTAGAATGGCCTTACTGAAGAGCTCAGTGACTTTCAACATTGCACAGTCATAGGATGCCACCTTTCCAACAAGTCAGTTCGTCAAATTTCTGCCCTGCTAGAGCTGCCCCAGTCAACTGGAAGTGCTGTTATTGTGAAGTGGAAACATCTAGGAGCAACAACGGCTCAGCCACGAAGTGGTAGGCCACACAAGCTTACAGAAAGGGACTGCTGAAGCGCGTTGCGCAAAAAAATAGTCTGTCCTCAGTTGCAACACTCACTACTGAGTTACAAACTGCCTCTGGAAGCAACGTCAGCACAATAACTGTTCATCGGGAGCTTCATGAAATGAGTTTCCATGGCCGAGCAGCCTAGGATCACCATGCGCAATGTCGGCTGGAGTGGTAAAATGTCGGTAAAGCTTGCTTCACCAGCTGGCATTCCGACAGACGAATCTGGGTTTGGCGGATGCCAGGAGAACGCTACCTGCCTGAATGCATAGTGCCAACTGTAAAGTTTGGTGGAGGAGGAATAATGGTCTGGGGCTGTTTTTCATGGTTCGGCTAGGCCTCTTAGTTCCAGTGAAGGGAAATCTTAACAAATGACATTCTAGACGATTCTGTTCTTCCAACTTTATGGCAACAGTTTGGGGAAGGCCCTTTCCTGTTTCAGCATGACAATGCCCCCGTGCACAAAGCGAGGTCCATACAGATATGGTTTGTCGAGATCGGTGTGGAAGAACTTGACTGGCCTGCACAGAGCCCTGACCTCAACCCCATCGAACACCTTAGGGATGAATTGGAACGCTGACTGCGAGCCAGGCCTAATCGCCCAACATCCGTGCCCGACCTCACTAATGCTCTTGTGACTGAATGGAAGCAAGTCCCCGCAGCAATGTTCTAACATCTAGTGGAAAACCTTCCCAGAAGAGTGGAGGCTGTTATAGCAAAGGGTGGGAATCAACTCCATATTAATGCCCATGATTTTCGAATGAGATGTTTGACAAGCGGGTGTCCACATACTTTTGATCATGTAGTGTACTTAACACATTTCTAGGGCTCTATTCAATCTGTATTGTGGAAGTTCAGCTTTATAACGCGATTGAAAATTAAAGGCAATGTTCCCGCGGTCGCGGAGACTGCAATCACGGTTAATGCTGCATATGTTGGCTCAATCGGAAATTACCTTTACATTTCTAGCACGTAATCTGTACAGGTGTCCGCATGCTTCTCATCCAAAACATGTGCATATGTTGTGATGACATTGTGACGTTTTAGTCTTCGGCAAGGGTTTTTTCGGCTGTTAGTGCACATTTTTTCTAGAGGTAAACCGAAGTTCGGTAGCCGAAGTTTACGCCCCTTCGTCGGTGATTGGTAAACAGTAGGGATTCTTCAATTAAGTATTTGTCATCATTCAACGAGACACTACTTGTTTTTTCACTTGAGAAATACTGAAACAAACATTAGTTAGATGTAAAAATGCATGACTAAGATCGCCTAGGCAAAAATGTCAAAATTAATGACAGATTTTTAAAGTTATTTTAGATTAATTCGGACTATTGAGGACGTGTATACTGGCTACGGCATGTCAAGAGGGACAAACAGTACTATTGCGAAGGTCTTTTAAGGGAGTATGCAAGACAGACGCTCACTTTGCCTTGTCGAGCAAACCAAACCTAGTATGCAGACACCTTAACTCTTCATTGATACAGATTGAATAGAGCCCCTAATCTACTGATTTTGCTGGCATTCTTGCCTGATTACATTGCAGATGCCTGCCATATCTCACAACGCTAGGATAGGTGTTTAACATAGATAACCAAGTCATATGATATAGCAATTTGGTGCCCGACTGCAAAGTCGATGAGGTGGCGCACAACCATTGGTTGATGTAATGCTTGTAGTCAAGCAGGAACGCCACCATTCTAAATTACTGACTGAACAAATGTATATATGTGAGACCACTAGGCACTGGGATAGGACCCAGCAGGTCACATATTTATCTTGCTGATACCCTTTCTCAAAAAAGGTGTATTTATAGCCCTGGTTACACCTTGCATTAATGTGGTTTGGTTGAACTGATCAAGATAATCCAGTTCAATCCGAATCAGAACACATGTTAGCACCAGGTATAAAGGGAGCTAAAGGAATACTCTCCTTCACACATGCCATGATTGCCAGATAAAATCTAAGGGACACACTTGAGACTGTGGTGCTGTGCACTAACCAAAGAACCATACCTCAACCGTGCCATTTTCTTGAAATGGAGTGATGGTCAACAATGTAATAAACTCAACCTGTACAGGCCTATGCATCTATTCAATATGCAGCAATATACAATAGTCAAGGAAATGTAACTCAGTATCTATATACCAGTAGATTATACATATATAAAATCAATAGCATCTTCAAAATAGAAAAATCATACCGATTTTGAACTATCATTTTAACACCATGCAGAATTGGCTAATGAAAGTTACATTTAGAAAACAGTCATTTGAATACACATTTCTGAATGTCAAGAGTACCCAATGGGTAAGGCAGAAACCATCCAAATACTACACCCACCATAGGATATTGGAATATGTTGCCGTTTTTCCCCCTGTAGCTTTGACTATTCCTTGGTCTTGTGTGCTTATGAAGTAAATTGCAACATCTAAGGTTTAGGTTTAAAATAACAGTACACAGCTATGATACATGTCCACCTGGACTCTGTTTCAGAAGCATTCAGTGAGGGGGAAAAAGTATTTGATCCCCTACTGATTTTGTACATTTGCCCACTGACAAAGAAATGATCAGTCTATAATTTTAATGGTAGGTTTATTTGAACAGTGAGAGACAGAATAACAACAACAAAATCCAGAAAAACGCATGTCAAAAATGTTATAAATTTATTTGCATTTTAATGAGGGAAATAAGTATTTGACCCCCTCTCAATCAGAAAGATTTCTGGCTCCCAGGTTCTTTTATACAGGTAACGAGCTGAGATTAGGAGCACACTCTTAAAGGGAGTGCTCCTAATCTCAGTTTGTTACCTGTATAAAAGACACATGTCCACAGAAGCAATCAATCAATCAGATTCCAAACTCTCCACCATGGCCAAGACCAAAGAGCTCTCCAAGGATGTCAGGGACAAGATTGTAGACCTACACAAGGCTGGAATGGGCTACAAGACCATCGCCAAGCAGCTTGGTGAGAAGGTGACAACAGTTGATGCGATTATTTCGCAAATAGAAGAAACAAAAGAACTGTCAATCTCCCTCGGCCTGGGGCTCCATGCAAGATCTCACCTTGTGGAGTTGCAATGATCATGAGAACGGTGAGGAATCAGCCCAGAACTACACGGGAGGATCTTGTCAATGATCTCAAGGCAGCTGGGACCATAATCACCAAGAAAACAATTGGTAACACACTACGCCGTGAAAGACTGAAATCCTGCAGCGCCCGCAAGGTCCCCCTGCTCAAGAAAGCACATATACAGGGCCGTCTGAAGTTTGCCAATGAACATCTGAATGATTCAGAGGAGAACTGGGTGAAAGTGTTGTGGTCAGATGAGACCAAAATCGAGCTCTTTGGTATCAACTCAACTCGCCGTGTTTGGAGGAGGAGGAATGCTGCCTATGACCCCAAGAACACCATCCCCACCGTCAAACATGGAGGTGGAAACATTATGCTTTGGGGGTGTTTTTCTGCTAAGGGGACATGACAACTTCACCGCATCAAAGGGACGATGGACGGGGCCATGTACCGTCAACCTCCTTCCCTCAGCCAGGGCATTGAAAATGGGTCGTGGATGGGTATTCCAGCATGACAATGACCCAAAACACACAGCCAAGGCAACAAAGGAGTGGCTCAAGAAGAAGCACATTAAGGTCCTGTAGTGGCCTAGGCAGTCTCCAGACGTTAATCCCATAGAAAATCTGTGGAGGGAGCTGAAGGTTCGAGTTGCCAAACGTCAGCCTTGAAACCTTAATGACTTGGAGAAGATCTGCAAAGAGGAGTGGGACAAAATCCCTCCTGAGATGTGTGCAAACCTGGTGGCCAACTACAAGAAACATCTGACCTCTGTGATTGCCAACAAGGGTTTTGCCACCAAGTACTAAGTCATGTTTTGCAGAGGGGTCAAATACTTATTTCCCTCATTAAAATGCAAATCAATTTATAACATTTTTGACATGCGTTTTTCTGGATTTTGTTGTTGTTATTCTGTCTCTCACTGTTCAAATAAACCTACCATTAAATTATATAGACCGATCATGTCTTTGTCAGTGGGCAAACGTACAAAATCAGCAGGGGATCAAATACTTTTTTCTCTCACTGTACATATCGGACTGCTGGCTAAATTACTGCCTGACTTCATGCGTCTCATTATTTCTCTCCATTGACTTCAGACACTGATGTAAAACTAGTGGCTACTGCTCTGATCATTGTAGCACTTGATGTTACAAAAAAAACTAATCCTTATAAATAGACACTTTCAACATGTAAAGAACAAAATCAACATAATTATATCTAAGGAATGATTTCTTATCCAAACTGAATTACAATTTGGTCAAACCCCGGCATCCATGCTTTCAGTGATTCACATCTATACAGCATACAGTACAATGTGATTAAGAGCTATCTTTCATTCTATCAAATTTGAGAGGTGTGAGCAGAGAAATGGTACATCAAATAAATAAAAACATTTAAGTAGTAACAATGGTGTGGTTGGAGCATGTGCTCGACCTTAACCCTGTCCTTTCCTGTGTCGTATCAAGTCAGGCTCAAGTCAGCTTTAGAGAACAGAACAGCATATGGGGCAAGACCCTATCAGTCTGACAGACAGAAGACAGACAGACCTGGGTATGAGGGGACCTCTGTGTTGGACACAGCCTACTATAGGTATATGGGGTCTGGGGTGGTAGTGGCTCTAGTCTGAGTCTGAGCTGCAGCTGTCAGTCGTGGGCTGTCTCAGAGCCTCCTCTAGGGGCGCCAGTGTGCCATCCCTCCTCACCCCCATGGGCCTAATCAGCTGCTGCCTGTGGAGCAGAGAAACACAAACATTACAACTGGGTCGTATTCTCTAGGCACCAAGAAAACAGACATGACACAATGGAGTGTCCAACGCCCACTTGTTTAATTTGGTGGACCAATCTGTTGCTGCCAAAATCCACCTGTGCTGCTTTGAACCCGAACACCCTTTGTGTCAAGTATTCTGCACCTTCTAAAGAGGCCCGTTGTTGAGTGGTGGTGGAACCACTTTCTTTTCTCTTACATCCGGCACTCAAGAACCCTGGATGACGAACCTTCCCTCCTTTATTCACTCAAACACATGTGCGCGCACACACACTCACACACTCTCTCTCTCTCACACTTGTTGTTCATCTCCCTTTCCCCCCCTCTTCTGCAGATCAGTTTAATTACAGGATCAGTGCTCCATTTAATCTCCTCAAAGCCACACCAGGCCCTCTATCCTAATCCAATTATATCTGCACTGTGTGCCACCAGCTCCCTCTCAGATGTGATATCAGTCACAGAATTAGCCAATATAAGTCTTAAAACCAAGGCCCCATTTGCATTCATTTACACTATTCAAACACAAATGAACATGTCATTCCTCATTCCTCCCCCCAAAAACAGAGTAAATCTGAGGAGGACTATGATAAAGAAGTCTTGGTAAGAGTGGGAGGTGAGCCAAATAATATTTTGTTTGTGTGGTATGAATACAGCACCAAAGAAATTTGATCTAATGTCCTTTCAGTCTTTGAGGTTTAGCCTACTTCAGAAAAACACAGACGCACTGAAAACAGTAACACACAACCAAACGGCTCCTAAGAACACTTCAGCATCTCTCAACAGACTGTTTCAGACAGAATTATATTGGCGAACGTACAATCAATAGAGAACAAACTGGACAAGAGCTGTTTGAGACTATCCAATCAACGGGACCTGAAGAACTGTAATATACTATGTTTCTTGGAGTCATGCCTGAACAAGGACATGGATAATATAAATCTAGCTGGTTTTTCGATGCATCGTCGAGACCAAACGGCAGGTTCGGGTACGGTTAAGGGGGGAGGTGTGTGTGTGTCTCTTTGTTAACAACAGCTGGTGCGCAATCTCTAATCTGAATGAAGTCTCAAGGTTTTACTCGCCGGAGTTAGAATACCTCATAAACGGCAGACCATACTATTTACTAAGAGAGTTTTCATCTATATTTTTTGTAGCCGTCTATTTACCACCACTAGCTGTATAGGGCCATAAGCAAACAAGAAAAACATCCAGAGGCGGAGGTGATTTTAATGCAAGGAAAATGAAATCTGTTTTACCTCATTTTTACCAGCATGTCACCTGTGCAACTAGAGGCGGAAAAAAAACTCTACATCACCTTTACTTTAAACACAGAAATACATACAAAGCACTCCCTCGGCCTCCATTTGGCAAATCTGTCCATAACTCTATCCTCCCGATTCCTGCTTACAAGCAAAAACTCAAACAGAGTTTAATAAGTATATAGGTTGAGAACTTTTGTGAAAGAGCACAGTTTGGGGGATATGGCATGTAGAAGCAAACCGGATGGACATCATGAAAATGATCAGAGCGGTTGAGGAAGTTCAGGAGTAAAAACAAACAAAATATAATTATTGTCAAATTGACTGTGTCCATAAAATGTATGTATAAGCTAGAAGTAGAGGCCTAAGCGTTGTTGTTCACTAGTTACTCCAATTAAGGGAGGGGTGGTGGGGTTGGAAAGTAATAAAGGATTATTTAATTTTTTTAAGGATATGTATGTATTTACAGTGAGGGGAAAAAAGTATTTGATCCACTGCTGATTTTGTACGTTTGCCCACTGACAAAGAAATAATCAGTCTATAATTTCAATGGTAAGTTTATTTGAACAGTGAGAGACAGAATAACAACAAAAACATCCAGAAAAACGCATGTCAAAAATGTTATAAATTGATGTGCATTTTAATGAGGGAAATAAGTATTTGACCCCTCTGCAAAACATGACTTAGTACTTCGTGGCAAAACCCTTGTTGGCAATCACAGAGGTTAGATGTTTCTTGTAGTTGGCCACCAGGTTTGCACACATCTCAGGAGCGATTTTGTCCCACTCCTCTTTGCAGATCTTCTCCAAGTCATTAAGGTTTCGAGCCTGACGTTTGGCAACTCAAACCTTCAGCTCCCTCCACAGATTTTCTATGGGATTAAGGTCTGGAGACTGGCTAGGCCACTCCAGGACCTTAATGTGCTTCTTCTTGAGCCACTCCTTTGTTGCCTTGGCCGTGTGTTTTGGGTTATTGTCATGCTGGAATACCCATCCACAACCCATTTTCAATGCCCTGGCTGAGGGAAGGAGGTTCTCACCCAAGATTTGACGGTACATGGCCCCGTCCATCGTCCCTTTGATGCAGTGAAGTTGTCCTGTCCCCTTAGCAGAAAAACACCCCCCAAAGCATAATGTTTCCACCTCCATGTTTGACGGTGGGGATGGTGTTCTTGGGGTCATAGGCAGCATTCCTCCTCCAAACACGCGAGTTGAGTTGATGCCAAAGAGCTCCATTTTGGTCTCATCTGACCACAACACTTTCACCCAGTTCTCCTCTGAATCATTCAGATGTTCATTGGCAAACTTCAGACGGCCCTGTATATGTGCTTTCTTGAGCAGGGGGACCTTGCGGGCGCTGCAGGATTTCAGTCCTTCACAGCGTAGTGTGTTACCAATTGTTTTCTTGGTGACTATGGTCCCAGCTGCCTTGAGATCATTGACAAGATCCTCCCGTGTAGTTCTGGGCTGATTCCTCACCGTTCTCATGATCATTGCAACTCCACGAGGTGAGATCTTGCATGGAGCCCCAGGCCGAGGGAGATTGACAGTTATTTTGTGTTTCTTCCATTTGCAAATAGTCGCACCATGTGTAGGTCTACAATGTTGTCCCTGACATCTTTGGAGAGCTCTTTGGTCTTGGCCATGGTGGAGAGTTTGGAATCTGATTGATTGATTGCTTCTGTGGACAGGTGTCTTTTATACAGGTAACAAGCTGAGATTAGGAGCACTCCCTTTAAGAGTGTGCTCCTAATCTCAGCTCGTTACCTGTATAAAAGACACCTGGGAGCCAGAAATCTTTCTGATTGAGAGGGGGTCAAATACTTATTTCCCTCATTAAAATGCAAATCAATTTATAACATTTTTGACATACGTTTTTCTGGATTTTTGTGTTGTTATTCTGTCTCTCACTGTTCAAATAAACCTACCATTAAAATTATAGACTGATCATTTCTTTGTCAGTGGGCAAATGTACAAAATCAGCAGGGGATCAAATACTTTTTTCCCTCACTGTATATACACATGTATATGTATGTACAGTTGAAGTCGGAAGTTTACATACACTTAGGTTGGAGTCATTAAAACTCGTTTTTCAACCACTCAACACATTTCTTGTAACAAACTATAGTTTTGGCAAGTCGGTTAGGACATCTACTTTGTGCATGACACTAGTAATTTTTCCAACAATTGTTTACAGACAGATTATTTCACTGTATCACAATTCCAGTGGGTCAGAAGTTTACATGTGTGTGTATATATATATATATATATGCAAAAAAAAACATATGGGGGATTGGAAGTGATGCAGACAATTACATTGATGGAAGTCACAATCTATCTGCAGTATTAAAGCTGATCTACCCCCACATTAAAAAAAAAAAAAAATTATACAAATATTAAATAAAAACTCGAACAGAAAGTACCAATACGGAAGTGGTCCGATGAAGCGGATGCTAAACTACAGGACTGTTTTGCTAGTACAGACTGGAATATGTTCCAGGATTCATCCAATAACATTGAGGAGTATACCACCTCAGTCACCGGCTTCATCAATAAGTGCATCGACGACGTCCTCCCCACAGTGAGCGTACGTACATATCCCAACCAGAAGCCATGGATTACATGAGCTAAAGGCTAGACTGCCGCTTTCAAGGATTGGGAAACTAATCAGGATTCTTATAAGAAATTACGCTACGACCTCCGACGAGCCACCAAACAGTCAAAACATCAATACAGGAATAAGATTGAATACTACTACGTCAGCTCGGATGCTCGTCAGATGTGCCAGGGGTTGCAAACTATCACAGATTACAAAGGGAAACCTAGCCGCGAGCTGCCCAGTGACGCGAGCCTACCAGATGAGCTAAATTCCTTCTATGCTCGCTTCGAGGCAAGCAACACAGAACCATGCATGAGAGCACCAGCTGTTTCTGACGACTGATCTCGCTCTCCGTAGCCGAGGCCGCGGGGTTTACAGACAGATTACCAGGACACGTATTCAGAACATGCGCTGACCAGCTGGCAAGTGTCTTCACTGACATATTCAACCTCTGCCTGACCCAGTCTGTAATACCTACATGTTTCAAGCAGACCACCATAGTCCCTGTAGCCATGAAATGCTTTGAAAGACTGGTCATGGCTCACATCAACACCATCATCCCAGACTCACTCCAATTCGCATGCCGCCCCAACAGATCCACAGATGGCGCAACTGTGATTGCACACACTGCCCTCTCCCCAACTGGTTAAGAGTAACACCTACATGAGAATGCTAATCATTGACTATAGATCAGCTTTCAACACCATAGTGCCCTCCAAGCTCATCACTAAGCTCAGTACTCTGGGACTGAACACCTCCCTCTGCAACTGGATGCAGGACTTCCTGAAGGGCCGCCCTCAGATGGTGAGGGTAGGCAACAACACATTTGCCACGTTGACCCTCAACACGGGAGCCCCTCAGGGGTGTGTGCTTAGTCCCCTCCAGTACTCCCAGTTCACCCACGACTGCGTGGCCCACACAACTCCAACACCATAATTAAGTTAGCTGATGAAACGATGGTCGTTGGCCTGATCACCGACAACAATGAGACAGCCTATAGGGAGGAGGTCAGTGACCTGGCAGTGTGGTGCCAAGACAACAACCTCTCCCTCAACGTCATCAAGACAAAGGAGCTGATTGTGGACTACAAGAAATGGAGGACCGAGCACGCCCCCATCCACATCGACAGGGCTGTAGTGGTGCGGGTCGAGAGCATCAAGTTCCTCGGTGTCCACATCATTAAGGAATTATCATGGTTCATATACACCAACAAAGTCGTGAAGAAGCCACGACAAAGCCACAAAAAGTTATACAGCTGCAACATTGAGCATCTTGACTGGCTGCATCACCATTACCGCTTGATATGGCAACTGCTTGGCATCCGACCGCAAGGCACTACAGAGGGTAGTGCGTACAGTCCAGTAAATCAGGACCCATGGTGCAGCCCGTCCTGTTCCCCACTCTGCACTGAGGACACAGGCCAGCAGATGTAACGATGAGGGAGTGTGTGTGTGTGTAGGGGGTCAGACTCAGAGCATGTGCTAATTGAAGGAGCAGTTAAGCAGCGAGGGAAAGCACATTCTTACAGGACCCTGAGCCATCTCCTGAGAGCCCATCGTGGCATGTTGGGTAGGTAGGGCAGCGGTTGACGACTCTGGATGCATCCCAAATGGCACCCGAATCCCTATATAGTCCTAGCTCTAGTCAAAAGTACTGCACTATATAGGGAATAGGGTGCCATTTGGGATGCAGCCTGTGTCATGAACCTCTCCCTTGACACCGACCGACACACAGGAGAATAGAGAGCTGGAGGGATACAGGAGAAGGAGGATGGATCTGGCTTCAGAGGAAAGGAATCTGCCTCTTGTAGACAGGCACACGCGTTTCATTATGACTCAACCCCCACTCTGTGGTTAAACAATGACAATGTCAGCTTTTCTTGTGCTTGTAAATGTATTCAGCCCTCCACCCCCATGCCTCTCTCTAATTGTACATATGTCTCAGTCTCACTCCCGTCAGTTAGCAGACAGTGTTTGGCTCCTGGGCTGAATGAGGAGAAAGCTGAATAAAGGGAAGTAGACACGTATATGTTATTAAACACCCTGACATAAAGCACCACATAAAGGAGTAGAAAGGAGCTGATGGCTGCCGACCCCACTGTGTGGTCTAATTAGGACGCTAATGAATGGCGTGCTGGTAATGATGCTGCAGCAACGTGCCGACGGCTTCCATTGACTCCAGCTGAATGCAGGGACGGACGAGGCGTTAAGGCCGGGGCCTAATTGCGCACCGGGGCTAACGGCAGGAGATTCTTCCTCTAATGAACTGGTTGGCAGGGAGCGCGCTCAGTGTCGCTCAGTCTCGCATCCACATCATTCTCTGACTAGCGCTAGGTTCTCTCGCTAAGGAAAGGTCAGTGTGAATGAAGATCGCAGACGTTCAGGTTTAGGGGGATAAATAATAAGCCATAGGGGATCATTCAAACAGGATACACAGCTGTATAATCCAGAAAGGTTAATCATCTGGCATAGAGGGTTACAAAGAGTTACTATGGCAAACACTGTTGTTGTTGCATTCATACATGATGAGGTTGTACGGTGGTTGGCTTACCTTGACAACTTGTCGAACATGTTGACTAGTTCCTGGGCCTCGTACTCTTTCTGCTCCTCAGTCATCTCCTCTATGGGGTTAGGCATGGGCTCCTCCACATGGCCCGTGATGGGGTTGATGCTGAGACAGACAGACAACAGAACAGATAAGACAGAGGGAAGACTTAGGTGATTCTGACCCAATGCTAAGCTGTCCTGAATGTTTTACCTCAAGTGTGGCATGTAAAAGTGATTGATGATACACCCCTTGGCCCTATGGATTCTGTTGTAGTTCAAAGTAAATCAATATACTGGTCACTTCAATGACACACCCTAAGGCCAGCCCAACATTTCATCCATACATTTAGCAATTCAAAGCAAGGCATGCATGTCTATGGTCCTATATTTAAAGCTCCTGTCTACTCACAAAGGTTTAGCCGATTTGTACTCTTCAGTGTCGGAGTCTTCGTCGTCTGAATAATGTGTCTCTCCTCGCCCCCCTGCCAGCAGGCCTCGAGCCACCAGGAGTCCTGCTGCGTTACCATACCCTGTGTATTTCAACAGGTTGTCCACTGGAAGAATAGAGGGGGGGGTGGGATCAGTACAACACTACTGTATGTAGGATTTATACATCAGGGTTGCATCTGAGGTGCAATGGCATTAACACATTTCTAAGTGAAAATCAACTTTGCCAACTCATACAGCGTGCTCCATCTGCCTCTCTTTCTCGTTCTCACCGTTCTCTTTGCAGAGGACGAATAGGAACTCTGCTGCGCTCTGCTTCACACCCATGTCCACGTGGGTCATGAGGCGCACCAGCTTGTTCCTGACGGTGGACCCGATCTCCGGCCGGACCTTGACCTCTTTCAGAGGGGGCAGCACCTGGAAACACACACAGCCAACGGTGGCAGAGCCACAATGAAAACTAACACGGTAGTACACTAGACCTCTGAACGGAGTGATCAGGCCAGCGCATGATGCATCACAGCTGGATTTAGTTAGAAGACATGTTTTAACAATATATCAATGAGATGTCACCAAGATATGTTATCAATATGCATTTCATCTCACACTCAAGAAGAGATTTTAAAGATCTTTAATTTGGCATCACTTTTTATGTGTCAGGATCAGGACAGATTACAAAATGCACAGAAAGTGTGTTTGTCCAAGGCCATGGCCACTCCCGCTCCAGTACCTGTGTCTTGATGTATCGGCGGATCTCCCTGTGGTACCTGGAGCCCTCTGTCAGCAGGCTGAGAACTGGGGTCAGCCCCTCTTTGTAGTTGGCGCCCTGCTTGGAATGAGACACACATGAGGCATGTGACGACAGGAATGCCCACAGAGGCACTGTAGCAGTTGTTGTGTGGTTAATAGAAATACAAAATTATTCAGGAAGTTTTAGCAATTCTATTTCTATGGTGTGTGGACAGCTACTAATAGGATGGCCAGGATTTCCACATCTTTTCATTTGCTTGTTCAGTAGAGACTGACATTTCTACTTAAAACAGGGAGCAATATGAATTTCTGAATGACCTCGTTAGATAGAGCAGTTCTTGAAATGGTGGGTAAGGCGCCACTGGGGGATTGTCATTGGGGTTAATTCTACTTTGGCTTGAAACATTGTCTTGTTTAACATCAGGGTCAAGAGGAAATGCAAAAGTCTTTAAAGATGGTTTGTGGTGGCAGCCACCGAGATGGATGATTTGAGTGCTCAGTGATTTTGAGGGGATCAGTTTGAGCAAAGGCGCCGAAAACGGCAAGGTACAGAATTGCTAATCTTGATCACATAATAGGTAGTTATTTGGGATGCAAGGTAGTTTGTATATCTGTGATTCTGTGCAGTCGGACTGCAATATAGTCGTTCTCAAATTAGGCAACAATGTCTCTGGTCCACCTTTCTTACCTTGTCTATCCTCTTCTCCATGAAGTCCAGTAGCACCTGCACAACGTCCATGTTCTTCCCGCTGTACTCCTCCTGGCCCCCCTGGACGGGCACGTCAATCAGCACATCCAGACAAGACACAGGCAGGTTACTAAGCAAGTTGATTGCATGGCTGGAGGAGGAGGAAGAAAGGAGAAGGAGGAAGGAAGGAAAGTGGTTAACTTACTGGTTATTATGAATGGTCATTAAGGAATGGTTACCTAATTCATCAGTATAAACAGACTAGTACTAAAGGTCTACTCTGGAGTCTGGACAATGGGCTAAACCCCCGTGACCAGAGGGACACAACAACAGAATCCATAGGGCCACGGGGTGTATCAATCACTTTTACATGACACTCCTTCAGCGCAACTATCTAGCCAAACATTCTTAACATTCTCGCATATCCTTCTAAAGAAAGCTTTGTCATTAATTCCCATCAATGAGATGTCCAGATAAGACAATGCCATATACACTGAGTTTACAAAACATTAAAAACACCTGCTCTTTCCATGACAGACTGACCAGGTGAATCCAGGTGAAAGCTATGATCCCTTATTGATGTTATTTGTTAAATCCACTTCAATCAGTGTAGATGAAGGGGAGGAGACAGGTTAAAGAATGATTTTAAAGTCTTGAGACAATTGAGACATGGATTATGTATGTGTGCCATTCAGAGGGAGAATGGGCAAGACAAAATATTTAAGTGCCAAACAGGGTATGGTAGTAGGTGCCAGGCACACCGGTTTGTGTCAAGAACTGCAACGCTGCTGGGTTTTTCACGCTCAACAGTTTCCAGGGTGTATCAAGAATGGTCTGCTACCCAAAGGACATCCAGCCAACTTGACACAACTGTGGGAAGAATTGGAGTCAACATGGGCCAGCATCCCTGTGGAATCCATGCCCCGGCAAATTAAGTCTGTTCAGAGGGCAAAAGGAGGGGGGGTGGAACTCAATATTAGGAAGGTGTTCTTAATGTTTTGTACACTCAGTGTACTTCTTGGTTTAAAGTTGATACTTTCTCATGAGCTGGATGCTGTCACTGTTGACTACAGAGAGTAATCATTGGATGGTGATTAATTAGCCTAATTTGCACAAACCATCTGATGAACGTGTACTTTATTTTAACCAGGTAAGACCCATTGAGGTTAAAAACCTATTTTGCGAGGGCGACCTGGCAAGAAGGTAAAACAGGGAAATAGCAGCGTATATACATCAAATATTACAAAAAAATTCACACAAAAGACAGTGTCACAGATACATTTGAGTATTAAAAACAACTGCAGCTATCACAAACAGTGTCATTGATCAGAGTCTTAAAAACAGGCAAGGACACTAACTCCCCTAACTTTAATATCTTTTGATACTTTAAGGATGTAGTTTAGCCCTGTTGTGTGGAGAGGAATGAGCAGAAGGGTTTCCAACCTGTGTGCTTCCTCTGTTTTGTCCTCTGTCTGAGTCTTTAGCATCAATAGATGGCGCATGATGGCAGTGATGAGGCGGAGCTGGTGGTCACCATCCTATCAAATTAAGGATGTACAACAGCATGATCCTCAAGGAAACATTTCATTGGTTAAAACAAAAGGAGGGGAAGGTCTAAGCAAGTAGGGATAAGCAGGATACAATTTGCTTTGGGAGAAGCGGGAAGGGGAAGCAGTCATCTCAAAAATAAATAAAAAGAGAGAAAGAGAGACTGTTACTATGGAGATTGAGGTCAGACCTAAGAGCTGACTCACAGGCTTTCCATGCCATGCAAATGAGCATGTGGGATTGACTTATGAGGTGAACACAGGGCTATTCTGATTAACGCTGGGATGAGAGGGACTCAACATGATGTCAGCTACAACGGTGAGGGGCAAGCATGGCGAAAAAACGTATTTGGACCAATAACATTTTGAAGCACAATACGAGCTAGCAGTTAAAGCAGACAGCTCTCCTAACCAGCCTGAATTAGAACTATTCTCAAATGTATAAATATCAAAGACACGTTTGGCATGTCATATTATCACTGATAGACATTCATTACCGGATCCAACAGATTTATATATTTGATTTAGCAGGGGGATGTGTCCCTCTTCTTCATGCTGTGATGATATAGGTTGAGCAAATGCTGAAGGGGCTGAGCGACATAAGATAATTTCAGTAGCCCCCCATGGCTAATCGAGAAAGTTGTGAAGGTGCCAAAGGGGCTTAAGCGAGGTCAGATAGCTGATAAACCTCTTATTGCTGTACAGGTTTAGTTAGGGCTTTCCATTAAGGGATAGAGAAGCTGTCCGTCCGCATGAGCTAGCATCAGTCACTCAACAAAGCCAAGTCTTGTTGATACACTATCGTTAAATAGTAGCCTTCAACCAAAGCATGGTCTAAATATTCACAGGGGAGATGTAAAGGAGATGTGTCCATCCACAGCCAGGGATTTATGTTCATGCAGTATCTCTAAACACATGCACTGTGCTCATGGCTGCAGTGTCTAGCCTTCTGTGAGCTCTGAATGCACACACACACACACACAGTTTATTAGGTCATCTAGTACCGGCTCGGACCCCCCTTTGCCTCCAGAACAGCCAGAATTCTTTGAGGCATGGATTCTACAAGGTGTCGGAAACGTTCGTTGCTCAACTGGTATCAAGGGACCTAACGTGTGCCAGGAAAACATTCCAACATCAGTACAACACTGCCACAGCCTGTACCAAATCCTGACTCTCCCATCAGCATGACGCAACAGGAACCGGCATTCGTCGGACCAGGCAATGTTTTTCCACTCCTCAATTGTCCAGTGTTGGTGACCGCGTGCCCACTGGAGCCGCTTCTTCTTGTTTTTAGCTGATAGGAGTGGAACCCGGTGTGGTCATCTGCTGCAATAGCCCATCCGTGACAAGGATCGACGAGTTGTGCGTTCCAAGATGCCGTTCTGCACACTACTGTACTGCACCGTTATTGGTCTGTTTGTGGTTTGTTAGCTTGCACGATTCGTGCCATTCTCCTTCGACCTCTCATCAACAAGCTGTTTTCGCCCACAGGACTGCTGCTGACTGGATGTTTTTTGTTTGTCGCACGATTCTCTGTAAACCCTAGACACTGTCGTGCGTGAAAAGCCCAGGAGGGCGGCCGTTTCTGAGATATTGGATCCGCCGCACCTGGACCGACGATCATACTGCGCTCAAAGTCGCTTAGGTCACTTGTTTGGCCCATTCTAATGTTCAATCGAACAATAACTGAATGCCTCGATGCCTGTCTGCCTGCTTTATGTAGCAAGCCACGGCCACGTGACTCACTGTCTGTAGGAGCGATCCATTTTCGTGAACGAAACTGGCCGGTGAGTGTACATTACAAACACAGTGTACATATCCTCTTTAAAAAGGAAACAACTCCAAAGTTGAAAAACAATGTTTAACAGACAGTAGGTGTAACCTTGTAAACTTACCTCGTCGCTAGTGTCAGACAGCGTGAGGTTGAACAGGGCTTTCAGGGCCTCCATGGCCCTCTCATTGTCTTCAGCAGGGATGGGCAGGGCCTGGGGGTCCGGAGGGGCCGCCTCGTAGGGGCCCACCCAGCGTACATCCAGGGTACACTCCAGCACCTCTGTGAGGAGCCCCACGGCACGCAGCTCCCTCCTGAGGCCCCCCCGGACGTCTGGCCGCAGTGCTGAGAGCAGGAAGAGCAGGCGCAGGGAGAACAGGCCCACCTCGTGGCGCCCAGCACGGGCGGCGTGCAGGCGGGCACACAGACCCCGTGCCAGCTGCACGTCGGCGCCCACCTGCTGCGCCGCTGCGCTGTTGAACACCACGTTACACAGGCACTTGAGGGCCTCCACCACCACCCTCTCATTCTCCTCTGTCTGGACCTCCTCCTGTAGGCTGTCACACCCTTCTCCCCCCGGCAACCGAGCAAGCCCGGCCAGGACCAGCATGCCCTCCCGGGTGCCCACAGGGCCCAGGACCTGCTTGTCCCGGGACAGAATGCGGAGGGTCTCCAGGCAGGTGCTCTGGCAGCGGGGACCAACCTGCCTACCCAGCACAGTCAGCAGGCCCTGACACAGCATCTGCACAGGGAGAGAGAGACAGTTGGTTCACCATCAAACACACAAGGGAGCAGAAGCATTATCTAGGCTATAAGTGAAAGTGAAGCATCAGACAAGGCAAAGAGCGTTTACTTACACTTCGTAGATCCTCCTCTTTTGGATCAAAGTTGAATGTGAGATTATTCTGAAAATACAAAACACAATGCCCAATGAGACAAAAGTCAAATGCATATTCCTTTGCTAAATGTGCTTTGTCACCTCCATCTGTGCAACAGTGCATGAAGAAAGTAGCATATTCTCAGTAATGTTATCTGGAATTAATTTGTTTCTAAGATACAGTAACAGATGGGCAGAAGAGGCTGCTGGTCATTGATAACTAGAGATGTGCAGACTGATCAGAACTACGAGTGCATTACCTATACGATTGTAATGCAAATTAATTCCTACCAGACACTCCGGGTCAGAGGAGGCTGGTGGGAGGAGCTATAGGAGGACGGGCTCGTTGTAATGGCTGGAATAGAATGGAGTCAAACATGGTTTCCATTTGTTTGATACCGTTCCATTTATTCCATTCCAGCCATTACAATGAGCCCATCCTCCTGTAGCTCCTTCCATCAGCCTCCTCTGCTCTGTGTATCAGTGACAGTAACTAAACGCGTTGGCTACCTATCTAGCTAGCTCAAGTTACAGCAGGAAGAGCTGCAACAGCTGTTACTAAATGGGAGCTAGATACACTAAATGTATTAAACTGTAACGTTAATTAGCTACCAAATAACGTTAAGCATGCTGTCATTGCATGCATACATGGTTAGCAAGAGATACCCTGCAATATTTGGCCACAACACTACCTAACGTTAGCTAACTAGCTAGCAACCAAGCCATGATGAAAATATGCTAATCACTTCCTGCAACACAGCAATGGGCTTTAAACTCGTTGATTCCATGCAAAGAGGAGAAATGCAAGTTATAGCTAAACATATCGTTTCAGTACTCATTTTAGCAGCTATGATTCTGTAAACATTTTTAGATGGCTAGCTAGCGAGCTAAGCTAGCTAGCTAATGACTTTGTTTTAGTAGACGTCAAAGCGAGGAGAATCCCACCTCTCCGTTGTACTGGTGCAAAAGCCTTTCAATGTCCTCTTCATTGTCAGTTTCGAGCTGCGACAGGATACTGTTTAAATCCATTATTCAAATACTTCGATGACAACTAAAGAATTGTAACGTTTGATTAAGTTTCTGAATAATTGACACCCTATTTCTCTCTTCGTCTGACACAGCTGGCTATGGGTTAGGCTAGCTCATAGAGATAGATAGAGGACTCATCTTTATATCTGTGCCATTATAGCGTATGTGACAGCATGGTTAGTGCCATTGACAAGTATGGCGCAGTGCTAACTGTGCCACTAGAGATCCTGGTTCGAATCCAGGCTCTGTCGCAGCCGGCCGCGACCGGGAGACTCATGGGCAGCGCACAATTGGCCCAGCGTCGTCCAGGGTAGGGGAGGGAATGGCCGGCAGGGATGTAGCTCAGTTGATAGAGCATGGCGTTTGCAACGCCAGGGTTGTGGGTTCGATTCCCACGGGGGGCCAGTATAAAAAAATATGTATTCACTAACTGTAAGTCGCTCTGGATAAGAGCGTCTGCTAAATGACTAAAATGTAAATGTGATGGCTAAATGCATACTTGGAGTGTGTCTGCAAGTGGGCGTTGCAAAATAAGTGGGTGGATCAACAGTGATGGGTGTAATGTAACATCAGCGCTCCCTTATTCGTTAGACAGGCCATAGCCAAGTGCACTGTCTGTCAGCTTAATGTTTACATAGCAGGTTAAGAGAACTAACATAGCAGGTTAGGATAATTAAAGTAGCAAGTTAGGATAATTAACGTGGCAGGTTAGGAGAACTAATGCAGCAGGTTAGCTCAATTAAAGTGGCAGGTTAGGAGAATGAGGATAAGGTTAGGAAATCAAATCAAATTGTATTTGTCACATGCGCCGACAAATGCTTACTCATAACAAAAAGTTTAGGGTTAAACTTAGCTAACATTCTACAGTTGTCAACAATCGACTTGTTGTTGCAGCCCAATCAGCCAGGCAAAACGGTCTTGAGCAGCAACAAATCTGCCCAATTAGCGGATTCGGTTTTCATACACCCACTTCTGTAGATCCACCCTCTTATTTTGCCACGCCCACTTTCAGACACACTCCATGTATCCAATTACCCATGACTCACCATTGAATCCCCACCCTGTTATCTACTTTAAAATGGCGGAAGCATGGTGGACGCCCTCAATGGCGCTGCCCATACTAAAAAATGATTTTGTCCACTAGAGGCCTCTATCATTCTCTATGGGCTAGCTACACCCCCTTTAGTGTTTCAACTTTTACCTGTCAACGTCACGATCTCATCGGCGTGCAAGATGTGCAATGATGTACAGAAAAAGTGCGTCTTTTGTCTTGTCTTCTTTGGCCTTCTAAACATACTGCCGATAGACTTTGATATGAAAAGGTCTATGCACGCGCTTGTCTGTCATGTATGTCTATGATTTATTTCTGCATTTCCTGTCTCCAGTTATCTGTATCTATGTTCACTGTAGGCCTAATCAGATTTGCTCATTTTCAATTGTCTTTGTCTTCGTCTATCTACACTCCTGGCATTTCCAATACTGGCCAGTAGACCACTGAATCAAGGGCATAACATGGTCATAAAAATGGCATAACACTAATCATTCATAGCCTAATGCAGTGGTATTCAAAGTCGGGGTCGAGACCCAGGGGAATTGTAGTGAGCTCCCCAAAATATAAAAATAACAAATACATTGTTGCGTTGTTCAGGATAGGCAGGCAAGCATGATATGGTGGAACAAGCTCCCCCACGACGCCAGGACAGCGGAGTAACTGACCACCTTCCAGAGACACTTGAAACCCTACCTCTTTAAGGAATACCTGGAATAGTATAAAGTAATCCTTCTTCCCCCATCCCCCATAAAAAAAAATAAAAAAAAGTGGTTGTCCCACTGGCTATCATAAGTTGAATGCATCAATTTGTAAGTCGCTCTGGATAAGAGCGTCTGCTAAATTATGTAAATGTAAAAATGATAACGGTTTGTGCCAGGACTATGGAAAGCCAGTACATCATCTGTCATTAATTACAGCTTCATATTCGTTTTCATGATGGAGGCCTAAAGTATTCATGGATGTCAAGGGAAGCCAGGCTTCCCCAAAAAATTTACCAAGAAAAAAGAAAAAAACATACAAAATAATGTATCGTTCTTCTCTCTGTGTTTCATACATTTCCTTCAATTCACAAGAGGCTGAATGTATCTTACCAGAGAAAGCATCCGAGCGAATGAAACAGCGCCCCCCCAGTCTCAGTATGTGTAGGCTATCTATGTGATGCTGTCTGGTCAGAAAGAGTATGACATTGTTGCTGCCCGTAGCATTGAATGCAAAGGAAGCCAGTGAGCATTTGGCCTCCCTTGATAAAAAAATAAATAATAATAATAATATGCCATTTAGCAGACGCTTTTATCCAAAGCGACTTACAGTCATGCGTGCTTATTTTTTTTTTTGTGTATGGGTGGTCCCGGGGATCGAACCCACTACCTTAGCGTTACAAGCGCCGTGCTCTACCAGCTGAGCTACAGAGGACTAATAGCCTATCAGTGTTGAGCTAAACTGAGTGAGCTCAGCTGTGAATGGTCCTCCTGGTGCACCAAAAAATAGTGTCAAGCGAAGCCAGTTTGGATTTGGCTTCAGCCCAATTACATCATTGACAGAAAAAAACTTGAATTGTTGCATCTCGTTGTGTCGTTGTCCTCCAGTGGCTAACTAGCTAGCTAGCTAAAATCGTCCCTCCCTAAATTAGCCATGGCTGGAGATAGGGATTTGGTTTTACTTAATTCTCCATACTGGCCAATGATTATAACGGCAATTCTGATCCAACCATGAATTCCTATTGTGCCCCTGGCCTGAGAGGATGGAAGTTCAACATGTAGCTAGATGTAGTATGCTAATGTTAACGAGCTGGCCTGGCGTATCGTTTCCCATGAAAGAAAGTTACGCTAGCGAGCAAGCATTTTAGCCAGGTAGCCTAGGACAACAAAAACTAAAAACGTGTACTGTATGACAGAGTCATAGACCTTTTAGGCAACATGAAAGAGGAGGATGGCATTGGTGTTTCTCTACAAGTAGGGTGAGTCAACATGTTTTTTCTACTTAAACACGTTGTACAAACAATAGTATGCAAGTATAAACACCATGGGACCACGCAGCCGTCATACCGCTCAGGAAGGAGACGCGTTCTGTCTCCCAGAGATCAACGTACTTTGGTGCGTAAAGTGCAAATTAATCCCAAAACAACAGCAAAGGACCTTGTGAAGATGCTAGAGGAAACAGGTACAAGTATCTATATCCACAGTAAAACGAGTCCTATATTGACATAACCTGAAAGGCCGCTCAGCAAGGAAGAAGCCACTGCTCCAAAACCGCCATTAAAAAGCCAGACTACGGTTTGCAACTGCACATGGGGACAAAGATCGTACTTTTTGGAGAAATGTCCTCTGCTCTGATGAAACAAAAATAGAACTGTTTGGCCATAATGACCATCGTTATGTTTGGAGGAAAAAGGGGGTTGCTTGCAAGCCGAAGAACACCATCCCAACCGTGAAGCACGGGGGTGGCAGCATCATGCTGTGGGGGTGCTTTGCTGCAGGAGGGACTGGTGCACTTCACAAAATAGATGGCATCATGAGAAAGGAAAATGATGTGGATATGTTGAAGCAACATCTCAAGACATCAGTCAGGAAGTTAAATCTTGGTCGCAAATGGGTCTTCCAAATGGACAATGACCCCAAGCATACTTCCAAAGTTGTGGCAAAATGGCTTAAGGACAGCAAATTCAAGGTATTGGAGTGGCCATCACAACGCCCTGACCTCAATCCTATAGAAAATGTGTGGGCAGAACTGAAAAAGCGTGTGTGAGCAAGGAGGCCTACAAACCTAACTCAGTTACACCAGCTCTGTCAGGAGGAATGGGCCAAAATTCACCCAACTTATTGTGGGAAGCTTGTGGAAGGCTACCTGAAACGTTTGACCCAAGTTAAACAATTTAAAGGCAATGCTACCAAATACTAATTGAGTGTATGTAAACTTCTGACCCACTGGGAATGTGATGAAAGAAATAAAAGCTGAAATAAATAATTCTCTCTACTATTATTCTGACATTTCACATTCTTAGTGGTGATCCTAACTGACCTAAGACAGGGAATTTTTACTAGTATTAAATGTCAGGAATTGTGAAAAACTGATTTGAAATTTATTTGGCTAAGGTGTATGTAAACTTCCGACTTCAACTGTATCATGGTGTCAAGGCATATTAACTAACAGGTTATAAAGCAAACAACACAATTATCACAACACGTAGATTGTAATATGGCAATTTAATATGGTAATTTTTATTTTGGGGGGGGGCTTCCCCGGTGATTTTACCCACGCACCGTTACTGCATGGAGGATGCCTTTATCCTTCCCTTGAGCCATGTTGGCAAGCTACTCAGTCATGAATATTTCAAAGCACTGGAAACTGAATTCAATCCCCATTCTGGAACTGGAAGTAGAGATTCTCATAGCTCTTGAATTTGAAATTACAATTTTCAAAATGAACTCATCCCCTACAAGGGGGAGAGGATATTAGACATGGTAAGCAAGGGTCAAGGGGGTATGATATTATGGTTCTGGTTCTCATCTGCATTCTGACACATCCCCAATGGCCCAGACTGCTCTAAGCTGGTATCAAGTGTTTGTGATCAGGCCTATAGTCTTTCAGGACTGTGTGCTTTTCCCATGTTCATTGCATTTGTAACCATTGTACCGAACGGGCCTCCAGCATGCAGAGCCTTGGTTGTGAATTTTTATGGTGTCCAGGAAAATGGGCTCACAGCACAGGGACTCTGCATTCAAATAAATAAAATAAAACTTGAAAGGGTCAGAGGTCAAAGGTTACGGGACCGAGGTGCAATGACCACACCCCAGCAGGAGCTGCTCTTTATAGAAATGTAATTCTTTCCGCAGTGTGGCCCTCTCGCTTCTCGCCCAGCCCCCACTGGGTTCCCAGTCTTCCCAATGCTGGCAAGTGATTGGAGAAAAAAATCAGCTCAGAGGATTTGAAAAGATTTGGTCTCCTTTGTCAACATCAAATTCAAAATGGAGGTTTAAGGGAGGGGGAGTTGTGCAATGATATACTATGCCAAAAATTCAACCAAGAGCTACTATGTGGTGATCCTTTCACACAAGCCAAACTGCAAGTCAATTAAGGTGTGTGGTGTGTCATTGCATTTTAATACTGAACACTCCTCTGAAAATGTATTGATCAATATTTCCAAAGCATGATCAGTGTATCATCAATATCAATAAATAATAGTGACAGTTTATCAGTCAGACAAGTTACTTTGGAGAATTTCAGTGGAAAGAAACTAGCCTGGCTAAAACTAAGAGGTTGAACAAGGTTTGTAGGACTGCAGAACAGTGACATGTTAATTACCAATCGTATGTGTTTGAGAGAAGAGAAGAAGAAAGAAATGAGAACACAATTCACATTTGCATTGGGGTTTTAGAAATTATTTATGTGGCAACAAATAATTCCACATACATATCAGTTTAAACTGTAACAGTTGTCACCACTGAAGTTGTCGAGTGCTTGTATTTACAGAAAAAAGTGACTATAGTTCATGTGTGTTACACTTTGATATTTGTTCCTTTTCATTCCTACCCATAGGGTAATAGGTCCACAGTAGCTTTGAGTGCATTATAAAACACACAAACCTAGGTTAATGTTTCCTTCACTATATCCATACAAAAAAGAAAACAAAATACCAACTGTAACACAGAAAACAAAAAAGAACACAATGTTACAAAGTTACAGAGAATACATCTATAGTGTCTTCCTCCTCCCACAAATACAGCAACAGAGCTTGTGACACAGCACACAAATAATCTGGCTGAGGCACAGCACTCGATCATTAAAAAAACTCTTCATGTGAAACTGATAAGCTAATAAAGGCTCTCCACATGTTTAGCTTTGTCTCCGCTATAAACTTCTCTCATTGTTTTTTGGCTGTATGCCGATTGACGTGACTGGGCTCCAGTTGTGAAACATTAAGGCAATCCATCCTGGGTTGTATTCATTAGGCACCAAACGGAAGAAAACAGACTGAAACAGGGAGCGACAACCTTAACTTGTCAAATTAGAAACATTCATGTTCATTTTCCGTTGCAAAATGTATTGCTATGGTGTGCCCTAATGAATATGACCCTGGCTCTGCAGCAGGCTAGCATGTCTTCTGGACAGCGTCTGAGAGGCCTACTCTGAGTAAGTGTTGACCAAGAGAAAACGGCGTGCGTTGTTAAGAGACTGTACTGACGTCAACCACAGTATACAACGTAAACAGAGTTGCGTACATTAGTGGCTCAGTACAGGGAGGGAGGGGTGATGATCAGTGTTTGTTGACTTGGGAGGTTGCCGGGCAGGGATGGGTGTTCATTAATTGAAAAGGCACAGCTGGGCAGTCTCGCACTGCACACTTCCACATGTGAGATTCTTCCAACTGCCTCTTGTTTCTATAATCCCAAAGGGTTTGCACAGCCACTTTCTGCAAACAACAAACAGCACCACCATTGTGGCGATTGCTGCCATCAACAAACTAGGCCTACGCCACAATATTCTGATTGTGTAATGTGAGAAGAAGTCCTGAATCTTGGTTGTCTGTGCTGTGGCCTGCGGGTCAAGGTAACAAGGTTGCCCAGTGCTGCTACACTCCAGCCTCTCTCCCCTACCATTACACTGATACTCCTGATTAGGTGCCTCTGGGTCGTGTTGGGGAAAGGCAGTGGGACGTTTGCATCCATAGGCTTGGCTTGCTGCATTGGCATGACTGTGCCCAGGACAGCTCCTCTCTCTGAGGACTGAATAGGAAGCCTACTTGGCCCAGCCTGTGGTGGCCTCTCCATTGATGTAAGCGAAGCCGGGAAAGTGTTGTGAGTGTTCGTACTCAGAGTTCCTGCGAGGGGCCAGGGGGGAGTACATGTCTCCAGAGGCGGCATAGCGGGAGGAGTGCATAGGGGGACTAGTGTAACAGCTGTTGGCTGGGGAGACATCCGCCCATCGTGGAGCCACGGTCGTAGGGTGCAGCCGAGGAGCACCTCCCATCAAGCATGGCTCCATCCGAGACATCTGGCTATTGAGCGGGTACTGCCGAACAGAAGAGAATATTGGGTGTTAGGGTGATGGTATTATATGTCATATCAAAATATATTAAAGTTAGGGGAGTTAGTGTCTAATCTTCAATTGTATCTGTAACTTGTGACACTTGGTCTTTTGTGTGTATTTTGTATTTTTATGTAATATTTTATGTACACACTGCTATTTTATTGTTTAGCCTTCTTGCCAGGTCGCCCTTGCAAAATAGGTTTTTTTAAATCAATGGGTCTTACCTGGTTAAATAAAGGTTAAATAAAAATTTAAAAACAAATTATGTATATCATATCTTGGCCTGGGTTTTTCCCTGAACACATGCCCTGACAGGAGAAACACCAGCCCCTAGTTAGGCTATAGCTGAACTCCAGAGATTTTCCTGGAGTGAACAAATCCTTACTTTCTCTGTAACACTATGAGGTTTATAATTCACAATGAACATCAACTATGTATGTTGTAAATGGTGGACATAAATAAGACACTTCCTGGAACTGTTGGACTAGGATAAGTGGTCAGCCGGTAGTATTTTCGTTGCCCAGGGTGACCGACGACTAACAGCGCGGACAGAATCAGCTCCTCTTACAAAATATTTGGGACTGGTCGGGAAATCCAACAAAGTGTCCCATTCGTGTTATCTCCTTCTCTTCCTCTCTCAGACCCTCTCAGACTCTCTCAGACCCTCTCAAGACAAAGCACACACATTGTGCCCGATTTAAGTTCAGAGCAGGGTGGAAGTAAAAGTATTTCCTCTTTATTCCACTAAATATAAACACACAGGCAACAGTCAGTTCTATTATGAGGGATGGTGGCACGGAAAGAGGCCGTCATCACAGGTCAGGGAGCAGGATGGGTGGTTCAGCGACCTCTTGTTCACGCGCAGAAAAGAGACCATTGAAAAACAATATTTTAATAAACGTCCACCCTACCCTGGTCTATGAGTTCTATGGCCACTGGCTCAGAGAGATGAAGAGACTATTGAGTGGTGGGAAGGGGACACACAGTGGAGCACAGAGCAGGGCCCCTCTGGGTCCCGGGCCCCTGGCCAGATCACCTCTCACTGTCAACTCATACCATTCGCTGCTATGGCTAACAGTGTATGAGCTCCACCGACACCACCACCACTATTGCTGCACCCTCTTCCTCTCACCTGCTCATCTTCTTTTTTCTTCTGTTGACCCTCTTGCTCAGTCTCTCTCTCTCATTCTATCTTTCTCTCACCCGCACCAGGGTAAATGTTCTCCTGGCTCTAACTAACCATTCCTGGTGCCACCCCAGTTCTCTCTCTCTCTCTCTTCCCTCTCTCCCTCTCTCTCCCCCCAGAGCATGCCACACTGTTGGCACCAACGCTATAGAATGCGTTATGCATACTAACGAGCCCCGTTCTCCTTTTCACTTCCTGTTCATAATAACATTCCTCTCTGATTTACTGCCTGTGTAAAATTCAACCTTACAAAAGCTAGGATGGAATTTATGCCCCGCCTACAACCCAACCGGGAATAAACGATCACTCTTCAGTATTATATTGGGAGGTGGATAGACATGAGAGGGAGGTCGTTATAATGGCATGTTGAAGAAAAAAAAATGTCATAGCTTAGTATGCCTTCTGACTCATTCTACCTGATTCAATGCCTAATATTTCAGTGGATCTTGCACCTCTGTAATGATGTACTATGGTGATTAGGTGATTTCCAGGCTTTTCTATAACACAAATAATCCAGCAGACAGTCTCATTTTGAACAGTCTCTCTGTAATGGATTTGATACAGTGTTGCACTGCCTTTCTTCCTGCACTGCTCTGACGTCAATTAAATACCATGGAGTCCACTCCAGCACCCAAGCCAAGAACAACTATTTTCACCAACAAAGTCTTGCAGGTGTGGTGAACAGTGTGGAAAAGCGGGAATTGTAGACTCTGTGGCTAAAAGTCACCATCATCAAACAGACCATAAAGATATACAGTATGTTGGAAGTTTGACAAAGGGCCTTAATGTGTTGAGTAAATATAAAGCCAATCTCGGCACCCAGAACCAAATATTGTGTGTGCTCTGAGAGACTAATATAAGGCTAATGTAAGAAAACACTTTTCGACTGGATGTGCGTAGTATAATGGATGTGCGTAGGATAATGTCACTGAATTATCTCCACTGTGATTCCATCCAATGCACCGTTAGTAGATCCTCAGGTGAATGTACAGTAGATGCTATGGCCTGATTTGTGATTGGGAGTCCAAGTTGGGACTGACCTGTGCAGAGGTGCGGTGGTAAGCGGGATAGTGGAGGGGGGCAGGGATGCCCGGTTCATGGGCCAGACTGGGGTACTGGCTCTGGATGGAGTGGGGGTGCTGGTTGGAGTAGCTCCCATAGTTATAGCTCCCAGTGAACCTGGAGAGAGCACACAAAAACAGGTCAACATCATGTATTCAATGTGGCTCAGTTGGTAGAGCATGATGCTTGTAATGCTAGTGTTGTGGGTTTGAATGCTACGGGGGACCAGTATGAAAATGTATGCATTCACTACTGTAAGTCACTCTGGATAAGAGCATCTTCTAAATGACAAAAATTTAAATGTAGTACTTTAAATGTCTTCTGTCTATTTTTGAGTAAGAAATCAGATACTGTGCCTTCAGAAAGTATTTATACCCCTTGACTTAGTCCACATTTTCTTGTGTTACAGCCTGAATTCAAAATGGATTAAATATATATTTTTCTCACCCATCTACACAAAATACCCCATAATGACAAAGTGAAAACATGTTTGTAGAAATGTTTCCAAATGTATTGAAATTGAAATACAGAAATGTCTCATTTACATAAGTATTCACACCCCTGAGTCAATATATGTTAGAATCACCTTCGGCAGAAAATATAGCTGTGAGCCTTTCTGGGTAAGTCTCTAAGAGCTTTGCACACCTGGATTGTAACATATTTGCACATGATTATTTTTTAAAAATCTTCAGGCTCTGTCAATATGGTTGTTGATCATTGCTAGACAGCTATTTTCAAGTCTTGCCATAGATTTTTAAGCTGATTTAAGTCAAAACTGTAACTAGGCCACTCAGGAACATTCAATGTTGTCTTGGTAAGCAACTTCAGTGTATATTTAGCCTTGTGTTTTAGGTTATTGTCCTGCTGAAAGGGGAATTTGTCTTCCAGTGTCTGTTGGAAAGCAGACTGAACTAGGTTTTCCTCTAGGATTTTGTATGTGCTTAGCTCTATTCTGTTTCTTTTTATCCTAAAACACTCCCTAGTCCTTGCTGATGACAAGCATACCCATAACATGATGCAGCCACCACCATGCTTGAAAATATGAAGAGTGGTACTCAGTGATGTGTTGTGTTGGATTTGCCCCAAACATAACGCTTTATATTCAGGACATAACGTTAATTTCTTTGCCACATTTTTTGCAATTTTATTTTGTTGCCTTATTGCAAACAGGATGCATGTTTTGGAATATTTGCATCCCTTCTTTCTTTTCTCTCCAAAACTATTGAGCGTGCCGTCTTTAGCCAACTCTCTTGCTATCTCTCTCAGAATGACCTTCTTGATCCAAACCAGTCAGGTTTCAAGACTGGTCATTCAACTGAGACTGCTCTTCTCTGTGTCACAGAGGCTCTCCGCACTGCTAAAGCTATCTCTCTCTCCTCTGCTCTTGTCCTTCTAGACCTGTCTGCTGCCTTTGATACTGTGAACCATCAGATCCTCCTCTCCACCCTCTCCGAGCTGGGCATCTCCGGCGCGGCTCACTCTTGGATTGCGTCCTACCTGACCGGTCGCTCCTACCAAGTGGCGTGGCGAGAAGCTGTCTCCGCACCACGTGCTCTCACCACTGGTGTCCCCCAGGGCTCAGTTCTAGGCCCTCTCCTATTCTCGCTATACACCAAGTCACTTGGCTCTGTCATATCCTCACATGGCCTCTCCTATCATTGCTACGCTGACGACACACAACTAATCTTCTCCTTTCCCCCTTCTGATAACCAGGTGGCGAATCGCATCTCTGCATGTCTGGCAGACATATCAGTATGGATGACGGATCACCACCTCAAGCTGAACCTTGGCAAGACGGAGCTGCTCTTCCTCCCGGGGAAGGACTGCCTGTTCCATGATCTCGCCATCACGGTTGACAACTCCGTTGTGTCCTCCTCCCAGAGTGCGAAGAGCCTTGGCGTGACCCTGGATAACACCCTGTCGTTCTCCGCTAACATCAAGGCGGTGACCCGATCCTGTAGGTTCATGCTCTACAACATTCGGAGAGTACGACCCTGCCTTACACAGGAAGCGACACAGGTCCTAATCCAGGCACTTGTCATCTCCCGTCTGGATTACTGCAACTCGCTGTTGGCTGGGCTCCCTGCCTGTGCCATTAAACCCTACAACTCATCCAGAATGCCGCAGCCCGTCTGGTGTTCAACCTTCCCAAGTTCTCTCACGTCACCCCCCTCCTCCGCACACTCCACTGGCTTCCAGTTGAAGCTCGCATCTGTTACAAGACCATGGTGCTTGCCTATGGAGCTGTGAGGGGAACGGCACCTCCGTACCTTCAGGCTCTGATCAGTCCCTACACCCAAACGAGGGCATTGCGTTCATCCACCTCTGGCCTGCTGGCTCCCCTTCCTCTGCGGAAGCATAGTTCCCGCTCAGCCCAGTCAAAACTGTTCGCTGCTCTGGCACCCCAATGGTGGAACAAGCTCCCTCACGACGCCAGGACAGCGGAGTCACTCACCACCTTCCGGAGACATTTGAAACCCCACCTCTTTAAGGAATACCTGGGATAGGATAAAGTTATCCTTCTACCCCTCTCCTACCCCAACCCACCCCCCCCAAAAAAACAAAAAACAAAAAACAAAACATTGTAAAGTGGTTATCCCACTGGCTATAAGGTGAATGCACCAATTTGTAAGTCGCTCTGGATAAGAGCGTCTGCTAAATGACGTAAATGTAAATGTAAATGTACAGGGTTCCTTCTTTTCACTCTGTCATTTAGGTTAGTACTGTGGAGTAACTACAATGTTGTTGATACAACCTCAGTTTTCTCCTATTATAGTCATTAAACCCCTCTATGAGAGCTCATACCCCCCATGTCAGCTCATAACCCCCCTATGAGAGTTCATAACCCCGCTATCAGAGTTCATAACCCTGCTATGAGAGTTCATAACCCCCCTGAGAGTTCATAACTCCTCTATGACAGCTCATAACCCCTATATGACAGCTCATAATCCCTCTATGAGAGCTCATAACCCCCCTATGAGAGCTCACCCGTGCTCGTCCCTGTGGGTGTAGACTGGCAGTCGATGGGCGGAGGAGGGAGGGGGCACGGGTGCACCGCTGCGCATGCAGTGCTGCTGCTGTCCGCCCTCGGGAGGAGTGCCGCCTGACGTTGTCACTGTGTACGTAAGGGACCAGGTATATGACTGAACAGCGCCTGGCACACACGTAACACATACACACACAGAGACAAAGGGATTGGCACAGAGGAATCTACCATGCCGTGACCCTTAGAAACCAACCCAATGCATGAGCACAGGCAGGATAGGCCCATTCTAATAAACCATTTCATTCAACTGTCATGTATTAATTAATGTACAGTACCAGTCAAAAGTTTGGACACACCTACTCATTCCAGGGTTTTTCTTTATTTGAACTATTTTCTACATTGTAGAATAATAGTGAACATATCAAAACTATGAAATAACACATATGGAATTATGTAGTAACCAGAAAAGTGTTAAAACAAATCAAAATATATTTTATATTTGAGATTCTTCAAAGTAGCCACCCTTTGCCTTGTTGACAGCTTTGCACACTCTTGGCATTCTCTCAACCAGCTTCATGAGGTAGTCACCTGGAATGCATTTCAATTAACAGGTGTGCCTTGTTAAAAGTTAATTTGTGGAATTTATTTCCTTCTTAATGCATTTGAGCCAATCAGTTGTGTTGTGACAAGGTAGGGGTGGTATACAGAAGATAGCCCTATTTGGTAAAAGACCAAGTCCATATTAAGTGCTCAAATAAGCAAAGTGAAACGACAGTCCATCTTTAAGACATGAAGGTCTGTCAATATAGAACATTTCAAGAACTTTGAGCGTTTCTTCAAGTGCAGTTGCAAAATCCATCAAGCTCTATGATGAAACTGGCTCTCATGAGGACCGCCACAGGAAAGGAAGACCCAGAGTTACCTCTGCTGCAGAGGATAAATTCATTAGAGTTAACTGCACCTCAGAAGCCTTCATGGTCGAATTGCTGCAAAGAAAAACCACTACTAAAGGACACCAATAAGAAGAAGAGACTTGCTTGGGCCAAGAAACACACGAGCAATGGACATTAGACCGGTGGAAATCTGTCCTTTGATCCTTTTTGAGTCCAAATTTGAGATTTTTTTTCCAATCGCCGTGTCTTTGTGAGACGCAGAGTAGGTGAACGGATGATCTCCGCATGTGTGGTTCCCACCATAAAGCATGGAGGAGGAGGTGTGATGGTGTGGGGGTGCTTTGCTGGTGACACAGTCAGTGATTTATTTAGAATTCAAGGCACACTTAACCAGCATGGCTACCACAGCATTCTGCAGCGATACGCCATCCCATCTGGTTTGCGCTTAGTGGGACTATCATTTGTTTTTCAACAGGACAATGACCCAGCACACCTCCAGGCTGTGTAAGGGCTATTTTACCAAGAAGGAGAGTGATGGAGTGCTGCATCAGATGACCTGGCCTCCACAATCACCCGACCTGTGTGAGTGAAGGAAGTGAAGGAAAGTGAAGGAAAAGCAGCCAACAAGTGCTCAGCATATGTGGGAACTCCTTGATGATTTGGAAAAGCATTCCTCATGAAGCTGGTTGAGAGAATGCCAAGAGTGTGCAAAGCTGTCATCAAGGCAAAGGGTGGCTACTTTGAAGAACCTAAAATATAAAATATATTTTGATTTGTTTAACACTTTTTTGGTTACTACATGATTCCATATGTGTTATTTCATAGTTTGATGTCTTCACTATTATTCTACAATGTAGAAAATAGTAAAAATAAAGAAAAAACCTTGAATGAGTAGGTGTGTCCCAACTTTTGACTGGTACTGGTATATTATGTCGGACATGATCATAACATTACCTACAGAACATGACCACAGACGAGTGACATTGCTTCTATTGTAGCTCCAGTATAGTAATAGCTCTATAACCAAGCAACCCTCCCCACTTACAGGTTCCCTCCCCAGTCCCCCAGTGTTGCTGTCTGTCTCTCGCACCTGTGGTGGCTGTGGCCCCTGTATACTCTGGGGACTGAGCAGCGGTGGGGGAGCTGACGGCTGGGACCCCCACTGAGGTGACAGACTTGGCCGGGGAGAAGGGCCCTGGGGACGTGGAGGTGGGCGTGGTCTCCGTCAGCATCATCTCTTCCTCTTGCTCAGCTATAAAAGGGTTCAGAGGTCAATAAACTATTAGAGAGACAGGAGGTTCTTATGTACTCAAGAGTCAGTGTACTAAACAGCATTCAATATTAGTATTTTCAATATACAGTGGGGGAAAAAAGTATTTAGTCAGCCACCAATTGTGCAAGTTCTCCCACTTAAAAAGATGAGAGAGACCTGTAATTTTCATCATAGGTACACGTCAACTATGACAGACAAATTGAGAGAAAAAAAATCCAGAAAATCACATTGTAGGATTATTTATGAATTTATTTGCAAATTATGGTGGAAAATAAGTATTTGGTCACCTATAAACAAGCAAGATTTCTGGCTCTCACAGACCTGTAACTTCTTCTTTAAGAGGCTCCTCTGTCCTCCACTCGTTACCTGTATTAATGGCACCTGTTTTAACTTGTTATCAGTATAAAAGACACCTGTCCACAACCTCAAACAGTCACACTCCAAACTCCACTATGGCCAAGACCAGAGAGCTGTCAAAGGACACCAGAAACAAAATTGTAGACCTGCACCAGGCTGGGAAGACTGAATCTGCAATAGGTAAGCAGCTTGGTTTGAAGAAATCAACTGTGGGAGCAATTATTAGGAAATGGAAGACATACAAGACCACTGATAATCTCCCTCGATCTGGGGCTCCACGCAAGATCTCACCCCGTGGGGTCAAAATGATCACAAGAACGGTGAGCAAAAATCCCAGAACCACACGGGGGGACCTAGTGAATGACCTGCAGAGAGCTGGGACCAAAGTAACAAAGCCTACCATCAGTAACACACTACGCCGCCAGGGACTCAAATCCTGCAGTGCAAGACGTGTCCCCCTGCTTAAGCCAGTACATGTCCAGGCCCGTCTGAAGTTTGCTAGAGTGCATTTGGATGATCCAGAAGAGGATTGGGAGAATGTCATATGGTCAGATGAAACCAAAATATAACTTTTTGGTAAAAACTCAACTTGTTGTGTTTGGAGGACAAAGAATGCTGAGTTGCATCCAAAGAACACCATACCTACTGTGAAGCATGGGGGTGGAAACATCATGCTTTGGGGCTGTTTTTCTGCAAAGGGACCAGGACGACTGATCCGTGTAAAGGAAAGAATGAATGGGGCCATGTATCGTGAGATTTTGAGTGAAAACCTCCTTCCATCAGCAAGGGCATTGAAGATGAAACGTGGCTGGGTCTTTCAGCATGACAATGATCCCAAACACACCACCCGGGCAACAAAGGAGTGGCTTCGTAAGAAGCATTTCAAGGTCCTGGAGTGGCCTAGCCAGTCTCCAGATCTCAACCCCATAGAAAATCTTTGGAGGGAGTTGAAAGTCCGTGTTGCCCAGCGACAGCCCCAAAACATCACTGCTCTAGAGGAGATCTGCATGGAGGAATGGGCCAAAATACCAGCAACATTGTGTGAAAACCTTGTGAAGACTTACAGAAAACGTTTGACCTGTGTCATTGCCAACAAAGGGTATATAACAAAGTATTGAGAAACTTTTGTTATTGACCAAATACTTATTTTCCACCATAATTTGCAAATAAATTCATTAAAAATCCTACAATGTGATTTTCTGGATTTTTTTTCTCATTTTGTCTGTCATAGTTGACGTGTACCTATGATGAAAATTACAGGCCTCTCTCATCTTTTTAAGTGGGAGAACTTGCACAATTGGTGGCTGACTAAATACTTTTTCCCCCCACTGTACATGTTGTTATTTTTGTTGGTGTTGAAATGCATTTGTGGTTGCTGCAGCAGCAATACTGATGGTAGCAGGAAAGATAATTAATAATAATAATAATATGCCACTTAGCAGACGCTTTTATCCAAAGCGACTTACAGTCATGCGTGCATACATTTTTGTGTATATTCCAAAGTCCTATACAGTAGTAGTAGTAGTAATAATAGTAGTAGTAGTAGTAGTAGTAATAATAGTAGTAGTAGTAATTGTAGTTGTTGTGATAGTAGTAATATTAATAGTTGAAAGCAGCTCCAGTAGTAGTTGTTGACAGGGTGGTGGTCTAACCTGTGCTGCCCTCTGCCTTCATGGACCTCATGAGCTCGTTGGCCCTCTCCTGGCAGTGCAGGGACTCCAGCAGGTACAGCACATAGTCATCAAACATCAGGTGGATCAGGTGGAACGAGCCTACACACAGGGAGAGAGAGAGAGGGAGAGAGAGAGAGGGAGAGGGAGAGAGAGAGAGAGAGAGAGAGAGAGAGAGAGGAGAGAGGAGAGAGAGAGAAACTAAGGAAACAGGATGGATCAGTGTCCCTATCATCCACCCAACAAGTCTAATTATTTTAAAGGGAAGTAATGAGCTACATAAAGTTCAAAATGAAGATTCTAAGATGTGCAGTGTATTTGAGTGTTGTCTGTGGTTGGAGGCCTAGAAATCATCCATTCAAAGCTATGAACATACACTTATACATTTCAAAACACAGTTTACAAAAAGAGGCTGAACGATCAGACTGTGTGTTTCATTACTAGTCCTTCCAAATATCTGACAGACTGCATCATAGCAGCTCACTCAACACAACAGGCAGTGTGAGGGAGAAGAACGACTGGGCGGTCATTGTCATTAAAAGAGACAAGGGGGCTGTTTCTTGTTTCCTTGTACAAAGTCCTTGCTCCAAATATGACGGCTGACCCCTGAGCCGGGTATGGGAGATGACTGAGACCATGCGCATAATAAACACCAGCAGCTTTTCAGGGAACAGAGGAGTGCAATACTGCCTGGTCATAAAATGGAAAAGATAGGAAAACACATTGGGGAAGAGAGGGAGGGGGGGGGGGGGGGTAGCCATTGTTAATTAGCTGTTTTCGCACAGAGAGCTACTTTATCAAAACATTGCAACCAGCTGTGACTTTGATATTCACAGACTGAAGGGGAGAAGAGAGGAGGGGGAAGGGAAGCCATTTTCTTCTTTTTTTTTACAGCCCCTATCTCTTTCAGTGCCTCAGTCATGCACCGCTCGCTAGTAAAGTAAAGGCTAGGGGGGCCATACCAGCAAAGCAGCCATCTTACCACCACGCTTTCCCCGTTTTGGATTGGGAGAACATCGGAAGGCAATTCTCTGCTGAGTCTGCACACAACTTTCCTTATTCCCATTTCCCAAAAATGGGGGGAGGGGCTTAAACTATGTTTGGACCTACATGCATAGTAGTACAGTCGTGGTCAAAAGTTTTGAGAATGACACAAATACGAATTTTCACAAGGTCTGCTGCCTCAGTTTTGATGATGGCAATTTGCATATACTCCAGAATGTCATGAAGAGTGATCAGATGAATTGCAATTAATTGCAAAGTCCCTCTTTGCCATGAAAATGAACTTAATCCCCAAAAGGACCAGCTGCCATCATGTCAGTGATTCTCTCGTTAACACAGGTGAGAGTGTAGACGAGGACAAGGCTGGAGATCACTCTGTCATGCTGATTGAGTTAGAATAACAGACTGGAAGCTTTAAAAGGAGGGTGGTGCTTGAAATCATTGTTCTTCCTCTGTTAACCATGGTTACCTGCAAGGAAACACGTGCCGTCATCATTGCTTTGCACAAAAATGGCTTCACAGGCAAGAATATTGCTGCTAGTAAGATTGCACCTAAATCAACCATTTATCGGATCATCAAGAACTTCAAGGAGAGAGGTTTAATTGTTGTGAAGAAGGCGTCAGGGTGCCCAAGAAAGTCCAGCAAGCGCCAGGACCATCTCCTAAAGTTGATTCAGCTGCGGGATCGGGGCACCACCAGTGCAGAGCTTGCTCAGGAATGGCAGCAGGCAGGTGTGAGTGCATTTGCACGCACAGTGAGGCGAAGACTTTTGGAGGATGGCCTGGTGTCAAGAAGGGCAGGAAAGAAGCCACTTCTCTCCAGGAAAAACATCAGGGACAGACTGATATTCTGCAAAAGGTACAGGGATTGGACTGCTGAGGACTGGGGTAAAGTCATTTTCTCTGATGAATCCCCTTTCCGATTGTTTGGGGCATCCGGAAAACACCTTGTCCGGAGAAGACAAGGTGAGCGCTACCATCAGTCCTGTGTCATGCCAACAGTAAAGCATCCTGAGACCATTAATGTGTGGGGTTGCTTCTCAGCCAAGGGAGTGGGCTCACTCACAATTTTGCCTAAGAACACAGCCATGAATAAAGAATGGTACCAACACATCCTCCGAGAGCAACTTCTCCCAACCATCCAAGAACAGTTTGGTGACGACCAATGCCTTTTCCAGCATGATGGAGCACCTTGCCATATGGCAAAAGTGATAACTAAATGGCTCTGGGAACAAAACATCGAAATTTTGGGGCCATGGCCAGGAAACTCCTCAGACCTTTATCCCATTGAGAACTTGTGGTCGATCCTCAAGAGGCGGGTGGACAAACAAAAACCCACAAACTCCAAGCATTGATTATGCAAGAATGGCCTGCCATCAGTCAGTATGTGGCCCAGAAGTTAATTGAGAGCATGCCAGGGCGGATTGCAGAGGTCTTGAAAAAGAAGGGTCAACACTGCAAATATTGACTCTTTGCATAAACTTAATGTAATTGTCAATAAAAGCCTTTGACACTTATGGAATGCTTGTAATTATACTTCAGTATACCATAGTAACATCTGACAAAAATATCTCATAACACTGAAGCAGCGAACTTTGTGAAGACCAATACTTGTGTCATTCTCAAAACTTTTGACCACGACTGTATATTCAAATAACTCAGTTCAGCAAGTTTTGGCTGAGTTTTGGGCCAATGCCATGGATAATCTATAACTGTTCTTCACAAATTATTTTGGTTACTTGGACCAAAACTAGAACTAGGCAACTTCTGTCTGACTAGTGACACCATCAATATGGTTAAATAACGATACATAACCCCCTAAAAACAATTTTCCTTGTGTCGGCTGATACATGCCCCAGCCCAATGCTAGATCCAACCACTCACCGAAGCTAGGCGCACTGTGGAGGGTCATATCCCGGATGACTCGGGTCCCGAAGCACGACCACATGAGCAGGAACTGTTGGGCCACCTTCTTCAGGCACCCGGGCCTCTTTCCTGCCACCTTAAGGAGATATTTCCATGAGAAAAGAGGGGGAAGGGAAGGGAAGAGTTGGGGGGGGGGGGAATTAACCCCTGGGTCCTTATTGGGGCTTAACCCTCAGGAACGAAAAACATGTCAACAAGTCAACTATTTAATTTGCCCCTGGGGACACGCCTTCTCATTGAACCATTGTCTGGGGAGTCCGTGACATTGCCAAGGCAACCACATTTTACAAGCCCATATCTGGAGCATAATGGCAGCAAATGGGAGCCATGAAGACAGCATTAACTAGGATGGCAGCTCGAGTGGCTCTGCGTCAGCAAGTCATGGAGAGACGGATGCCATTAAAACGCATGGTTATTTTTGTGAAGGGCCATAATCCTTACCGATTTGCTGTACAAATATACTTAAACAATAAAATACCACATGAACATCCAGAATGGCCTTGGTAAATGCAATACAAACGTCACTGTGGAACGTTTTAGGAGACAATTGAAGAAATTATTTTCTATAGTTTCCATTTATGATCAGCATACAGCATACTGTAGCCATAGTAGAAAGCACATGCCTAAAGATGATGGCTGGACGTTTTCTAATGATATATCCTAGATGTTAAAAGGGCTTAATGTATATTAAGTATTTACATCCTCAACTGACCTTGACAACACAGCGGTCCACCATGGAGTCCAGCCACTCGATGTAGGCCTCTATAGGAGACTGCTCCTCCAGCAGATGGTCAAACTCCTGGTACACTGAGAGGGGAAGGAGACGAGAGCTGCATTTAGCCACAGTTTGTCAACACATAGACTATTTAATCCTTCAGGGGATATATCTTTGTACATAGTGGAGAAAGCCCCATCCTTGTCTATACAGATCGGAGTCTTGACAGATAGCAATTTGGATCAAATGAAGAGATTGAATAATTGTAGTGTGTGACTATGGACCTAAAGTACCCTCACTTAAATCAATCAAACTGCCAAAACCAGCAGCATATACAGTATGTCTTGTATATGAGGCTGTGTCTTATTTGATGTTATAGTGCATAATTTCTCTCTGTCTAATAGAACAGAATGAGAGTGGGATGTGGAAATGGCCTCTTTATGCAACAACACCAGCCAATCTGTGAACTGTGACCCTATCACGGCCATTTCAGGGGGTTGACGCTGAAATGAATTTGAGATGGTCCACGGGGTGTTTCAGAGCAGAGTCAACTTGCTTAACCTTTTAGCCTCCATCATTAAGGCTTGACTTTCCTGGCCGTGGGAATGAATGTCCAATGGCTGACATCTACTGTGTGTTATTGGCGGCTGTGTGTGTGGGAGTGAAGTGCATTTCTCAGCTACAATGCTATGAAGGAGAGCAAACAATTTAAGTTAAGGTGTATTGGAGCACAACAGGGTTGTTTGGAATGTGGATTCTAGGCTTTTGGACTAAATGTAACTTAATGTGAATGCTACTATGTGTGTGTTTGTGTGCGTGCGTTTGTGTGTGTCTGCATCCGTACATGTGTGCGTGTCTGTGCCCTTACAGTGGATGATGAGCCGCCGGTGCTCCTCCCATGTGTCCTCCATGGTGTAAAGTGTCTGCTTGGTGATGCTGTTCAGGTCCACGTTCCTCCAGTCCTCCATCATCTGAAAGGTGATGTCTGCACTGTGGATCACCGTCCGCGACGCCTGCCCAGAGACACATCAACAACACACACATTATTAGATCGTGATACACACTGCATATACCTTTATCAGTCATATTTTCATATGGAATTCATTACATTCATACAGTGAAATAGCTACCTGACATAGATGGTTCAAAGATGTCTGCCGCTTGAGAACCTGAGAAAATCTTCTAGATACTGTGGATAAAAGGTAGAGGAAATATTTACTGTTATGTTTTCTACAGTATAACATTTGCTTATTAAAACATGTTTCTAAAATTGGTGCATTCTCCTTTTTCCAAGACTCAGTATGTCATCGTTGTCATAAAATCAAGAGACTAACGACTATTTTTCAATGCAGACACCTACATTCGAATTTGATATTCCTCAGGTTTTCAGGCAGGTCGTGAAGTGCTACTTTAAGCCACTCGTCCAGCTGTTTGGCAAACTTCCGGATCACCTGGGTCAAACTGGAATAAATCTACATTACATCACAAATAACCAAGGTTGTATAACACAAAGGCAAATGTCAAGTTTTCCTCACAGCCCTTTTTCTCTATAGAGGCTGTAGCTCAGTACATAGGGTTGTCATTTCAGTATTTTTAAACAAACAATATGCACGTCAAATATGTTTAGAACAATGATGTGGATCTCATGGACTGTCAGCCTTTGCATTTATAGCTCTGTCTATGAATTTGAGTTTGAATTTGATGGGCTGAAACACAAACTCAGGATTGTGGCTTTAGTGATCACTGGGGTGGGGAGAAGAGCTACAGTACACTAAGAAGAGCTACAGTACACTAAGAAGAGCTACAGTACACACCTATCAGGCAGTGCTTGCAGGACGGTGGGCATAAGAACCCCAGAGATTGCCTTGTAAAGAATGGAGTCACAGACGCCCACGATGTTGACCACAGTGGAGGAGCCCAGGACAGGGAGCATGTGGGGGGGCATGCCCTGCCAAAAGTGCAGCAGGAAGCTCTGGACCTGGAGACACCCAGGAAAAGAGGGTCATTCTCTCAACGTCATGTACAATACAACTTAAGAGACTAACCCAACTTTTCTAATGAGATACATTTCGGTTAGAAGTAGTTTATTGTGACAGACTGGTAGCATAACAGATTTGGTTCAGTGTTCCAAGATTAGGTAAGAACTAAACCGATTCTCATGAAAATGGGATGTCTTCATTTAGAAGTCCAAGAACATTTAGCTCGTAATCTGTTTTGTGACCACATTCAACAATAGAGTCAGGCTTTACAGTCAAAAAAACAAAAACACAAAGTCCTGTCACATTTAATGGGACTGGTAAATAAAGGTGCAAAAGATGGACACATATGAAATGTGTCTTGCCTCGTCAAAGTTGGCACGTATTACTGTGTCCAGTATCCTCTGGCAGTGAGTTCTGTACATCATGATAAACGTTGACACCTGTGGGAAAACATAGAGAACACTGAGTATAAATGCACGGCAGTAACGTGGTCCAAGTCTGTATCACACTGCTACTTTGAGAGCTTGGGACTATAAGGTTCAACATTTTGCTATTGACATAGCCTTGTTCTGTTCAATGTTCTCTACCTATATAGTACTCTAAATACCCCAATTCATGTTGTTAAGATCAAAAGAATACAAGATAAAAAACGCCTTGCCACCATTCAAACCAAGGTGTGTTAGGAACGTTAAAGCCAATGATCTCAGAATCATATTTTTGCACTTAGAACCTATAGTCCCAAGCTCTCGACTTATCAAAGGCACATACTGTTTCGTAGTGACATTCTTAGCGAATGACCAGGATGCTGCTTCAGTTAAGATACATTCAATCTGGGAACTGGGTTCTACTGTCTACTGTACAGTATAATTGGTAGCTAGTGTTTTCAAGTGATATCATATATCAATGGATTGATACGAAAAACAAGACAATAAATCCCATCCAAAAACATCGGCATCAATAAATACCTGCAACAGGTCGCACACCAAAACTATGTTACATAAAACCGTCTTTAGAGATCAGCAACTCACAAACCATTGAAAATCATGGCCCCCTCATTTAAAGCTTGACAGTTAGTGTCTGTCCTTTGTCCGGCGCTGGATCTTATTATCTCCCCACAAGATTAAGAGTTAGTGAGGAGCCAGCAGCATATAAATCCTCAAGGTCCTTCTTCTCTAAACCCAGAGTCAGAGAAGGTCCGGGGCAGATAAAAGGGGATAGCCAGAGGGGGCGAGAGGGGCGAGGGGTTGGTTGGATAAGGGAGGAGGACTTTTTAGAGTCCTGTTTACCTTCTCCTCTGGCAGACTGGCAGGCAGATTTAAGTCTTTGACATTTGGAAAGTCTGGCAGGAGCGTCCCCAGTTTGGAGCGTGGTGAATATGCCACTGTCTGCTTGGTGACCTCCTTCTTGCCTGTCTCGTTCACCCACGCCGCCCCCTTCTTGGAGTACATCACGTCGTAGTACTGGGAGCTCTCCTTCACAGCGATGCCATAGTAGTGGTACCTATAGGGGATAGTTGATAGTTAGAGAGGTATATAAATGGAAAAGAAAGTTGCACACTCATCTCTCCTACTTGACCAACATTTCAGCTAAGGACTCTTCATCAGGGTGTGAGGCAGTGGCTTGTCATCATGTGATTTTGAGAGGTTACATCCTCAAATCATAGACATGGTGAAGATTACCGCCTTGAAGAATCGTTAAAAGCAGGCCCTCCATTAACACAATGATACTCCTCTTTCAATAATGAAAAACAAAAATCAAAACCAATGTGCAGAAAGAAAGAAAGAAAAGTAGGAGACAACATTGACTTACTTTGATTGGCCCCTGGTCCCCAGTCTTCTTGTGGTCAGTTGTGGAAACTGTTGTCTAATAATCTGTTAATCAGAGAATTAGAATAAGTGTATCAGTGATTTTTTCTCTGTGAGATTCTTCATGCTTTTGTATGTGTATATCCCGCATGTAAAGCACCTGTTGAAAATGTGTTATCACTTTTGACAGTGCTATCATACTGTAGATGTAAGGGAAGAGATACTGTACACTTGAAAGTACACAATTATCTCAGCTAGTGGCTGAAGTAACTGCCCCATCCAGAATGATTTTTAACCATGTACAGCTCATACAGAATGACATGAAAATCCACATTGAACATATCAATGAATCAAGTGAAAGTGAGTTCTGTTCTAGACGCGAAGATCTGTGAAGTTCCCAGAGCCTTAACCCCAGGGAGGTCTCCACTGGCTGTGGGAGAAAAAGGCTTTGGGAGCCATCCATTTTTGACACGTTCAGGGATATTATTTTTCAACATTAAAAACCTCTCCAAAATCTCTCCCTCTCCCCCTTGTTCCCTTGCCCCCTTGTTCCCTCTCCTCCTTGTTCCCTCTCCCCTTGTTCCCTTGCCCCCTTGTTCCCTCTCCTCCTTGTTCCCTCTCCTCCTTGTTCCCTCTCCTCCTTGTTCCCTCGCCCCCTTGTTCCCTCTCCTCCTTGTTCCCTCTCCAACTTGTTCCCTCTCCTCCTTGTTCCCTCTCCTCCTTGTTACCTCGCCCCCTTGTTCCCTCTCCTCCTTGTTCCCTCCCCCCTAATTCCCTCTCCTCCTTGTTCCCTCTTCTCCTTGTTCCCTCTCCTCCTTGTTCCCGCTCCTCCTTGTTCCCTCTCCAACTTGTTCCCTCTCCTCCTTGTTCCCTCTCCAACTTGTTCCCTCTCCTCCTTGTTCCCTCTCCTCCTTGTTCCCTCTCCTCCTTGTTCCCTCTCCTCCTTGTTCCCTCTCCAACTTGTTCCCTCTCCCCCTTGTTCCCTCTCCTCCTTGTTCCCTCTCCTCCTTGTTCCCTCGCCTCCCTTGTTCCCGCTCCTCCTTGTTCCCTCTCCTCCTTGTTCCCTCTCCTCCTTGTTTCCTCTCCTCCTTGTTCCCTCTACTCCTTGTTTCCTCTCCTCCTTGTTCCCTCTACTCCTTGTTCCCTCTCCTCCTTGTTCCCTCTCCTCCTTGTTCCCTCGCCTCCCTTGTTCCCGCTCCTCCTTGTTCCCTCGCCCCCCTTGTTCCCTCTCCTCCTTGTTCCCTCTCCTCCTTGTTTCCTCTCCTCCTTGTTCCCTCTACTCCTTGTTCCCTCTCCTCCTTGTTTCCTCTCCTCCTTGTACCCTCTACTCCTTGTTTCCTCTCCTCCTTGTTCCCTCTACTCCTTGTTCCCTCTCCTCCTTGTTTCCTCTCCTCCTTGTTCCCTCTCCTCCTTGTTCCCTCTACTCCTTGTTCCCTCTACTCCTTGTTCCCTCTCCTCCTTGTTTCCTCTCCTCCTTGTTCCCTCTCCTCCTTGTTCCCTCTCCTCCTTCCTTCCCTCTCTCTCTCTCTTTCTTTTTGTCCATGAGATTGGCTCCTTGGTCCAGCTCCTGGTGCAGAAACTTTCGTAAACAGTGGAGCTTTCCATTGTGTGGGATGAAAAAAGAGGCCAAGCTGTGAAGTTTCTGTCAGGCCCCGCTTGATAAATGAGCAGACAGGGAGGCAGGCGGGGCCCTCACTCGTTTTTTTGTCCCGAATCAATGAAGCCTTCCTAAAGGACACCCCACACTGCTCCAGCCACTGATCTAACATTCCGCAACATCTCACCCTTCCAAATTTCCTTTAATTACACATTAATCCAGGCTCCTTCTCTTTTTCAATATCCTCCGACAGGAGCTGGGGAGGGGTGGGGGGGGACGAGGAGGGGGCTGGGTCCGAGTGTTGGGGGTGGCTGGGAGTAGGTGGGTAGAGGGGATTTTCTGGGTTGTAGGAACAGAGGTGAGCATGATTCTTCTAGCTGTGTAACCCGTCTAGCAGTTTTCAGGGGAACCATCAGTGGGCCATTCCGTTGCTTCTCAATAACTACATGTGGATATTACTTTTCAAACACACCGTAACAAGCCATAAGACTGATCTATATGCATCAGTAGGCATACTTTTTCAATGCTATACTTATTTCTCCCTTTCATGTTTTACTATCCTGATGGATGGTAACCTTCCAACGCAGGTATAACCTACTCCACCAAAGGGACCATTGCATGTACTCTTTCTGTGAAGTATTATGTTCACAAAATTAGTTTGGGCTCAATCAAACAGTCCCTCCTAAATGTCCTGTTAAACTGGTCTTTAACTGTGTCCTACCTTCCCAAAGCTGGCGGCGTTGACAGGCTGTGTGTCGTGCTTCTCACAGAAGTCCAGGTAGTGCATGTAGAGAGCACTACGGGGGATACAAACCCCTTCTGCAATCTCATAGTTCTGCTCCAGCCTGTAGGTGAAAAGCAGACCTGTCAATCAATCCCCACAGAATAACATGGACTCTTTACAGACCACAAAGACATCTCTAGACTGGCATCTACAGTATCTACCAGTATGAAAATAAACTGTTACCCAGTTTACTCCTGTACTTATTCAGTCAAGGGCAGGTTATTTACTAGTGGACGAGATTAGAGAAATAATCTAACCTGAATTAGGAGCTACTATGTGAAAGTATACACTACCGTTCAAAAGTTTGACCTTCTAGGCAGAGTTGCAAAGAAAAAGCCATATCTCAGACTGGCCAATAAAAATAAAAGATTAAGATGGGCAGTCTGAGATATGGCTTTTTCTTTGCAACTCTGCCTAGAAGGTCAGCATCCCGGGGTCGCCTCTTCACTGTTGACGTTGAGACTGGTGTTTTGAGGGTACTATTTAATGAAGCTGCCAGTTGAGGACCTGTGAGGCGCCTGTTTCTCAAACTAGACACTCTAATGTATTTGTCCTCTTGCTCAGTTGTGCACCGGGGCCTCCCACTCCTCTTTCTATTCTGGTTAGAGCCAGTATGCGCTGTTCTGTGAAGGGAGTAGTACACAGCGTTGTACGAGATCTTCAGTTTCTTGGCAATTTCTCACATGGAATAGCCTTCAATTCTCAGAACAAGAATAGATTGATGAGTTTCAGAAGAAAGTTATTTGTTTCTGGCCATTTTGAGCCTGTAATCGAACCCACAATTGCTGATGCTCCAGATACTCAATTAGTCTCAAGAAGGCCAGTGTTATTGTTTCTTTAATCAGCACAACAGTTTTCAGCTGTGCTAACATAATTGCAAAAGGGTTTTCTAATGATCAATTAGCCTTTTAAAATGATAAACTTGGATTAGCAAACACAATGTGCCATTGGAACACAGGACTGATGGTTGCTGATAATGGGCCTCTGTACGACTATGTAGATATTCCATTAAAAATCAGCCGTTTCCAGCTACAATAGCCATTTACAACATTAACAATGTCTACACTGTATTTCTGATCAATTTGATGTTATTTTAATGGACAAAAAAATTGCTTTTCTTTAGAAAAAAATGACATTTCTAAGTGACCCCAAACTTTTGAACGGTAGTGTATATGTGGATTTATTTTATACCATCTGGGAAAGGCGGAACTACAACCATCAGTTCAGTGTATATATCTCTACTGTATAGCCTAAATACTTCACAAAACGAAGCATTACAATGTGAGAGAGGAGCTTCGAAGTGCTAGAAAACACTTATCAGTTGCTCCCATAATAAACGTAAAATAGACAATAAATTGGGGAATATAAAGTTGTGATCAAGCACTCTTAACAGTATGTTATACAATTCAGTATGATAAAAAAGCTATTTTGAACATCTCATGAACATAAAAAGAACCGTGATGTCTGTATTACGCAACAACTCTAAATACACCTGTATTTTGAGTGCAAAATAAATCAAAGACTGTTCGTTCATCTGTCATATTTCAGAGCAACGTAAAATACAAATATTTTACAAGGATTATTGCTCATGAACACATTCCTCAAGCAAAAATAAAGCGGGCCATTTCAGAAGTGAGTTGAAAATGGGAAGTTCCATGCTGTTGAAGTGTGAAGGACTGTGTAATCCCAGGGGACCTACAACACTCCTCTACATAATATTCCCATGGACTCGGACTGTCTATGTAGACCAGGTATGTTTATCTAAATAGAAATGTATGTGTCTGACAACAACACTACACAAACCAACGCGCCTCCATGAAAGTGCCATGAAAATGACTGATAAACACTAATTCAATCTCCACCCTTCAAAAAATATCCAAGGAAGAGACTGATCAAGTATTTTCACCAGTGTGGAATTTCCACCAGAGGGAATGCAATTTCAAATACAGACAACAAATGATTAAAAGAAGAAGAATGTCTTGATATAGCCAGCTTCCTGTTTTAACTGAGTCTAATGCATATTAATATATTCTGAACATAACAGGTGCAAATGCACAGGTCTCTGGTTCTATGAAGGCAAAGAAATATTGCTATTTTGGTGAAAAAGCCTTTATACTAAAACATCCTTCCAGCCCAACAGCGGCCTGCCATGTCATATTGTAAATGTAAACTGTAAGCACCCACACAATGCTCGCTAAAGTTGATAGTTCTCTTCTCAAAAGGTGCTGCTCAAAGGTACAGTTATGTCCTTCATCTTTACATGATCAAACGATGTGACCCTACATGAGAAGACTGTATACAGACAATCCTTAAACAGCAAACAATATAAGAACAAAATAGGGAAATGCACTTGTACATTTTATCAACAAACAAAAAGCTACATTGTAAATGCCCCAAATAATAGAAAATAAATGTGTTGAATAGCTTATGCATTGAGAACATTAAATTACAGCATTACAGCTGTAGAATAAGAGCTTTAGGATTATGCAACATTATATAAACAGGTTGGGAAAGAGGTGAATCATCACCAACACTTACCATTGTAGGGTAGCTGGTGTTGAATGTGGTTTAGAAGCCCTGTTGTTTTCTTTCTCCTCATCTTTTACAGACAAAAAAGAAACATGTCAACTATTTCAAATCAACCTCTTCAATTAAGTAATGGGCAAAGCAATATAAAAAATAAAATAAAATAAATAATTGCTGTGAATATTTTTAAAAACAGAGATATTGTAATATCTTTGATCTAAACTGAACAGGGTTAGAAAAGTCTGAAGTTTGATGCAGTACACAATTATTTTTTAAAATAATTTCTCTCTTTATCCAGCAATTCTACGTGCAACAATATTATGATTAATATAAATCAGTGGATTATCAGGGACATCTTATTGACACATGTTTTGTGATGTTTTGTAAATGAAGGTGTGCTCTATTTGAACAAATTCCAATCATAGCCTACAAGTGCAAAACACTGACCTTTGCCATATTTTTCTCACCAAGCCTATTATTGCGCACCTTATTACAGCAAATATCAATTTATTTTAATCAATAGCAGTCTTATTTTAGGCCTATGACAATAGATTATTTCAACATATATTTATCCATTACTTTATGACTTGCAGTAATACAACATTAAAGCGTTACACGGTCACTGCTTACTTTCGTCATTGGACGTATTCCCCAGGGACGTGTGACTGGAATACCGCTTGCTCTCGCTCTCGTTGAGGCATCTTTCAATCCAGCTCTCTAGAAAAAGGCAAGATGGCCCACATATCAGAGAAAAGCCTACAGGAATTTACAATTGTAGGTTTTATTTCTGTGGCCCACATAAAGATTAATTCGCATAGCCTATTTATTAATTTGTCTATAGGCCTATATGGCTCATCAAAATATGCCGACAATTGGGTGGTGGTATGAATTGTCCAATATTTGGTTACTCTATTGGCCCTAATCAATATAGGGCCTTATATTATACAAACGTTTCCTAAATAAATCAAGATCTAACAATCCAATTTGGATAGATTTATCACAAGTTGACTTTACTCAAGCTGCATCTGCAACAGGTGGCCTTTTTATAACTACATTTTGAGACAAACGTTGCCAAATGCAAAAAAAGATGTGACTGGGCAATTCGACTATAATCGATTGTGGGGGTCTTGGCGCAGCTGTGCTTCTATTTGAAATGTTTTCACCAAAACGGCAGGAATCCTTCATTGTTCTTGGGGGGACTACAAACGCGCTCATTGCTAGAGCAGCCTCGCGAGCGACACAGAAGCCTTTGTCCCATTCTAATTTCTATTTAGAAATAGCTCAACTGGTGTCCTTTCTTGGGACAGAAACACTTATATTTATCGTAGTCCTGTAGATCCTGTTTCCCGCACGGGCCATGACTACAATCACCATAGTAGCAGTTGCCAGGACTGACTGTTGGCAAGGCAACCTGTTCCATGTAATGATTTACAGGTTCCATCCCATCAGAAGCGGTTAGAGAAGAGGTCATGGAAATAGAAAAGTTTAGAGACTCAGAACTTTTATGATAAATTAATATTCGACACCTTTTGGTTGATGAGTGGCATGGGCAGTTAGAATGAATAGCCTAAAAGTAGGCTAGAATGCTTTATCTCATGAATAAAAGCAAAAGTGTAGCCTATGCCTAATTTATCAACTCTGAGGCTGTCATCAGTTCCATATAGGCCTAAATGTAATGGTATTATCAAATTAATAAACTAAAATTATAATTATTGTCATCATCATCATCATTAGCCTATTTATAATCAACATCATCATTTATTATTATTAGACCAATTATTACAATTAATTGCAAAACATTATTAGGCAGACTTGTAACTTATTTCAATGTCTTGTGCACTAGCCTAGCTGGTACTTCAAATAGCTTTCCCCAGTCATTGATGAAGTTAGTCCACTGAGGTGACAATAATTCTCCATTGTAGCACTTATCCTTAGGTTGTAATTGAATCATTTGCCATGAGCACAGATAAGACAGAGCTTTGAATAACTGGATTAAATTCGATCAATGGGCGAAACGGTTATCTGATAATGTATTATAGGCATACACTCTTTCATGTTAACCAACTCAACACCAGACAGTGAATTAGCATAAACATCAGGGGGAAAAAACTCCCTGTTGAATATTCAATAAAGTAAATAAATGAGCCTATAATAAAGTTATTAGGAAGGAAGTTAGATTGAGAGCCAAGTAGAAAAACGTGTAGCTAAAGCAGCAACATTCATTACTTTACCATAAACATGTAGTTTATAATATTACATTGAATTTACTTTAGGCTAATTATTGCGTCATGCTGTGTGACTTTATCCTGCTCTGGGCGACTGGCACCATACCTCTGTGGACTGGCAGCTTATTTCCACCCAGAAGTTGTTTACAAGAAGCAGGTGCATCACAGGCTACATGCGCCTCGAAGGCTTGTAAGACTTTCCCCCCACAGAGATTGCTGAATGTAGGTCTGTCTAATAGTTGAAATTACTGCTCTTTAATCAAGATTGTGGCACAAATGAAGGGCCCTAATGTCATTCCATAATCAAACCATGCCTCAAAACCGTATTTTTGTTGGTATAGATTTATCATGAATTAATGGCACAAAACCACAAGGCCACTTTTGTTGACATCTGAAGAAACCAAAATCAAACAAATGCAATGCCATGGTGAGTAATCCCTCACATTAACAATAAATGCATTCATCAACAAATCACTCAAAAATGGTTGTAGAGAAAGTCACAAATTCCCAGGGGCCCAGTTATAGTGATCCACAACAGAGAGTGGTTCCCCATGCATCCCGATAAGTCAAGGCAAAGCTGCAGGGTTGCAGGACAGCAGGACCAACCTGTGGAATCCATATCAGGCTCCTCCAGCAGCCCACAATGCATCCTCTTCCCATCAATGGCAAACTGGCTCCTCCAAGAAAATGGCTCTGTGTACGGCTCCCCCTCCTCAGTAGGTCTTCCCTTGTCTGGCTCCGCGTCCCCGTGACCACTGCCTATCCGTGGCAGGAGATGGTGAGGCTCTGGGCTCCGCCGGGAGAGGGGTGGTGTCGGTGGTGATGGTGAGGGGAGGTGGTGGGGGTGAGGGGAGAGGGGGGTAGAGACTCCAGAAATCCAGCGGGGGGGGGGGGGGGGGGGGGGGGGGGGGGGGGGGGGGGGGGAGCCAGACCCGTCAAAATGTTTGCTGATGTTTCATGGGAAAGGGTCTGATTTTATAGCAGCCCTGATGGGGACATGTCATTGATAGGCTCGGAAGGCTGATGAATGGCCTCGAGTCAGATGGGGATGTGGCAAGGCTCACTGGAAGCCTTTTGTGGGGCTGTTTTGAATAAGAAAGGCTCCCTCCCCAAGAAAAAAAGAGGCTTAGATCTACGCAATCCTAGCACTGTGGCCTCCCCGTCTTCCATTATAGCATTTAATACGTTTTTATACCCCCCCCCCCTCCCCACCACACACACTCCTCCAACCCCTCTTATTTAAAGTCCCAGCTCCCATGAACACTTGTTGGCCAGTTTCAGAACTTTTCTGATCTCTGTGTCTTCCTCCATTGGCCCTGGGAACTCCAACATGCCCACAGGATTAGGTTTTTAGGAAACTACTTTGAGAGAGTGCTACTTTAGATTGTTCTTTTCCACACATTACGATCACTTTCTCATTTCAATACCCCATCTTTGCTAAGATGCTTTTTAAAAAATGGTTTCAAAAAGTTGCCTACCGAAAACCATTGACATTTGGTCAGCTACACACTAGAAATTAGTCCGAAATGGCACGAGTGTAATTTATTTTTCCCCATACTCCCTCTCTCCTTGAGGCAACCTTATTTTAGTGTGCCTCGGAGGAGAGCGCTGGCCACAAAGGGGGGAAGTAAAAGTGCAAAGCCTGAGGCTGGGGGCTCTGATGGAGTGCCTGTGAGCTGGAGAAGGGAAAGCTGTGATTAGAATATGAATGGAACCACAGGAGAGAGAGGGGAGAGGGGGAGGGAGAGAGGAGGAGAAAGGGGGATTATGGCTGAATTACTCACCACACCATGGATGGCAGTGGAAGACTTTCTCCTCCTCTTCAGGGTTGCCAATCTGCAGGCTTGGGGACACTGTCGGTGTCAGTGTTCCTACCATGCATCCAGAACAGTTGGGATAGAGCATGTGGGAGAATATGTGTGGTGTCCATGAGAGCACAGGTCATGTGGAGACTCACCAACATGCAGTACAACACACTATACTTATAGCTAGCTAACAGTGCCTTCAGAAAGTATTCATACCCCTTGATTTTTTCCACATTTTCTTGTGTTACAGCCTGAATTCTAAATGGACACAATACCCCATAATGACAAAGTGAAAATATGTTATTAGACATTTTTGCAAATAATTCCAAATGAAATACAGAAACATCTAATTTACATAAGTATTCACACCCCTGAGTCAGTACTTTGTAGAAGCACCTTTGGCAGCGATTACAGCTTTGCGTCTTTCTGGGCAAGTCTCTAAGAGCTTTCCACACCTGGATTGTGCAACATTTGCCTATTATTCTTTTCAAAATTCTTCTAGCTCTGTCAAATTGGTTGTTGATCATTGCTAGACAACCATTTTCATGTCTTGCCATAGATTTTCAAGTAGATTTAAGTTAAAACTGTAACTCGGCAACTCAGGAACATTCACTGTCTTCTTGGTAAGCAAATCCAGTGTAGATTTGGCCTTGTGTTTTAGGTTATTGTCCTGCTGAAAGGTGAATTCATCTTCCAGTGTCTGTTGGAAAGCAGATTGAACCAGGTTTTCCTCTAGAATTTTGCCTGTGCTTTGCTCCCGTTTCTTTTTTATCCTGAAAAACTCCCTAGTCCTTAAAGCATACCCACAACATGATGCAGCCACCACTATGCTTGAAAATATGGAGAGTGATACTCAGTAAGGTGTTGTACAGTGGGGGAAAAAAGTATTTAGTCAGCCACCAATTGTGCAAGTTCTCCCACTTAAAAAGATGAGAGAGGCCTGTAATTTTCATCATAGGTACACGTCAACTATTACAGACAAAATGAGAAAAGAAAATCCAGTAAATCACATTGTAGGATTTTTTATGAATTTATTTGCAAATTATGGTGGAAAATAAGTATTTGGTCAATAACAAAAGTTTCTCAATACTTTGTTATATACCCTTTGTTGGCAATGACACAGGTCAAACGTTTTCTGTAAGTCTTCACAAGGTTTTCACACACTGTTGCTGGTATTTTGGCCCATTCCTCCATGCAGATCTCCACTAGAGCAGTGATGTTTTGGGGCTGTCGCTGGGCAACACGGACTTTCAACTCCCTCCAAAGATTTTCTATGTGGTTGAGATCTGGAGACTGGCTAGGCCACTCCAGGACCTTGAAATGCTTCTTACGAAGCCACTGCTTCGTTGCCCGGGCGGTGTGTTTGGGATCATTGTCATGCTGAAAGACCCAGCCACGTTTCATCTTCAATGCCCTTGCTGATGGAAGGAGGTTTTCACTCAAAATCTCACGATACATGGCCCCATTCATTCTTTCCTTTACACGGATCAGTCGTCCTGGTCCCTTTGCAGAAAAACAGCCCCAAAGCATGATGTTTCCACCCCCATGCTTCACAGTAGGTATGGTGTTCTTTGGATGCAACTCAGCATTCTTTGTCCTCCAAACACGACGAATTGAGTTTTTACCAAAAAGTTATATTTTGGTTTCATCTGACCATATGACATTCTCCCAATCCTCTTCTGGATCATCCAAATGCACTCTAGCAAACTTCAGACGGGCCTGGACATGTACTGGCTTAAGCAGGGGGACACGTCTGGTACTGCAGGATTTGAGTCCCTGGCGGCGTAGTGTGTTACTGATGGTAGGCTTTGTTACTTTGGTCCCAGCTCTCTGCAGGTCATTCACTAGGTCCCCCCGTGTGGTTCTGGGATTTTTGCTCACCGTTCTTGTGATCATTTTGACCCCACGGCGTGAGATCTTGCGTGGAGCCCCAGATCGAGGGAGATTATCAGTGGTCTTGTATGTCTTCCATTTCCTAATAATTGCTCCCACAGTTGATTTCTTCAAACCAAGCTGCTTACCTATTGCAGATTCAGTCTTCCCAGCCTGGTGCAGGTCTACAATTTTGTTTCTGGTGTCCTTTGACAGCTCTTTGATCTTGGCCATAGTGGAGTTTGGAGTGTGACTGTTTGAGGTTGTGGACAGGTGTCTTTTATACTGATAACAAGTTAAAACAGGTGCCATTAATACAGGTAACGAGTGGAGGACAGAGGAGCCACTTAAAGAAGAAGTTACAGGTCTGTGAGAGCCAGAAATCTTGCTTGTTTGTAGGTGACCAAATACTTATTTTCCACCATAATTTGCAAATAAATTCATAAAAAATCCTACAATGTGATTTTCTGGAAAAAAAAATCTCAATTTGTCTGTCATAGTTGACGTGTACCTATGATGGAAATTACAGGCCTCTCTCATCTTTTTAAGTGGGAGAACTTGCACAATTGGTGGCTGACTAAATACTTTTTTTCCCCACTGTATTGGAATTTTCCCAAACATAGCACTTAACAAAAAGTTAATTGCTTTGACACATTTTCTGCAGTATTACTTTAGTGCCTGTGTCAAGGTTCTGATGTGGATGCGGTGGTGGAGTCAAGCGCAGGACACAGAGGAATAGTCAAGACGACTTTACTCAATACCTCTTAAGGTACACACAAAATAACAGCCTCCGAAACACAAGAGGTGTAACAAATACGCGAGTGCATAAATCCCACAAAAGCCAAAGACACAGAACCTAAACCTACAAGACAGGCGGACAATAACACACAAAATGCAAACCTAACACAGGGGAACTTATAGAATACATAATCAAGACAGAATACGAGACAGGTGCACCAACTAGACATAACCAAACAAACATCGAAAACATCAAGCGGTAGTAGCTAGTACTCCGGGGACGACGAACGCCGAAGCCTGCCCGAGCAAGGAGGAGGAGCAGCCTCGGCGGTCTCCGTGACAGCCTGGTTGCAAATAGGATGTATGTTTTGGAATATTTTTATTCTGTACAGGCTTCCTTATTTTCACTCTGTCAATTAGGTTAGTATTGTGGAGTAACTACAATGCTGTTGCAGTTTTTTCATATCACAGCCATTAAACTCTTTAACTGTTTTAAAGTCACCATTGGCCTCATGGTGAAATCCATAAACGGTTTCCTTCCTCTCCGGCAATCTTTGTAGTGACTGGGTGCATTGATACACCATCCAAAGTGTAATTAATAACTTCACCATGCTCAAAGGGATATTCAATGTCAGCTTTTATTTTTATTTTTTTACCCATCTGCCAAAGGTGCCCTTATCATATATCCTGATGCCTAGTCACCTTACCCCTATACATATCCACCTCTATCACTCCAGTATCCCTGCACATTGTAAATATGTTACTGGAACTGACTGACCATGTATATAGTATGCTTACTTATTTTATCGTGTTCTTCTTATTTTTATTTATTATGTGTTTTTGTTCTACGTTTTGTTATTTTTAGTATTACATTGTTATTGTTGACTAGATAGTTAGGGTTAGAGCTTGCAAGGCATTTCACTGTACTTGTGCACATGACATTAAAACTTGAAACTTCTTTGCAAGGCACTGGTCTTTGTGGTTGAATCTGTGTTTGAAATTCACTGCTCGACTGAGGGACCTTACAGATAGTTGTATGTGTGGGGTACTTGATAAGCTATTTTTTACTCCTGAACTTATTTAGGCTTGCCATAACAAAGGGGTTGAATAGTTATTGCCTAATTAGTACTTAATTAATTTGTACAAATTTAAAATAACACAATTTCACTTTGACATTATGGGGTATTGTGTGTAAACCAGTAACAAAAAAATCTCAATTTAATCCATTTTAAATTCAGGCTGTAACACAACTGTGGAAAAAGTCAAGTGGTGTAATACTTTCTGAAGGCACTGTATCCAGAATGATCTGGATGTGCATAGATCTGAGACACTCTATAAGTGAGTTACAACACAATAGTATATGAAGCAAAACATAACAGTGCAGGTAATCTATGGTATTACAGTATTACAGGGTGTGCTACTAAAGAAACCCATTGTCTAATCAATGAATGTGTGTATTTATAGTCGGCATTCAAATCTCAACCTGTAGCTAGGTTTCCATTCAACTGGCGACAGATTTTAATGCGAATATTCTAAAATCAACATAAAAACAATATCCGCATTTTCCCACCAGAGATGTTTCGTTCAAATTGACTTGTTGCAGATAAAAGACTGTGCGTGATGACGTAGTGCACATAAAAATACCTTTTTGCGATTACATTTCCATGTGCCGAATAAAAAATACAAGTTAAATGTGTTTCCATCGCATCCTCAACTCTACTAATGGATTTCTAAAAAAAAAACATGTTGGGTTAAATAGCGAGTGTGCATTGGCACGTGCGGTCTAGCCAACAGCGCGCAGATGGCTAGAGCGCACATATAGCTACATGATGAGATTATTATGTACTAAAGAGCGAGATTATTTTTATATGTCAAACGGCAGCCAAGCATCGATGATCATGTCACCAGAACAAGACCCTCGATATTTATTGGAAAGGAGCATCAAGCTCATCACCTGGCACTTTCACCACCCTGTGAAGTTCATAATTTATTTAATCTGTAGCCTAATAAACTGCATGCTTTTTCTGATTTACTTCGATATAATGGCGATTATATCAATATTTGCCCATAAAAGCGTTTCCGCCAACATTTCTCCCATAATTCATTTTACCGACACAAAAAGATCCCTCCTTGTCTAGTGTATTTTGTTTCGTCGACATTTGGAAAGTTTACCGAACATTGTTCGGTTTCCATCAAATCTGTCATGACATATTTTATCCGACATGTAGCCTATGAAGGTTGGCTGGAAAACTGGTTATTGAGAATATCTGCTCGGTCAGCAGTCTGCCTGATGATAGAATAGGAACTGGACCAATAGATCTGTAAATAACCCATTAGTAATGACCGCCTAATTAAGGTGTCTTCAAGAGCCCGTACAAGGCTCCAGTATTGTCAGAACATCCACATCAAACGAGCCCAGAGAATCCCATAGAGTTGGTCACGCGAAACTACAGTCACAAATGAGAATCAAATTAATTTAGGTAAAAAAAGAAAAGAGGTACAAGGAGGCGGGGTCGTGTCTCCCCCACGGCGGACATCCTTTTTCCCATCCTACCCTTTACTGGCTCATTAGAGCCTCATTAGCTAGGACAGGTGCAGCCACCCACTCTACCCTCCTCGCAGTCCTACTGATGTGCGCTGCTTTTGTCCAATCAAAGCGCTTCAATTCAACTTTGTGGGTGGGGGCAAGCTTTGAGCTGTGTATATGTTGGTGGTGTTAAAGCTTTGCTTTGAAACAGGAAGACACAAAATAGTCAATGTATTACTGTGTTGCGGTAACACTTAATCAGAGAAGGACAATACGCTTCTTTAGTGTTCACACTGAACACATCCTCAGTGGTGTCTGGTATTCAGTGGGGAGTGTCAAACTCCTCTACCTAACATGTTGGGTCATCCGGTGTCTGAAATGTAAATTGTATTATTCTCACATTTGTTAACATCAGTCATAGAAGACTGCTAAATGACATTAACCAATTTCTTATGTACCTTATCTTGATAAGATTCTTGGCCATATTTTACCATCCTATTACCCGCAATCAATGAGAAACTTAAAAATGTAATGTCCAATATCCATTCAAGATTATTTTTGTTCATGTATGTTTTAACAATGTCTCCAACAACTATTTGAAAGGTCGTTCTGAGGTCAACAATAAAAATACAAAGTGAAACAATCATATTAAATTATATTTGTTGTTTATTATGTACACAAGAAATCAAGAGTCAAAAAAGTACAAATGTAGCTACACATATTCAAAACTCTTGACATGTTTTTAGAAATATTAAAACAAAAAGTCAAACAAAAGCAAACCAAAAAATGTATTACAGTAGCCTATATTTTACTGTTCTGCAAACAAAAACAAGTGATTTTTGTATGCTTTTGGCTTTAACTCATTTTCTGATATACTGTAGCCATTCCATTACTGTAACAGTGCTATAGTATTTCCTGCTTCATTATATTGACAGTTGTCAATTTGGATAGTCAATGCCGCTTGTTGTTGTCTTTCTTGCTTGCTTTTCTAGCGCCACCCTCCAACAGCCGGCTCTCTCTGTGTCGAACTCTATATGTGGTAGCAATATGCCTGGGGACGAGGTTACTCGTTGTAGCGTGCTAGTTTGAGGCGGGGGATGATGTTCATGGACTGCAGCTCCTGGAAGAGCAGTTTGCAGGCGTAGGGTATCCGCAACGAGGACACGTGACAGGAGGACTTACAGTAGTGGCACCTGGAGACACACACATCAAATACTTGATTGGTTGTAAGCAGTTAAATCTGCAGCTACAATACAAGGAAACAAATCCTTGGTATCAACGTCGATTCTGACTACTATTATAAGGTATCACAGAAGGACCAAAAAGAACACTCACCACCCGGAGTATCCCAGCAGGCCACACTGACCGCACACGTCCACCTCGAAGGCGTCGCTGGAGATCATGAGGCGCTCCAGCAGCAACATGCTGGCCCCGTAGCCAATCAGACAGTCACGCTCCATCTCCCCCAGACGTAGGCCTCCGTCTCTAGAGCGCCCCTCCGTGGGCTGTCTGGGGTGAACAGCAGCATGAGACACAGGCAGGTAAGATGGGGGGGGGGAAATCAGGTAAAGTATGGCTCAAGGACTACTTTCTGTACTTAGTCAACAAATATTATTTTGAAGTTTCAATATGACCCAATAGCAGTGGAAAAAGTACTCCATTTTCATACTTGAGTAAAAGTAATGATACCTTAATAGAAAATGACTCAAGTAAAAGTGAAAGTCACCCAGTAAAATACTACTTGAGTATAAGTCTAAAAGTATTTGGTTTTAAATATACTTAAGTATCAAAAGCAAATGGAATTGCTAAAATGTACATAAGTATCAAAAGTAAAAGTAGAATTCATTTCAAATTCCTTGTATTAAGCAAAACAAGACGGCACAATTTTCTTAATTTGTTTTTATTTGACTGATAGCCAGGGGCACACTCAGACATAATTTACAAACGAAACATTTGTGTTTAGTGAGTCCGCCAGATTAGAGGCAGTAGGGATGACCAGGGATGTTCTCTTGATAAGTGTGTGAATTGGACCATTTTCCTGTCAAAATGTAACGAGTACTTTGAGGTACTCCAAATGTATGGAGTAAAAAGTACATTATTTTCTTTAGGAATGTAGTGAAGTACAGATACCCCCCAAAACTACTTAAGTAGTACTTTAAAGTATTTTTACTTAAGTACTTTACACCACTGCCCAATAGAGTACAATACTGTAATATTAGATGGGGAGGTATCATGCAAACACAGCCAAGTAAAACTTTTTGGGGCTATGGTATTATTACATCACCAACCATTTAAGAAAAGGTGTTAAAATGGCGTCCTGTGTAAAAGTTAGCCAAACTCTGTATATTTCTCTGTCTGCATTTAAAGTTTCTGGATTTATCTTACCTGGTGAGCACAGCTCTGGGGCCGCGGGCTCTGGCGTGCATCTTGTCCAGCACCATGTGCTTTAGCTTCTGATAATACACTGGTCCAAAGTAGATGTAGGCCTCAATTGGCTCTCTGAGGGAGAGAACACAACCCATCATCAAATTCTGGGGCTTTACAGCTAGAGCAGTGTTTCTCAATACTGGTCCTGGGGACCCAAATGGGTGCACATTTTAGTTTTTGCCCTAGCACTCAAGACACCGGATTCAAATCAAAGGCCTGATGAGTTGATTAGTTGAATCAACTGTGTTAGTGCTAGGGAAAAAACTAAAATGTGCACCTGTTTGGGTCCCCAGGACCAGGATTGAGAAACACTGAGCTAGAGAATGCCTATAATAGCAGACACTCAGTGGCCAGTTTATTAGATTCACCATCTAGTACCGGGTCGGACCCCCCTTTGCCTCCAGAACAGCCAGAATTCTTTGGGGCATGGAAACATTGCTCAATTGGTATCAAGGGACCTAACTTGTGCCAGTAAAACATTCCCCACACCATTACACCACCAGCCTGTACCGTTGACACCAGGCAAGATGGGGCCATAGACTCAAGCTGCTTACGCCAAATCTTGACTCTGCCATCAGCATGACTCAAGAGGAACCGGCATTTGTCAGACCAGGCAATGTTTTTCCACTCCTCAATTGTCCAGTGTTGGTGATCGCGTGCCCATTGGAGCCGTGTCTTCTTGTTTTTAGCTGATAGAAGTGGAACCCGGTTTGGTCATCTGCTGCAATAGCCCATCCATGAAAAGGACCGACGAGTTGTGCGTTCTGAGATTACGTTCTGCACACCACTGTATTTGCCCGTTTGTGGCCCGCCTGTTAGCTTGCACAGGACTGCTGCTGATTGGATGTATTTTGTTTGACGCACCATTGTCGGTAAACCCTAGACACTGTCGTGCGTGAAGCCCAGGAGGGCGGCAGTTTCTGAGATACTGGATCTGGCGCGCCTGGCACTGCCCATTCTAACATTCAATCGAACAGTAAATGAATGCCTTGATGCCTGTCTGCCTGCTTTATATAGCAAGCCACGGCCACGTGACTCACGGTCTGTAGGCGCGAACCATTTTCATGAACGGGGTGGTGTGCCTAATAACGTGTATAATACTGTTAAAACAGTGTATACAGAAGTCATGTTCGTAGCCATGCTGTAATGCTCATACATGATGTATACATTCATAAATACAACTATCCTGGTTAAACCAGACTGAACAATGCATTCACCACTGTTTCACTTCTCGTATCAAACAGTCCGATTTAACCAGGCTAACATACAACACTCATCCATTCCATGTCTCCTACTCAAAATAGGTCTGTGTGTTTACCCGGTGATGCCCGAGGTGACGTAGTCCTTGCCCTGGTAGTTGTACCCATAGCGGATCAGGTCCTCGCACACGTCCTTTACCTTGCTGCCCCCGAAGGCCGTGCCATAGTGGAACCTCCCGTCCATCACCCCCGCTTTACCAGCCAGCAGCTCAATCAGCTTCCCCACCTGGTGGAGGAGACAGGGTCCTTTCATTAGGCACCAAACGGGGCAAAAAACTGACTGAAATAGGGAGGGACTACCTGAACTTGTCCAATAAGAAATACTAATTTTCTAAACATTTTGCTACAGTGTGCCCTAATGAATACAACTTGTCTCATCACAATCATTTCAAGACAGTACATACGGGATGATAATGAACGAAACTATGTTTAAGATTAGATGAAAGAGCAATAACTCGTGTTCTAGAGCATTTAACGTTAACAGTACACAGTTTTACTGGTTCAGTGGTTTATGTCCTATTTTAATGAGATTAATTTAGAACTGGCTAACCAGTGTGTGCATTCTCTAGCTAATCAATAACATTGATTGATCAATTAAGTGCCAGAGGGAAACAGAAACCCAGCAGGAGTGTGGCGGTTGTGGGTTGTGCAGAAGCTACCACTAAGGTCACAGGCAGAAGGACCCCCTGACCTCTTAACTTTAGCACACATGATCATTCTCTCCAGCCAACCATTGATGTGTCCTGTCCATGACAATGCTAGCCAATGATAAGAGACCACTGTCAACAAGGAAAATTAAACTATATATAAAACAGAGGCAGTAGAAGTGCTTAATTCAAGTTGACTCTGTAATTCTCCTGCCCTCTAAGAAACATAATGTGAAAACGTGCCTGATATTGCAAGAATTGATTTGTGTTGGGCCGGCCCGGGTTTAGCTTATGGTTTGATTAACAGTGTAGCCTATATAGACCAATGCGTGGCCATTGCTGTGGTGAGAGAGAAGCGCACCCGTATCTCTCACAGAACTAGAATGAGATTCACGTTCTATGATCTCGCTCTGATAGACATGAGCCTGCAACTCATCTCTCCAGCGATGCACTTCATTTATTTCCTTAAAGAATCATAGCCGCGGGAAGGGTGCTGGCGGTGCCGCAGCACACCTGATAAATTTCAATACATTAGCCAAAGTTATAGAATTACTGCGTCTGTTCAGAAATAAATGAAATAATTCTGAATACTACACCAGGAATGTGTAGTTCCCCCCCCTGGACTGTGTAATGCTGCTACACAGTCCACACTTTTATATGAAATAAATAACTTTGTCATATGTTGCAAAGATTTCATCAGGTGTCATTCAGCCTTTTAGGTCCATTGTTAAAAAAAAAAAACTGAATACCAGTAGCTACCAAACTTCCCTAACAGCGGTTTCCACAGCAACCGATATCTGTTAGTGAACAGTAAGATTGCCTGCTTAGTGTCGTCAATGGACGTGTGTTCTGGAGGCCCATGATAACCCAGCCAATGGACGTGTGTTCTGGAGGCCCATGATAATCCAGCCAATGGATGTGTGTTCTGGAGGCCCATGATAACCCAACCTATGGACGTGTGTTCTGGAGGCCCATGATAATCCAGCCAATGGATGTGTGTTCTGGAGGCCCATGATGACCCAGCCTATGGACGTGTGTTCTGGAGGCCCATGATAACCCAGCCAAAGGACGTGTGTTCTGGAGGCCCATGATAACCCAGCCAAAGGACGTGTGTTCTGGAGGCCCATGATAACCCAGCCAAAGGACGTGTGTTCTGGAGGCCCATGATAACCCAGCCTATGGGGACGTGTGTTCTGGAGGCCAATGATAACCCAGCCAATAGAGTACGGGGGATAATGAGCACTTTGTCTCTAAAGGGCCAATTGAAACCTGTGAAGATTGAGAGTCAACACAACAGCTTCTGTTGGGCTTCTGCTTGTGTTGGACATCAGAAAGAAAATAAGTGTAGAAAGTGAGTGAGAGCTATCGAAGGCTTTGGGGCCTAGGTTTCAAACTATAAACTCTTAACAAAACAAAATATAATTCATTTTCCCCACAAGTTAAAAGCCACGTGAAACTTGGAATATTTTGATAACCAAACAAAGTCTGATCTCTCACATTCAGTTCCCATGAGTGGGTCCTTGTACCCCCCAAAGCAAAGAATAGGTGATGTTGAACTGTGTGGTGGTACCGTACCGTCATTCTGGAGGGGTAGCCGTGCGGGTTCATGATGATGTCAGGGCAGATACCCGAGTCACAGAAGGGCATGTCCTCCTGAGGAACGATCAGGCCACACACACCTGTCACAAACCACAGAGAGGGAGACAGAGTTAGAGGCCCAAGTGCAGGTACAGATTATACTGGATATTTAGCGTAAGCATTCTTTATGCGTGGATGAAAAGTACCCACTGTAATCAATGAGATATGCTACAGCTGTGCGTGAGTGAAGTGAGCTTGCGATCTTTATACACTTTAAGTCAATTTCAAGAGTTTCTATGCACGTCTCTGAAGCGTTTTCAATTGATTTGATTTTTGCCTCCGTTTACTGCTTCTGGTGAAGAATGCTAAAAACACCAATAACCGAAGAAAAACATGACACTAGCAGGGTAGTTCCACGCCAACAGTTACCCCCAGTGCAACATACACTTCCATGCTGCTGTAGTCTGGTGGGGCCTTCTTTAAAGTCACATGACGTGAGAAGTAAGGTGCCTGGGACTGGAGGCCTTAAGTGTGAGGGTAAATGTTTGCCCAGGAGCCGAGGCACTCTTCCATACCTGGCCAGAGCAAACAGATTGTAGGCCCATTTGCAAATGAAAAGGAGTGAGAGAAGAGAGTGAGCAGGAAGTGGAGAGAGGTGCTTAGCCTGACAGTGAGACCAGGATTACACACACATGACTTTGTCAGTCCAGCCCAGAGAGGAAGTGGAGGGGGATCAACTCAAAGGGAAATCAAAATCAGTGCACGGGGGAAAATTCTGTCTAACAATACACTCTAGGACCTGTTGCTCACTAGATGGGGAACGACAAATGATACGCCCTGGTTCAAAACGTCACATAAACAAATGTTCCTGTAGTTGTGTATATTATACGTGAGGATAACAAAAGAAAGTTAGAATTTTACATAAAACAGGGGGTAGAGAGGGAGAGAGGAGGGGGGGGGGGGTAGAGAAACAGGTTTATGGAGGGAAGAACAGGTGTAAAGAGAAGTGAGGAAGGGAAAAGGGAAAAGCAACAGGCAGGAGAAAATAGGCCAGAGGACCAAGGATAGAGAAACATAAAGAGGGAAAATGGAGTGAGAGAAGGAGCAGGCAAGAGAGAGGATAAATGAGAGAGAGAGAGACTAGTTCTCATAGCAGACGTCCTTGGTGTTGTTGGCTTTGTGGGAAAGTGAATGATAAAAGAGGCATATAAATCAGAAGAGAAAGGCAAGACAACAGCAAGGCCCCCATCACACCCTATACAGATCCACACTGGCAGCAAGGACAATTGGCACACAGCACTCACAAGCACACACCAACCCCCACCCACCACCCCTGGCCTGCACAGCCAACAGCTGTGTGTCTCTGTGTGTGTGGTAAATAATTAACTTATTCTGCTCTGCTGACCAGAGCTTATGAGACTAGTCATGACCAGCTAGATGGGGGGTGGGTTAAAGAGATTCTCAGGTACTTTTGTATACTTTTTAGCCAGTAGTTCTGAAAGTATTTCTCATGAGCCAAAAGTGGTCGAAAATTGCAGATATGCTCTCTCTCGCTCTACTGTGTGTGCATCTTGCTAGCTGTCACTCAAATAGCAGGAGGCTGAAGCTCATTGGCTAAAACTCGAATTTCTAGGGGGTTGGCCCATGTGGGGGAAAATGTAGGGATTTCGTGGCTAATTGAGGTAAGACAGTAATTCTGCTCAGATTATGCAAGTATGAACTAAACATTGACACATCCAGCCCAAAGCGGGATGTGTCAATAAAAAAATACTTAGTTGCCAAAGTTCCAGAGCATGTCTTTAATAATCCAGCTAAACAAAACATAAAAACTAGTACAGAATTGCTTTTTAACAAATCACTCAAAGGGTAATTCAATATACATTTAACAAATACATATGTATCAATAAATAAGTAATTTATAACGCTAATGCCATCCCAACAGTATAGTCAGTACATAACCCTCCTGAGGATGGCTGTAAAAACGACATCTCATCTTCAGCCCCAGATAACTCCAGTGCAATAACGCCAAACAACCCAAAACATTCCACCACTGCTACAGTACAGTGCTACCACTACCGGTTTTTCACTCCATCCTTTTCCCAGATCTAGCATCGCCCCTGTCCTGCTAGGCCTAACCCCTTGGCGACCCCTCACTCCTCCAGTAAGAGACAGTGGACATTGTCCCTTGACTATACTGACCGGCCAGCCCCAGCAGCGACCCCTTTAATGAAGTGAGTAAATTATGCATGGTGCCAGTTAGCTTTCTGATTAAAACATCATACAGGTCTCTCATCTAGAGGGAGGTGCAGCGGCAAAACAATGGTGGTTGTAAACACTTTTCCCAGGAGCAGCAGTGTACTGCTAGGGTCTAATATATTTGCATAGTCTGGCGCAGTACAAAAAGCCAATTACTTGAAAAGCAGAGCCCCTCTAAAGACGAGGGGCTCTGCTTTGCAACACGGAATGTTGCAAAGGAATGTCCCACTTCAGTTTGTAAACGATGTGTAATATTACATGTGTATGTCCTCTAGTGTCAGAGTTCATGCAGCCGCCTCAGGCCTTGCTCCCCCCCCCCCCCCCATGAGTACCATATGACTATGGCTTGTCCCACCTAGCGACATTAAAATGAAATGTACCAACTAAGTCGCACTGGATAAGAGCGTCTGCTAAATGACTAAAATGTAAATGGCCCTAAGAGCGCAGAACAGGGAGGGTCAGTTATACCTTTCTGTCCGTGCCGACTGCTGAACTTGTCTCCTATCTCTGGTCTCCTGGTCTGTCTCAGCAGGATCTTGATGAGGAAAGCATCGTCTGCGTTGGAGGAGATCATCACCTTTTCAATGTATGAGTCTGTGGAGCCCTTGTAACTGTAGACAGGAGAACACAGGCATCAGCTGACCTGATCTGACAAGGCTGAATAGGTGAAGGACGGACCTGAAAGGACTGGGTTGTTAGCCGTCATATGGGGGAAACTAAGTATTTTGCTCAAATGTCAGAAGAGATGGTAGTAGGGCAGGGACGATACAAGTATCACGGTACTCATTAGTATCGTGCCAAGGAAACAAAACATGAAGCGGATTTAACTTCTTTAGGAAGACATCCCTAATGTTGGAAACAGCAGGTTTTTAAAAGGACCAAAGAGTAAAGTCTACTTAATGTTTAAATTTTTGCCATGGAAAGAAATATTGCGATACTGGTATCGTCACAGCCCTAGATAGTAGATGAGGAACGAACGTTATATTAATAGTTCAGGGGGTTTAGGATATTGTTACTCTGAGTGGTGTCGGGGGGCAAGCAGGGGTGTATGAGTGGTGAGGGGAGAAGGCAGGCACACCCACCTGATGGGCACGTCTCTGTACTGGGGCTGTCCTGGCTGGGCACTGCCCTCCAGTGGTGTCTGGGTGACAGTGGGCATGGACTTGTTCACCAGCACCTGCTTATTCTCCACCTTCTCACCTGGGAGACACACACATGCGCACAGACAAACACGATACTGATGAATCTCCCACATTAATTCCATATTTGCTTATTCTGTATGCATGAATGTAAAATCAAAGACATATCACACATTTTTTAGGTTACTTTATACATAAAACACAAATACATCCTTCAACACGTTTCCATATGGAGAGAAGGATGTCACCAACTGGTTGTAATAATAAAAATGGGTGACAGTGAGATTCTCGAGTAACATAGCCCGTTGGTTGCTTCTCCAGTAGTCCTGCTGGAGGGTGTTACTCACCAGGGCAGCAGATGCCGTCGGCGTCCAGGATACTGTGCCTCCAGATGGGCTTGCGTGTGGCCGCGTCCAGCATGGGACCCATCACCTTGTCAAAGGTCTGGTTGGTGTAGCGCCTCAACGTGCACTTGGCGTTCTTGTAGACCAGGCACCTTCCGAATCCTGGAAAATGAGGGTCAGAGTTCAGGATCGCAAATAACTATTTGTACCAGAAGTCACAGTGAACTCTTTGTATTTCAGTACAGTAACAAGAGCACTACATCTAAAATCCATCAGTGATCATGTTCAGAAGAGGGCATCAGCCGGGAGAGGGCATCAGCCAAGAAGTTAGTGATATTTGTAATTTAAACACTTTACATTGTATTGACAGAGTATATTGCTATTTTTTCTCCATTTTCCTTCTTAGCCCATAGACATAGATTAATGTAGATCAGTAACTAACCTCTGTCTAGAGAGGCCTTGTTGAGGATCAGAGCGTCCTCTATGTCGTAGCCGCTGTAGCTCATCACAGCCACTGTGGCGTTCTGGCCCGCAGGCAGCTTCTCAAAGTCTATCAGCTCTATGGTCCTAGTCTTCACCATGGGCTTCTGAGGGTAGCCCAGCAGGTACATCAGAGTGTCTATACGGTTCCTCTGGTTGTAGCCAATCGTACCTGACAGGAGAAACAATGGAAATTAAATTACTACAATGGGCTTTTTTTAATTCTTTTACGTTATTCTTCAAAACGTAAAATATTTTATTACTCAATCGTCTGAGAAAAATCATTTAAAACTCATTCAGTGCATCTTAAGAGCAAAGAAAAAGCTAAAGTAATTACTAATGTTCAATTTAAGGAAACAAACATTTAAATCCCAGATTTATTCCATTGTTAGCGCTTGAGCGCCTTAACCAAACAGTGTATCACATAAGAGAGTATTCTGAAAGTGGACAAGTAGTTTTTAATCCTGCTTCTCCAGAGGCCGGGGTTGAGCCAGGGCCAGATCCCTGGTACAAACACAGTGGAGAGGAGCTGGCCAGGGCATGGAATAATGGCTGGCCTCCCTGGAGGCCTTGACATTTGTCAGATGCTATTACTTCACAATTAGGCTACAAGCAACAGACCCCTGTGATAATAGGGCCCCGGTCACACAGACATATTTGCACATGTATAGGCCTAGCCACACAAAACAGAGACGGCAGAGGATATTGGGCCAAATATAGTCCCAGTTGCAGTGTTTTTTTGTAAAGATGGGGGAGGGAGAAGGAGGGGGTGAATGGAGGGAGGGGGATGGGGGTGACTGGGCTCTTGCGAATACTAGTGGTGTCGTTTGGAGAAGTTTTGGTTATCAGGGAGCTCCTGGGTGTGCACTCTGTGGTCTCTCCCTCGCAGCTGAGCACACTGACCCCCTGAACACAGCGAACAGCAGACACAATGAATTGCTAATGACACTGGGTGACTAGCATGGAAAGGCCTCCGCACACACAGGACACAAAGGAGGGCCTACGCAGGCACCTCATGTTTGATGTCCATGTGCATATACAAAAACACTCCATCACACACACACAAAATGCATTCTGACAAGAAATATGTGTGTGTTCACATCGGTACACACTGCTCCTGTGGAGGATGTTTGATGAGTACTGATGCCTGATCAAAGGTGCAGCTTAAAAACAGCCATCCTCTACAGACCGAAGCAGAGGAACCAGCGACAGGGGGTCTGTAGAACTGGAGAGGTGTCTTACCCATGGCCTGCTTGCCCATAGCACACTGGTATGTGTTCCTGGGGGACTGGTTGTGATGTGGGTAGGGGATCAGGCCAGCACAGACCCCTAGTAGTGTGAAGGGCTCAATCTCCAAGTGAGTAGTGTCCCTACGTACAAAACAAGAGCATTGGGACTGATAAGAATTACAGCAGAGAATATTGAGTACATATGAAAACATAGAAAATAACTAGACCAGAGGGGCCTAACGTTTCAGACAGTATAGAGCCATGGCCAGAAGTTACTCACTTATTAATCATGTGCTCATAGAGGGCGATCTGACAGTCATTCTCCTCGTTGACATCCAGGTACTCCACTAGGCTCTCATGGAGGAAATCCTCAAAGGTTCTGACAGCAACAAAACAGATTAGCATTTCAAAAGTCCACAACTTCCACCACTAATGTAAACATTTTGCCCCCCTAGAAAGTAAACTTGGCTGAGCTTAAAATCCCATCATATACAAGCTGGTAGATGATGCTAGTTTCTTTGTATTGAATAACATTAGCTGTATGAGATGATGAAATGGAGCCCACCTGTATCCCTGGGTCAACTCCTCGATGTGTTTGTTCTTGACCATCGGCTGTCCTTTCTTCACAATGATGTACGGTCTGGCAGGAGCAAGAGCACCAGTTTAAAAATGAGTTGAAGGGGGGTACAAGAGAAAGATGAAGTGAGGCGCAGCCTGAACTAGCTTGCACATTTTCACTTATAAACCTTCAAATAATATGTTAAAACTGTTTCAGTGCTGAACTCGGGCTGTGTTAGAACTTTGCTCCATGCATAGACAGCGGTGGGGTGTCATGTCCTCCCTGGTGCCCCCTACCTGCAGAGGCGTCCTCCGTCTGAGGAGATGTAGACACAGCGGTCGGTTAGGTTGGTGGAGATGGACACAAACTCGTTGATAAATCCGGCCCGTCGCATCAGTCTGAAGGTGTACACCAGCCTTTGGTGGTCCCGGATCACCCCCAGGATGTTACCTGTGGACAGACCCAGAGAAACCAACTTTAAGGCACAGAGCTCCTTACACTAAATAATTACTGACTTTACTTTATTTAGGGGATATTTGACAGAGACAATGCAATGATCAACATTTCTCTAAATGCGTCAGATTTAACCAGCCGGCACATTTTCCTCTGCAGTCCCCCCTGGACTACAGATGAACACACCCACACAAAGAAATAATGAATAATACAGGACTTGGAGCTAGCCACGGTATATTTCCCACAGTGTGCAGAGCCAGACTCCAGCAGGGGTTCTGGGCATAATATTGAACTTGAAGAAATGGAGGAGCCACAGTATGGAAGGATTTGCGCACGTTCTGTGGCGCTTTGACACCTGCTGTTACTAATTAATAAAGCTTGGTGACAGTCAGTCAACATAATTTGACAGTTATCATTGGCTTGAAAAACAAAATACACTTATTAATGGACCCAGTCCAGACTTTCTCATGGCGCACTAGTAGCACTATATGAATAGCTTTTCAGACACACTGTATAAAGCACAACATGTGCTTTCTGTAAACTGGACATTCCATGTTCTTTCCCGTCATGTTTGAGGCATTGTATTGAAAAAGAGAGGAAGGTTTAAGATTTAAGTAATCAAAAAAGGGAAAACCCAACAGCAACAACCATCCTGGCTTGAGAGCCTACTACTGGTTATATGTATCAAGCTCTTACGTGTACGCGCATGTGCGCGTGCATGCGCAACTGTGTGTGTGTGTGTGTGCGCGTGCAGTCACCATTGAGGAAGACCAGGAAGACACTGGGGTAGGAGAGCTCCTCTCCACACAGCAGGTTGACGTCCTCCACTCCTAGGTTGAAGGCCAGCTTGACGATGGGGCCGTCCTCCATGTCTGTGGTGATGTGGGTCATCAGGGCCAGGTTCTTCACCAGACCACAGGCCTAGGACACAACACAACCACTGGTCAGAAGCTGTTATACACAGGCCAAGGCAACACTACCTAGAACTGACATTAGGATTGTCCACAGCACTTTGTGAGCTGCAGTTCAAAATTCAGACATGTTAGTTTTCACACAGTAGGAGTGTTTGCACGAGAGTGTGTGTGTTGAGGTCATGGGGGCCATGGTGTGTGTGCATGCCAATGTGTACGTGTGTGACTGTGTGTGTGTTTATCCCTCTCTGACTCACCTCTCCCTCCGGGGTGTCGGAGGGGCACAGCATGCCCCACTGGGAGGGCTGTAGGGAGCGGGGTCCGCTGACCTTCCTGGTCTTCTCAAACTGGGAGGAGATCCTGGTCATCATGCCCAGAGCCGAGATGAAGGAGAGACGGGACAGCACCTGGGTCACGCCCTGACGGTCCATCTTAAACCTCTTCAGGGACCAGTTCCCCTGGGGGCACAGAGAGGACAGGTCAACTGCTTGGAACCATCAACATATTTATGGTTCCAAGCAGTGACAACACTGCTGATGTTAAAATGGCTTTAAAAATAAACACTTTATATTGATTGATTTATGTCTCTAACTGCAAAACACTGTGGGATCAGCTATGACAAACTATATCTTCATGATGTTTAGAAAAATGAAAGAATGGAAGACCAACCTCAGAAACAACATTACATTCAAAACTGGACGGGAAAAAAACCTGACAACTCCGAATCCCCTTCTGCCATATGTCAATCTGTACGGATATCACATGCACTGTCTGGCATTAAGGGACCAGAGCTTGATACAGGGGCGGAGAGCAGCACTCACTGTGGAGATGGCGTTGACCATGCCGTTGGTGATCTGATCCTGGCGCATGTGTTTGACAATGTCGAACTGGGCTGCCCGCTGCTTGGGGATGATCTGGTCTGAGATCTTCTTCAGCTCGGAGTTGAACTTCTTAAAGAGATCCTCAAACAGCAGAGACAGCAGCTAGCCAGAGGGGGAGAGAGAGTGTTAGTAGTACAGTCAGAACCATATGTATTAAGTGTCTCAGAGTAGGAGTGCTGATCTAAGATCAGGTCCTCCCTGTCCATAATAATCAGAGTCACTATGATCTGCAAGGCAAAACTGACACAGTGGAAACATCAAATCTCAACAGTGGAAGCTACAGTGGAGAGTCTCTGTTGCAACTAAATAGATGTGAAACAACAATACTCAGAGAGATAGTAGTATCCCCTGGAGTCACAGGCAAGGCAAACCCTCTGTTCTCCTGGCTTCTGCTGCCAGCTGTTCCTCTCTATTATCAGCTCAGAGACAACGACCAGGTCCTGGGAGACAGATTTAATAACCAGGTGTGCCAACCCTGAGATAAGCCTGACATGGCCTCTCTCCCAGGTCTCTCTCCTCTCCTCAGTAAGGCCTTTAGTGGGGCACCTCTCTCACTCGCTCTCAACACATTTGCATACATCAAAACAAACAAGCAGCGCTGGCAAAATTAATAATAAAGAAATAAAGCTTCAGTCGCACAGCCGGGCCAATTAGCTGAATGTCAGGGAATCATAATTGGAGAGAGGAGAGATTGCTGGGCATTGTGAGTACATAAGCCCCCTATTGAAAGGAGGCCCTGCGGCCCCTTCCACCCCCACCTCGCCTCCACTCCTCAGCCAGAGCAGGTCGGGTGGGGGGAAATTAAAGGCCTTAAGACAGCCGTAATTACATTATCAGAGCCGGGGCCTGCAGGATTAGCTAAATCGCTCCAGTCAAGGCGGCCATTCTTTTGTCAAGGCTCGGGAAAATGCCTCCGCTACCCCGGCCCTGGGATTTGGGTGCTGCTGCTGCGTATCTCTCCCCCCTGACCATGCCAGCCGAGGAATACAGAGTGAGGCAGGCAGGGATGAGGAAAACAAAACAGGCAACAACAAAGCGGGAGGAAAATAATGAAGGTATTAATAGAGGGAGAGGGGTGACAAAGACGCAGGTGAAAGATCAGAGCACGGGAAGGCTGTTGTAGAGTCTGTATCCACTAGCACAGGCCTGGGATCAGTTCTCAGAGAAGTACGAAGCACTGCGTATAGAGACAATAGTTTTGACTGGGGAGGAAGAGAGGATTAAAACCTCTATGGGATGAAGTGACTCTGGACACAGTACGGTTACAGTGAGGGAAAAAAGTATTTGATCCCCTGCTGATTTTGTAAGTTTGCCCACTGACAAAGACATGATCAGTCCACAATTTTAATGGTAGGTTTATTTGAACAGTGAGAGACAGAATAACAACAAAATCCAGAAAAATGCATGTCAAAAATGTTATAAATTGATCTGCATTTTAATGAGGGAAATAGGTATTTGACCCCTCTGCAAAACATGACTTAGTACTTGGTGGCAAAACCCTTGTTGGCAATCAGAGGTCAGACGTTTCTTGTAATTGGCCACCAGGTTTGCACACATCTCAGGAGGGATTTTGTTCCACTCCTCTTTGCAGATCTTCTCCAAGTCATTAAGGTTTCGAGGCTGACGTTTGGCAACTCAAACCTTCAGCTCCCTCCACAGATTTTCTATGGGATTAAGGTCTGGAGACTGGCTAGGCCACACCAGGACCTTAATGTGCTTCATCTTGAGCCACTCCTTTGTTGCCTTGGCCGTGTGTTTTGGGTCATTGTCATGCTGGAATACCCATCCACGACCCATTTACAATGACCTGAATGAGGGAAGGAGGTTCTCACCAAAGATTTGACGGTACATGGCCCCGTCCATTGTCCCTTTGATGCAGTGAAGTTGTCCTGTCCCCTTAACATAAAAACACCCTCAAAGCATAATGTTTCCACCTCCATGTTTGACGGTGGGGATGGTGTTCTTGGGGTCATAGGCAGCATTCCTCCTCCTCCAAACACAGCGAGTTGAGTTGATGCCAAAGAGCTCCATTTTGGTCTCATCTGACCACAACACTTTCACCCAGTTCTCCTCTGAATCATTCAGATGTTCATTGGCAAACTTCAGACGGGCATGTATATGTGCTTTCTTGAGCAGGGGGACCTTGCGGGCGCTGCAGGATTTCAGTCCTTCACAGCGTAGTGTGTTACCAATTGTTTTCTTGGTGACTATGGTCCCAGCTGCCTTGAGATCATTGACAAGATCCTCCCGTGTAGTTCTGGGCTGATTCCTCACCGTTCTCATGATCATTGCAACTCCACGAGGTGAGATCTTGCATGAAGCCCCAGGCAGAGGGAGATTGACAGTTCTTTTGTGTTTCTTCCATTTGCGAATAATCGCACCAACTGTTGTCACCTTCTCACCAAGCTGCTTGGCGATGGTCTTGTAGCCCATTCCAGCCTTGTGTAGGTCTACAATCTTGTCCCTAACATCCTTGGAGAGCTCTTTGGTCTTGGCCATGGTGGAGAGTTTGGAATCTGATTGATTGATTGCTTCTGTGGACAGGTGTCTTTTATACAGGTAACAAGCTGAGATTAGGAGCACTCCCTTTAAGAGTGTGCTCCTAATCTCAGCTCGTTACCTGTATAAAAGACACCTGGGAACCAGAAATCTTTCTGATTGAGAGGGGGTCAAATACTTATTTCCCTCATTAAAATGCAAATCAATTTATAACATTTTTGACATGCGTTTTTCTGGATTTTTGTTGTTGTTATTCTGTCTCTCACTGTTCAAATAAACCTACCATTAAAATTATAGACTGATCATTTCTTTGTCAGTGGGCAAACGTACAAAATCAGCAGGGGATCAAATACTTTTTTCCCTCACTGTACATGCACACAATATGATTAGTCAATACTCAGATTAATATAATAGTTCGATTAAAATGTTTACATGCTTTGCAAGAAGAAAGAATTCCCTAATAATCCTGTTTTTACATGGACATCTGAAATCAGGCTACTGATGGGACTTTGATAATAGTAGAAAATCGCAAATCAAAATAAACTTTCTACCACAGCGATGGAAAGGCTATTTATTTCTGAGTTTGGACAAAGTTCTTATACAAAAACTATGTCTAAGATGCATAGTTTCAGTTTTTCCGTACTCACTTCACTCGCGCAAAAGAGGGAGGCTCGCGCTGCTGGGCAACTGTACAGCACTGTCACACAACCTACCCTTTAATCCATTAGTATTAAATGCTGCAACTCATCTTTCATTTAAATTACAGAGCAGCGTGAGGGAGTCCTACTGTGTAGACAGACCCAGAGAAGGCCCTGCTGACTGTGGAGCTGCATACTGTACGTCACTGTGCTGGAGGAAGTCTGTACAGGAGGCAAAGGAAGTCTGTACAGGAGGCAAATGTGGTAAAGGAAGTCTGTACAGGAGGCAAATGTGGCAAAGGAAGTCTGTACAGGAGGCAAATGTGGTAAAGGAAGTCTGTACAGGCGGCAAATGTGGTAAAGGAAGTTTGTACAGGAGGCAAATGTACTCAGGTAACTCTGCGCCTCCCGATGTGATAGAGTAAGTCACCATAGAACAGTGCTGGAGTCTACTAACGGAGGGTGTAAACTAAATCACACTCAGAGGGGCGCAGGAGTTATATTTAGCATACTTTTGATTATTCCATGGGACATTCAATGTACCGTAAGGGGTCAGGAGGACAGAGGTTATATTAGGATAAAGACGAACAGACACTGGTGCTTCAGGTGGAGCGCTACAGTAGAGGAGACAGAAGACCGAGGCGTATTCATTCACCTGTCCAGCCAACTCCAGACGCTTGTTGCCATAGTAGTCTCTGTCGTCCACCTTGTTCTCTCCTTGGGCTAGGATCACCCTGCGCACCATCACCGCTAGGTAGATACACTTGGCCCGGAAGTTAAACTCCTTCACCTGGAGGTGGAATAGAGGACAGGGTTTGGGTCAATCCCATTTCTAAGTCAGTTCAGGGAGTAAATTGAAATTGCAGTTTCTTCTCAGAGAATTTAAGAAAATTGGAATTTGAACTTGCTAAATTAAATGGAACGGGTTCTATGTTAACACAAGTGTGTACCTTACAAATGTGCCCACTCATAGCCATATTAATAAAGAATAGATAAGGGTACAGGTGACAAAACTAAATAATCTTATGGTATGGTGAGCACAGTGCTTTAACCCTACCAACACCTGTCTCAGTGATACTACTGATAGATCCATAGTAAATCCCATGCCACACTGGGCCGGAGAGGTGTGTATAAAGCAGTTTTTTGGTCTGGTCAATCTGACAGCACTTACAGGTACATGAGTGAGGATGAGGGAAGCCAACAGCTCTCTGGCCTCCTCCATCTTGGTCTTCTTGGGCCCTCCCCACATGCGCTGTCTCCGCACCTTATTCCCAATGTATTTCAGAGCCTAGGGAACACACAGCGGTATATGAGAATACAACATCTGAAACTGCACTGCAATAAAAAAACAAAAAACAGGCAACCTGTATCTCAGATGACAGAGACAAACTTGAAAAGTACTGGAGAAGTAATTCTGAAGTGATGAAAATGTGAGATGCACGTTCATTGTCTCGAAAAGAAAAGAAGGACCCAAATGAACATTCTGAGGGATCAGAGTTGTAGCGGGTCAAGTGACTCACAAAAGCCACAACCGGATATGAGTCAGCCCTTATGCCCCAACACACACACACACACGAGTCAGCGATCTTCTGTGTCATGCTCTAGAGAGAAGGTCAGAGGTCAGTGAGACTGAGCGCATCCTCCAGACCACCCACCCTGCAGGCTATAACTATTGGCTACTGAGGACACCAGTGAAGAGTCAACCATGCCATCCTGACCTGTGTATTATGCTACCATAATGGCAAAGGCAATCACTCAGAACAGACAATAGTCTATTTATTACAGTAAATGTAAAAACACGGGAAATTCCTTTTATTTTATCTGAGCGGCTCTCTTAAAATTTGAAATCTCAATGCCCACCCCTGGACTACTATCTATTTTTATGGTCTACTGAGGCTTAGCTTGACGTATTGCACATCAAAAGGTATAATGAGAACACTGAAAAGGCATGAAAAATATGCATTCAAAGCTTGTCCAACGGCCGTTGCTAGGATGCTAATATGGCCCCTGTCAACGCATTGCTGGTTCCTCCTGCTAAACAAGGGTCTTAATTCAGACAAATTGGTCCATTGCATTCATCAACATGTCAAAGAGGACATGTTGGCCTATTAAGTAATGACTTGAGGAGGAATATTCTTTAATTGCTAGGCATTACAAAGGCTGTGTCCCAAACTCAAGACATCTCCTCTTGTTAGAATACATTCTATTGAGAGCGGTTAAACTCTGGGTTTTTGAGACTCCTCAGACAATATAAGAGGATATAATCAGGTCAAATGGTCAGGAAGAAAGGGCCTACTAACGCCAAGTGTTCACTGGTTGTCAGAGATAGTTCACCCAAATAACTCAATTACTTTTCCTTGCTTTGAAAGCAGTCTATGGACAAAGGAGAGACTGCAATTCATGATTTGGGTTTATGTACTTTACATTTACATTTGAGTCATTTAGCAGACGCTCTTATCCAGAGCGACTTACAGTTAGCGAGTGCATACATTATTTATTTATTTATTTTTCATACTGGCCCCCCGTGGGAATCGAACCCACAACCCTGGCGTTGCAAACGCCATGCTCTACCAACTGAGCTACATCCCTGCCGGCCATTCCCTCCCCTACCCTGAACGACGCTGGACGACGCTGCCCCAAATGACAATGCCAATCTTGTAATTCATTCCAAAATCATCTCAAAGTAACTTGAAAAGGGGATTGTGTAACTAAAGACTTGATTTAAAGTTTTGCTGAGTTCGTTTGGGCATGACAACATGCTAACAACTTAAGCGACATGTATCACCTGTACCTCCCAGGCCAGTGTCATTCAGAAAGTGCCTCTGACATAGGTTCACCAGACCGCAGCAGATTCCAGAGAAGGCAGAGAGAGGGAACCATGTACCTGTATCTCAGTGAAGATCTGGGCTTTCTGGCACTCTTCCAGGCTGGGGGAGAAGTTAGCCATGACGTGCTCCTCTGTCCCAATCATCTGCACTATCTCCTGGTCACTCTCCACACCCATAGCCTGTGTGAGGAGGGGATGGAGGGGGTTGAGGTACAGAAACACATTATCAGAGGGTTTGGTATAAAGGAGATGACATATGGGAGGGAGGGGATGGAGGGAAGGTATAAGGGCAGAATAGAGGAGAAGAGCAGGTGGAGGTTAAGGGGGAGGATTGAGGTAGATGACGGAGGTATCAGGGAAGTATGGAGGGGTGGGGGAATTTGAAGAAGGACATATGGTGGAGAGGTACAAGTGAATGGATGATGAAGTGGAGGAGAAAGAGGTATAAAGGATGTGATGTGAGAAAGAGGATGGGAGAAGAAAAGAGTGGCTGGAAGATGGAGGTGTGAGGGAGTGGGTAGAGGAAGGGGTTGTGGGGGTGAACACAGTGGAAGATGGAGGAGATAAAGGGAGAAGTACAGACACGTGAAGATGTGAGGCAGAAGTCACAAGGTTCTCTGACATTTGCTTATGCTAAAGAGGAGCTGTGGGATTGGGACTGGCTAGCACGGGGCCATGCTGGTTGGCAGCGTTGCAGAACGCGATGAGGGACAGGAGGAATTCACCAAGGATGCATGAGGGCGGAGGAAACAAACCATCAGGCCAACACGCCACACTGGTGAAAAGACCATCTCAAAATGCTACACTGCCACATTGGACATGTTTGGAGAGGGCTGGCCAAGGGGGGAAATCAGTGATGCTACTGCTGCCAACAGGTTAATAGAGCCATTTGAATCTGGTGTCACAGATATGGACCTTATTGAGTGACAGATGTTAAAATTTCTAACAGTAGAGGAAGACTGAAAGCTGAGACAACTCATTGAAAGTAGAGGGACATGTTTATGACTTTGAAACAAGATTTTATCACACAAACATTATTTCAGTTAAATGTTGTGTTCTGCTGTTGCTTCAATTAAGCAAATCTAATTTTGAACTCAAATTAGAAGCAATCGTTACATTGAGCTAATGGATGCAGCATGTTCATAAACTGTGATTTTGATATTAGATTAGCTAATTTTATGTTAGATTAGCTCTTAATTGGTAGCACAAGTGCGTTGCACTACCAACACATTGAACAACAATGCTGCCAGAGCCTGGCATTATCTGTATTCTGTAGACCGTATTCGTATTCTGTAGTGAGACAGCGCCACCATGTGGACTTGTGACACTTTTACCTTGAATATAATGGCAATGGGGGCGTCCTCTGACAGTGCGTTGTGTCTCAGGTAGAAGCGTCCCTGCTTAACGATCATATTGGTCCTGCTCTTCTTCTCATGGGTAGAACTGTAACAACATGACAAAGCAGTTTGAGTGGAGAGTGGTGGTTAGTGAACTGAGGGTTGGGTAAAGTGGATACAGTCTTACAATGATAAAGCACTCCAGTAAGCAATACATGACATTCATAAACTGCATCAATCCTGCAAGAAAGTAGGTATGAAAATATAAACAGGAGCAAAGCGTTTCCACCAAACTGCAGCCTAAGTAGGGAGGCTAACAATCTGGTGGAGTCATTCTAGATATGAGTGACATCACCTGGTCACAGAGGCTCCCACTGCTCCCTTCCTGTCCTGCTCCACGATGATGCGGTTCTTTGACAGCTGCTCCTGGATCAGAATGACCTTCTCCTGACCTTTGACAATGAAATAGCCCCCTGTGGATGTATAGACAAGGACACAAATTCACACACACCTATGCATTCTGATACTCGGCACTACTGCAATACTGCTGTCATTCTAGGGATGGGAAATTCTGGTCCTACAAGGCCACCGTGTGTGCATGTTTTTGATCTACCCCAGCTCTAACACACCTGGTTAGACTAATGTGGTCTAAATTGAAAATCGTCACTAGTTGATTACTTGAATCAGTGCTGGGCTGGAACAAGTCTGCACATACTGCAGGCGGTCCTCCAGGAGAAGAGTGGCCCCCATGTAAAAGGTGTTCAGCTAGGTGTTGCTTACCTGGGTCCAGAGGGCACTCGTTGAGTTTGGAGTACTCCATGGATGTCTTCCCCGTGAGGACACAGTTAGAGCTGCGCAGCATTATGGGCATCCTGGGTAGAATATAGTTCAACACACCGTTAGGACAATCAAACCAAATCAAATTTTATTGGCCACATGCGCCGAATACAACAGGTGCAGACATTACAGTGAAATGCTTACTTACAGCCCTTAACCAACAGTGCATTTATTTTTAATAAAAAAGTAAAATAAAACAAAAAAGTGTTGAGAAAAAAAAGAGCAGAAGTAAAATAACAGTAGGGAGGCTATATATACAGGGGGGCAGTGCAAATAGTCCGGGTAGCCATGATTAGCTGTTCAGGAGTCTTATGGCTTGGGGGTAGAAGCTGTTGAGAAGTCTTTTGGACCTAGACTTGGCACTCCGGTACCGCTTGCAGTGCGGTAGCAGAGAGAACAGTCTATGACTAGGGTGGCTGGAGTCTTTGACAATTTTGAGGGCCTTCCTCTGACACCGCCTGGTGTAGAGGTCCTGGATGGCAGGAAGCTTGGCCCCAGTGATGTACTGGGCCGTACGCACTACCCTCTGTAGTGCCTTGCGGTCGGAGGTCAAGCAGTTGCCATACAAGGCGGTGATGCAACCAGTCAGGATGCTCTCGATGGTGCAGCTGTAGAATTTGAGGATCTGAGGACCCATGCCGAATCTTTTCAGTCTCCTGAGGGGGAATAGGCTTTGTCGTGCCCTCTTCACGACTGTCTTGGTGTGTTTGGACCATGATAGTTTGTTGGTGATGTGGACACCAAGGAACTTGGAGCTCTCTACCTGTTCCACTACAGCCCCGTCGATGAGAATGGGGGCGTGCTCAGTCCTCTTTTTTTTCCTGTAGTCCACAATCATCTCCTTTGTCTTGGTCACGTTGAGGGAGAGGTTGTTATCCTGGCACCACACGGCCAGGTCTCTGACCTCCTCCCTATAGGCTGTCTCATCGTTGTCGGTGATCAGGCCTACCACTGTTGTGTCGTCTGCAAACTTAATGATGGTGTTGGAGTCGTGCCTGGCCATGCAGTCATGGGTGAACAGGGAGTACAGGAGGGGACTGAGCACGCACCCCTGAGGGGCCCCCGTGTTGAGGATCAGTGTGGCAGATGTGTTGTTACCTACCCTTACCACCTGGGGGCGGCCCATCAGGAAGTCCAGGATCCAGTTGCAGAGGGAGGTGTTTAGTCCCAGGATCCTTAGCTTAGTGATGAGCTTTGAGGGCACTATGGTGTTGAATGCTGAGCTGTAGTCAATGAATAGCATTCTCACGTAGGTGTTCCTCTTGTCCAGGTGGGAAAGGGCAGTGTGGAGTGCAATAGAGATTGCATCATCTGTGGATCTGTTGGGGCGGTATGCAAATTGGAGTGGGTCTAGGGTTTCTGGGATAATGGTGTTGATGTGAGCCATGACCAGCCTTTCAAAGCACTTCATGGCTACAGACGTCAGTGCTACGGGTCGGTAGTCATTTAGGCAGGGTGTCCTTGGGCACGGGGACTATGGTGGTCTGCTTGAAACATGTTGGTATTACAGACTCAGTCAGGGACATGTTGAAAATGTCAGTGAAGACACTTGCCAGTTGGTCAGCACATGCTCGGAGTACACGTCCTGGTAATCCGTCTTGCCCTGCGGCCTTGTGAATGTTGACCTGCTTAAAAGTCTTACTCGCATCGGCTACGGGGAGCGTGATCACATAGTCATCCGGAACAGCTGGTGCTCTCATGCATGCTTCAGTGTTGCTTGCCTCGAAGCGAGCATCAAAGTGGTTTAGCTCGTCTGGTAGGCTTGTGTCACTGGGAAGCTCGTGGCTGTGCTTCCCTTTGTAGTCTGCAATAGTTTTCAAGCCCTGCCACATCCAACGAGCGTCAGAGCCGGTGTAGTACGATTCAATCTTAGTCCTGTATTGACTCTTTGCCTGTTTGATGGTTCGTCGGAGGGCATAGCGGGATTTCTTATAAGCGTCCGGGTTAGAGTCCCGCTCCTTGAAAGCGGCAGCTCTACCCTTTAGCTCAGTGCGGCTGTTTCCTGTAATCCATGGCTTCTGGTTGGGGTATGTACGTACGGTCACTGTGTGGACGACATCATCGATGCACTTATTGATGAAGCCAGTGACTGATGTGGTGTACTCAATCTCAGAGAGAGTGGTGCAAATAATACACATTCTATAGGATTTTGCACTAACATGTACTACCAAAACACTGAACTTCAGTGAGGTAAGAACTGGTTCGTACCTTCCCCATTGTGTGATAAAGAGATGGTAGGCAGAGAGGAAGAGAGCAGTACCTTCCGATGGGCAGAGCATTGCGGATGATTCTCTGACTGCCACGGGTGTACTCGATGTCCACTGTGATGGGTGCAGAGTAAGTCATGTCCCTGAGACGACACTGGTGGAAACAACGCGGCTTTAATGAGCTGTATACGCAAATGTTCATTTTTATCTCAGTGTGCTAAGACTCAGCTCTGGGTTGAGGAAGACCCAATATGTATGTATTGTAAATGTCCTCCTAGGTAAGCACAGAGACTATTCAACTGTGTGACACTATTGTACAATTGTTTGTGATATTTTTGCGAGGAAGGGGAAACAGACAACAGACTAGATTCACCTCGTGTGGAGACACCGGTCTGGTTACATTGAAGCTCTCTTCAACATCAGGCATGCCAACGTAGATATTGAGGTACCTGTAAATGGGACGCTGGTGTTATTTTAGTTTTAGAAATGATAGAGTAGCCTGCCATGGAGTTTAAGTAAGCACATTATTCTTCAAAAATAGTCTGGACTTTCTGGTATAGGTTTTTGTGTGTCTGCCTTGTAAGCAAAACTTTGCTGGTCCAGAGCCTTCTTAGACCAGCAGCATCACATTCCCACTGCTGTTTGTTGTTGTTGGATGGCATGTATAGGGAGTAGGACCCGCAGCTTACTTTAGGTACCACATGGGATCAGCATCACTTGTGATCTTTTCATTTGCTTTCATGATCTTCTTTATCTGTAATAAACCACACATATGTTCAAGTTTAGATACAGCTTAGGTAGCTACACAATACACTTGCAAAATAATGCCATATGGAAGTAGGCCTTGAACCAGAATCTGGCCTTACAGGAGACTTTGGTATGGCGAATCTCCTTTAAGCCCAGGAAGCAGCCATTCACCAGCTTTTCAAGCTTCATAATGTTAAAATACGTTCGTTACTCACCAAATATGGAGTTTCGATTAGCAACTACAGTCATTTACTGCCATCACGGCCAGTGTCTACTTCCAAAAAAGGTCTAAATAAAAAGTTACATGCAACCAAAAAATGCCTCTGCGGCACCTACAATGTAGTTGCATGTAACTTTTTATTTCGACCTTTTTTGGAAAATGACTATAGTTTCTAATCGAAACGCCATATTTGGTGAGTAACGAACATATTTTGACATTAAGCTTGAAAAGCTGGTGAATGGCAAGTTGAATGGCTACTTCCTGGGCTTAAAGGACATTCGACATATCAACGTCTTCTGTAAGGCCAGATTCTGGTTCTGCCCGGCCTAAAATGCAGACATGTTTTTTTCCACGTGACCATTCTATTCTTTAATTTTCTATTTGCACCTTTCCTTATGTTACACCCAAATGATGAAAATGTTGCTTTACCTCCACATTGATGAAGTAGTTGAAGGAGTCAATGTGCTGTTTCACCAGACCTTTCACCTGAAATATCAGACATCATTAACAGAGGGACTAGAGATGGCAAACAGACAGAGGAAAAGTGAAGAATGAAGTGAAAGAATTATCAATTATCTGGGTTCATGTGGAATTCACTGTAATGTTAGCTACAGTGTGGGAAAAAAGTATTTAGTCAGCCACCAATTGTGCAAGTTCTCCCACTTAAAAAGACGAGATAGGCCTGTAATTTTCATCATAGGTACACGTCAACTATGACAGACAAATTGAGGGAAAAAAAATCCAGAAAATCACATTGTAGGATTTTTAATGAATTTATTTGCAAAGTATGGTGGAAAATAAGTATTTGGTCACCTACAAACAAGCAAGATTTCTGGCTCTCACAGACCTGTAACTTCTTCTTTAAGAGGCTCCTCTGTCCTCCACTCGTTACCTGTATTAATGGCACCTGTTTGAACTTGTTATCAGTACAAAAGACACCTGTCCACAACCTCAAACAGTCACACTCCAAACTCCACTATGGCCAAGACCAAAGAGCTGTCAAAGGACACCAGAAACAAAATTGTAGACCTGCACCAGGCTGGGAAGACTGAATCTGCAATAGGTAAGCAGCTTGGTTTGAAGAAATCAACTGTGGGAGCAATTATTAAATAATAATATAATATGCCATTTAGCAGACGCTTTTATCCAAAGCGACTTACAGTCATGTGTGCATACATTTTTACATATGGGTGGTCCCGGGGATCGAACCCACTACCCTGGCATTACAAGCGCCATGCTCTACCAATTGAGCTACAGAGGACCACATTTCCCATTAGGAAATGGAAGACATACAAGACCATTGATAATCTCCCTCGATCTGGGGCTCCACGCAAGATCTCACCCCGTGGGGTCAAAATGATCACAAGAACGGTGAGCAAAAATCCCAGAACCACACGGGGGGACCTAGTGAATGACCCGCAGAGAGCTGGGACCAAAGTAACAAAGCCTACCATCAGTAACACTAAGCCGCCAGGGACTCAAATCCTGCAGTGCCAGACGTGTCCCCCTGCTTAAGCCAGTACATGTCCAGGTCCGTCTGAAGTTTGCTAGAGTGCATTTGGATGATCCAGAAGAGGATTGGGAGAATGTCAGATGAAACCAAAATAGAACTTTTTGGTAAAAACTCAACTCGTCGTGTTTGGAGGACAAAGAATGCTGAGTTGCATCCAAAGAACACCATACCTACTGTGAAGCATGGGGGTGGAAACATCATGCTTTGGGGCTGTTTTTCTGCAAAGGGACCAGGACGACTGATCCGTGTAAAGGAAAGAATGAATGGGGCCATGTATCGTGAGATTTTGAGTGAAAACCTCCTTCCATCAGCAAGGGCATTGAAGATGAAACGTGGCTGGGTCTTTCAGCATGACAATGATCCCAAACACACCACCCGGGCAACGAAGGAGTGGCTTCGTAAGAAGCATTTCAAGGTCCTGGAGTGGCCTAGCCAGTCTCCAGATCTCAACCCCATAGAAGATCTTTGGAGGGAGTTGAAAGTCTGTGTTGCCCAGCGACAGCCCCAAAACATCACTGCTCTAGAGGAGATCTGCATGGAGGAATGGGCCAAAATACCAGCAACAGTGAGTGAAAACCTTGTGAAGACTTACAGAAAACCTTTGACCTGTGTCATTGCCAACAAAGGGTATATAACAAAGTATTGAGAAACTTTTGTTATTGACCAAATACTTATTTTCCACCATAATTTGCAATTAAATTCATTAAAAATCCTACAATGTGATTTTCAGGATTTATTTTTCTCAATTTGTCTGTCATAGTTGACGTGTACCTATGATGAAAATTACAGGCCTCTCTCATCTTTTTAAGTGGGAGAACTTGCACAATTGGTGGCTGACTAAATACTTTTTTCCCCCACTGTATATCCACTATACAGAAGAAATATAAAAAACTGAAACTCTTTCTTCCTTACCTTCAAAAAAGCTGGCAATAGTTTCCATTTTTCCTATAAAAAAAAAAAAGCAGTTGCAGAGATCCAAGTAAAGAATCATTAATAACGTACATCAGGATGTAGCTAGGAGTTGGTATCTAGCTGGCTCGCTAGGCGGCATTCTGCCTTCTCCCTACAGTTTTCAGCCATTATCTTCGCCCACGACTGGCTCATGTGAACTACAATCCCGACGCTGTTTTAAAACATCAATAAATCATCGCTTGCGATACAGCTTTTTAAACATATGGCCATCATCTTTCAGTTTTGCATAGTTCCATACAGCTATGGGTGCCTCCAGCCGACGAAACTACACTTCCGCTATACTTCCTGAGTTACACCAGAAAGGAAGAGGTAAAGAGATCGGCCCAACTCTGCGGAAAATCTGTCTCCTCTAGCAGGTGGTGTCGTCATCCCCCCCCCCCGTTATACCGCCCACCAAGCAAGGAGTTATTCTATGGAGGTCAATGAGAAGGTGTTGAATTTGGCCAACAAAAAAATGAATGGCTTATTTGCTAGACAAGGTTTATTTGACTGAATATAAGTTTCGTAATGTTTAGGTTGTTACGAGTGTACTGATATAAGTAGGACATGTGACATCCCCGCAACTTTGACAAAAAACACTTTATAAATCGGAGTTGTCTCGAGATAGCTATGCATATTCATGGAATGAGGCTAGTAGCATAGCATCTCTCTCCATTGAATACAGGCGGTTGACGTCAACAACCCTCATCGAATATATATTTATTTATTTATTTAATTTTTTAATTAGATGTATCCACCAATCCAAAGAAAGGATAGGCAGGAGCTAGACAGCCCGCTGTTTCGCTTTGTGGACAACGACTCCCATTTGTATGGTGGAAAGACAAGTACTGTATCTTGTCAGTATATCCATAATCTTTGGTTACGCTTACACACAGTGTTGCGAACTTAGCAACTTTGTCGCTATATTTAGCGAGTTTTCAGACCTTTTTTAAAAAGCGACTAGCGACAAACCTAGCTACCTTTTCTGGTGTTATTGGAGACTTTTGGAGACTGACGTGAAAGCACGTACCGTTCTTACTCTTCTCAACGAGCAGCAGGTGCTGCTGCCGTGCCCCCCCCCCCCACCCGTGGGCACCCCCCCACCCGTGGGCACCAACATGAAAGCACGTATCGTTCTTACTCTTCTCAATGAGCAGCGGGTGCTGCCGTGGGCCCCACCCCAGTCCCAAAGCACTCACAGGCGGCCCAGTCCTCGCACAGCAGTCCCTCCCAGCTGCAGTCAGAGCAGGAGATGTTAACCCCTCCGCGTCCAGACTGCAAATGAATCGTGCATGCGGGAAGCCGCCACTGGCTGATCCCGCCCTGGCTTACATTCAGGGCGGGATGTAAATGTAGGGTGTTTTTTACTCACTTTTTGTCTCTCCCACGACATTATTCCTCTCTCCTACAGCGTCCATCACAATTACATGCACATGGCCAATTATGCAAATTAGGTGATGACGTCATCTAGCTACTTCTAGCGACTTTTAGGACAGCCAATAGCTACTTTCCTTACTGAGGAATTGGCAACACTGTACACATAAGTGTTCAGAGCATTCTAGATAGCTAATTAGTACAGGTGGTCACCTCTTGTCTTCCATCTGTTTTCCGTGAACAAGTGCTGTAACATGGAGATATGGCCGTGTGGGAACACTAACCCTATCAAGGTGTATCACTTTAACCTTTTGGTTTTGGAAAATTATTTATTGCTGATATGAAAGATAAGGTCCTGATGCTTCAAAAACCGCACCGCAAGCGACGCCTGTTAATGTTCAGATTGAGCATTGCTGCTCAATCTGAACTGAGAGTCATGATCAAGGGCTAGTATCTAGCTTGCCTGGAAACTCGATGTTGAATTGCGAATTCTACATTGGGCAGAAATGAGCGTTTGAGTCAGGTAAGTTTCCTATCAGGCCCTCTACAAGCCAGAATGTTTAATAGAATGGTTGTCTGTGCAGTTGGTCTTTTTGGCAGTAGGAATGTGAGACAATATATCCACAGGAAATTACATCCACTTTCAACGCGCTGGTAGTGCATTCAACTTTCTATCAACTGAAGTATGTGCACAAGATAAAAATACATGCACTGGACGCATGCATACATGAAGAGCTTGTGCACATGTTTACATGGTTCTGTGCATATGATTTTCATCAACATTATACAACAGGGTGGGTCTAATCCATTACATTAAAATTCCTATTTACTCTGTTACATCTGACTGCACAATCCATTGTCTCATCAGCCCAGCCAAGCAATTTATAAACTTGATCTCCACTATATAAAGCATCACAATTATTTTAGACTAACATTTAGTTTTCAACAGCGGAGATTTGTATAAACCTTGCTGTCTGTCTCTCCGAATTTGTTTCAATATTCAAATTCCATCTCCAGCTGTCCCATAGTAATGAACGTGTCGGGACGAGACAGATAGGTAGCGTTTCTCAGCCAGTAGAAATCATGAATCAGCTGGCATCATTTTTATGGATATATACAAATTAATGTCAATTGAAAAAAGGTGAAACGAAGTGCAGCTAGTTGGAAGTCTTTCCAGGTTCAGTTTGAAGTGCTTGTGTTAGCTGTGTTGGCTAGCTCCTCTGAAAAACAGTGTCCTGACGAGTGAGCACATTTTCTATGCCATGTCACTAGAAAACAGCTTAAACAAATGCAAATGCGGCTACTTTGCTGTTATTCTGGCTGCACTTTTTGACGTGACTAAGTTAGCCGTAGTTGGCTAGTTAGCGAACAAGGGATAAGAACGTTGACAGCCAGTATGACAATGGAATATTTAGAACGACTGGGTTGCGTCTCTAGCAACCGAACCGATGACAAAACGAACGACCAGCCGGCTTGGGTAGCAACCCTAGATTTCTGGAAGGATGAAATTGTATTTATAAATTCATCAAAATAACGTTAATGAAAATATGTCAATAATTATTTGAATATGTTGGTAACCCGTTGTATAAAAGTGATAATTCCCTCGAAGCCGGTGTTTGGAGGATATATCGGCACGGTTTGCCGGCCCTCGACTTAGTCTCGGCCTAACAACACTGATGCCAATATATCCTCCAAACACCGGCTTCTCGGGCATTATCACTTAATTCTGGATTGTAAAGGTCGTGAGAGGAAGCTTTCCTAATTCAAACGCTTATTTCTGCCCGACGTAGAATTCAATGCAATTCAACGTCGGGTTTCCAGGCAAGTATCTAGCTAGCTAACTTAGCTAAAAACTAAATTAGTTAGCTACATTGATGAAAACAACACATAGCAGGTGGCTAGCAAGCTGCACACCACTTCGGCTTATCTGCTCGTCCCATCATCCTCATCTTGTGCTAATGCAACAATATAATTACCTCTATAGTGTTGACAGGAGCCGCGAGCTGCTGGGGAGTCATATCCCCAAACTCCTCTCCAAGGATTTCCATGGTTTTTACTGTCGTTTGTATGAAAACGTGTAAACACCAGAACACATTTGCAATGTTTCTCCTGCAACCGGAAACCGCTACAGCGTGTGCGCTTCAATGTGTCACAGCAAAAGACTACCGTGCGGAACAAGAAAACGTTACCAAATACTTATTATTCTGTGGTTTTTATATGGCGGTTGGCAGCCAACTTTATGGCGCATTACCGCAACCAACTGGACTGGAGCGTGGACCAGAGACAGGGAAGGTTTAAATGCGAAACGAATACATAATTACTTACACCCCCTGAAGATTTTCTCAGCAGTTGACTTATGCTTGGCTCTTCAACACCATTACTCCGTAAATCTGATAACAATCTCTCAATTTCCCTCCCATATGGCTGGCACTGAAATAGCACGTTCCACTGACTCCATCTCCTCCTGACAGTGATCACACCTCCCAGTTGGATGTTTTCCTACCAATTTAAATGGACTGTTGAGCCTTGTGTGTCCCAGTCTCAGTCTTGTGATTACACTTTCCTCCCTTCTCTCTCGACCAGAGGACCTCCCTGCCCCCACCTTTTCCTGGATCTTATACAGGTGTCCTCCCTTTCCCTCCCTATTCCACAACACTTTCCATTTGTTTTTAACCACTATTCTTATTAACCTCTTGGCTTCTGCTTTACTGATTTCCATTTCCATATCAACACTAGGATGTTTGAGAGCCTGCTCTGGGAAAACATCCACCTCTTCATTCCCCTCTACTCCCACATGAGCTGGTACCCAGAGGAACTTCACAAACACCCCCATCTGTCTCACCCTAAACATGCACTGCAAAGTCTCATACAATACATCTTGTCTGCTCCGTGACACAAATTAATTTAAGCTCATTAGTGCTGCACATGAGTCAGAGCAGATGACTACCCTGTCTGGCCTCACCTCCACCCACTCAGCAGCGAAGAGTATTGCCAGCATCTCCATTGTGTATATGGATAAATGATCCGTTGATCTTTTTGTCACTGCCACCTTCAACTCAGGAACACTAAAAGCTGCACCTGTCCTCCCTGTTTTAGGGTCCTTAGATCCATCAGCATATTACTGAGTTCTTAAATGTTCACTTACAATATTTACTGGATCTACTCCTTCCTCAGCAGCTCTTACCCTCTCAAGCAACCATAGGTCTATAATTGGCTTAGTGAGCAACCAAGGTGGGATAGCAGGAAGAACCACAGAGGGGCTGAACTCTTTCCCAAACAGTTCCATCTCTCTCGCCATGGCCCATGCAATTACTTATCCACCCAAAACTTGTATTCAGATCTCGTTCATGCTCCCAGCACTCTAGGAGCACCTTTTTGTAGGATGTGTAACCTTATGTCCTTGAAGATTTACCCAATATGTCATGGTTAGTTGTTGTCTTCTCAACTTTAACGGCATTATCAGATACTGAGTTTCACAAATATTTTTACCACACATGTAATCCATCTGAAGAATGTATAGGGCAATTCCATAGTAACGGAACTGGGCTGAATTGCTCAGTAGAGAACAGTACAGTACAATACATAAGAGAACAGTATAGTACAGTACAGTAGAGTATTGTTCAGTACAGAATAGTACAGGACTGTACTGAACTATACTGAACATATTATTTTTTGTACTTTACTTTACTGTCCTCTACTGCACTCTACTGTACTGTACTGTACTGTACTGTACTGTACTGTACTGTGTTCTCTAAACTTGTGAAACATAGATGTCTACGATTGGTTTATATTTGGTCCGGTCCGGACTGGACCAAATCTGAACCAATCATGGATGTCTAGGTTTTGGCGGACAGGGCGGACTGACCAAATTTCAACTACTTCTCAATGTCCAAATCATTTATCCAAAACTAAATATAAGTGTTGATATTAGCTGGTAGGAGTCTTTACTTAAAACTTTTTGTTTTGATGTATTTCTAATACCTTTTAAGACTTTTTCTGGTAAATGTTTTCTAAGACCCCTTTTCAATCTGTTTGACCAGAAGACAAAGCCTTTGCTTTTCCCTAATATTTAGGATAGAAAGTGGTTGAAAAATGTATATATGCCTCCATTTGAAAACATTTTAGACAAGATTTGACATGTCCCTATGAACTTCACATGTTGGTGCTCATGGGTCCTTTTACATGTAAATGCCCTATAGCAAGCCTGCAATCTGTTTGCAGTAGGGTACAGTGCCTTCAGAAAGTATTCATACCCCTTGACTTATTCCACATTCTGTTGAATTCAAAATGGATTGAATATATTTTTTCTCTCTACACACAATACCCCATAATGACAAAGTGAAAACATGTTTTTAGGTGCTGTAGACAGCTCTCAGCCTCCTCCCCCTAACAGGATGGTCCACAGACACAGAGTTAAAACTGGGCCAGAACCTCCACAGGAACACAGTACCTCCCTGGAGAGCACAGGCAAAGACGTAACCAACTACCTGGCCACAAAACCAAAGCATGAATTGCTGTCTTACCTTGTCCATAGACAGCTTAGGGTAAGGAAACCAACGTGAAATGTTGTAATATGGGTGAACTCTCCCTTTAATATGTTCAATTTAACTGCCACGTTGATTACTTCTTATTACAGATTTTAATATTCTAGTGTTGTATAGAATACATACAACAAACAAGTGATTGGTAGAGCACTTAGCATTAGGCTATGTACGTTTTTATCTTTCTCAAGCTGTTGCTTGGATCCTTGTTGGTTGAAGACCCTTGACATCATCAGTCCAAAGGAGGACCCAAAGATGTGGAGCAGCATGATGGTATTCAGGGGTTCTGCCTGTGTGTTGACATTACAATCCTATAGATTTCATTGTTTTAGCTTTGAAACAAATTGAACAAAGCCAAATAAAACCAAAATCAGATCTTTCCTCTGTAATACAAAGACTCAAAGCCATTTAGGATAACTCCCCACTACACAGCCATCGCTGCCCCAAGAGGGTAAATCCATATCCACTGTAGCTATATCAAACCAGTAATGTGGCCAGAAAGCCAAATCCCAGAATCACACATCATGTTCAAACCTGGAATTCAGTACATAGATAAGAATGGTACACATAATGTTGGTGTCATAGAATGGAAGGGAGAGTGGGGAAATAACTGTAGACCCTACAATATCATCCATTAAATGTGAATAATTACAACAACAAAAAATGTAAGGGTACGAAACTTCTACTGAGCACTGTTCATGTCACCTGCTTTTTTAGGCCTACCAGGGTGGCTGGACTGGTCAGGGTGGCAGGCCTGACCTCCTGGATGGACTTATTTAACCTCCTGTCCATCAGGGCCTGTTACGGAAGACTATGAGTGGGTTTCCCAGACAATGATTAAGCCTAGTTCTGGAAAACAACAAAAACTTCAGTGGAGAAACTCTGAGTCATTCCACCAATAGAGTGCCTTTTATATCCCTCTGACATCATCTCAGCAAATCTTTATAAAACACACAATTTTACAGTTGGATCATATACATCTATGCTCTAACTACACTAAACTATGATAAAAATTCCAATAGTAGTGTGTCTTCATTAAAATAAATTAGTTGTTTTCAATGAAGATCCCCATGTTGGCATGTCCCATGTCATGTTTTTCCAACTTCTAGAAAGATTTTAACCCACTTAATCCCAAAAAGCTTTCACCATCATTGTAAAGCCCTAGTTTTTTTTGTTGCTTGAGAAAGTAATTTCTGAAGATTCTTCAAGAGGAAAATGTGAATTGTGATTAATTTACATTTCCCCCACTGGTTTAAGGTCAACCCTGTAACTTGAACTGAACTCTAGTTTTAATATGGTAAAACTATTCCAGAATTTTTTTTTTCCTCAAGTAGTATTCAACATCTTTATAGTCACTTCTAGAGTAATATTTGGTAATTTAAACTCTTGAGATGGGAAAACATGTATGTTATGTAGTTGAACATGTGCTCTTTATGACAAAGTTTTTGTGGGACCAAATTACACTATCCAAAAGGCACTCTATTCGTAGAAGGGCCCCTCTATTGAAAGTTCATTTTAGTCCAGTACTAGGCTTTGATTTGTGGCTCCTAAGAAAATCAGAAGGGCAATTCCATTAATGAATCATTAAATAGATAGGCTATAGCATGGGTATTCAAATCCTACCCTGGAGGTGCGGAGTACTGCTGGTTTTATGTTCTAACAGATAATGAATTGCACCCACCTGGTGTCCCAGGTCTAAGTCAGTCCCTGATTAGAGGGGAATCATTTAAAAAAGCAGTGGAACTGACTTGGAGATCCAGATTTGAATTTGAGGGGGCTATAGTATAGCCTGATATCACCCTATTGTTGGGTATAACTTGGTAGCTAAAAATGGCATTACCCCTTTAAATTAATGTCAATTGAAAGCCCCACCCCCAGAATTGATTGCTGAAGCATCTATTAGCCAGGCCCATTTGACAATTTGTCTGGTGCTTAAGGTTAGTGGGCTGTTGTGGCGTGCTTTAGACTTATACAGTTAGTAATTTTAGTTAAAACTATAAGGTTGATGTAAAAATATTTTTAATTGTTTGCACTTGTGATTTACATGATGAATTTGTTGAACTGTTTCAGGTTTTGGTCAAGCGTTAATTCCTAAACTCCATTCCATTTGTAGCTGCTGAACAATGGTAAGCTGAAGTTTTGTACAACGCTTTGGCATCTTCCTAATTTAATGGTCTTTACAAATCTGATACCTATTTTGAGCTTTTCTCTGGAGTTATGTTTGCATCAGTGGAGGCTGCTGAAGGGACGACCGCTCATAATGTCTGGAACTGAGTAAATGGGTTGGCATCAAACACATGGAAACCATGTTTGTATTTGATACTATTCTGCTCCAGCCATTACATGAGCCCGTCCTCCCCAATCAAGGTGCCACTGACTTCCTGTGGTTTGCACTAGTATTCAGGCCAAAATTTTATTTGAACCCCACTACCTGTCATCCTGACCCCAAATAGTTGGGCTACAACATGCAGTACAGCACATTTTGAAAATGGTAGGATATGGACTTAAAATGTAACTACTCTTGTCTTGACAGAGGGAGTGCATTTCTATACACATAGGCCAAGCAGGTGTCCAGATGGGCAATGCATGTTGGGAGTTGTACTGCCTGGAGCATGGTTTCCAACCAGATGGGAGAATCCATGAATCCAGTACTGCTTCCCTGGCTGATTCCTCATTTGGTACCTTCTTCAGTGAGACTGGAGGTGGGAAATATGTTCCCAGGGCTGTCTTCATAGATTTGGAGCCTACAGTTGTGGGTAAGGAACATAGTTGTATAGCTAGCTCTACAACCTCAATGGTATGAAATGGCATGGTGTACATTGGCATGTAATATCTTGAATTGTTATTTTTACTGCATCTAGTTTCCTTTTTGTATAAAACTTCTTGCCTTTTCTGCATATGCCAATACAATGTATTCTAGATGAAATAAGGAATGGACACTACCGTCAGCTGTATCACCCTGAACAACTAATTAGTGGCAAGGAGGATGCTGCCAATAACTATGCACGTGGCCATTACACCATTGGCAAGGAGATTGTGGAATCTGTACTGGACAGAATGCGTAAAATGGTGAGTGGCTCAATCTCTAGTTTCAAGTCCCTCTATGGTGAAATTTGGATGAATTGTTAATGTGTGCTCGTTCTCCTCAGGCTGACCAGTGCACTGGACTACAAGGGTTCCTTATCTTCCATAGTTTTGGAGGTGGAACTGGCTCTGGCTTTGGTTCGCTCTTAATGGAGCGCCTGTCTGTAGACTATGGCAAGAAGTCCAAACTGGAGTTCTCAGTCTACCCTGCGCCCCAGGTGTCCACGGCAGTTGTGGAGCCCTACAACTCCATCCTGACAACACACACCACTCTGGAGCACTCGGATTGCTCTTTCATGGTGGACAATGAGGCCATTTTTGACATCTGCAAGCGTAATCTTTGTGTGGAGCGTCCATCTTATACCAATCTGAACCGCCTCATTGCCCAGATTGTCTCCTCAATCACTGCCTCTTTGCGCTTTGATGGGGCGCTCAATGTGGATCTGACAGAGTTCCAGACCAACCTGGTTCCTTACCCCCGTATCCACTTCCCCCTGGTCACTTATGCTCCCATCATCTCAGCAGAAAGGGCCTATCACGAGCAACTCTCTGTTCCTGAGATCACAAATGCTTGCTTTGAGCCGGCTAACCAGATGGTGAAGTGCGATCCCAGGCGTGGCAAGTACATGGCCTGCTGCTTGCTGTACCGTGGTGATGTGGTGCCCAAAGATGTCAACGCAGCCATCGCCCACATCAAGACCCGCAAATCCATCCAATTTGTGGATTGGTGTCCGACAGGGTTCAAGGTGGGGATCAACTACCAGCCGCCTACTGTTGTGCCTGGGGGTGATCTGGCTAAGGTGCAGCGAGCTGTGTGCATGCTGAGTAACACAACAGCTATTGCAGAGGCTTGGAGTCGTCTGGACCACAAGTTTGACCTGATGTATGCCAAGCGGGCCTTTGTGCACTGGTATGTGGGTGAAGGCATGGAGGAGGGGGAGTTCTCTGAGGCCAGAGAGGACATGGCTGCTCTGGAGAAGGATTATGAAGAGGTGGGGGCAGACTCTGGTGATGGTTGTGAGGAGGAAGAAGATGAATACTAAATCAGCCTCCCAATCAGTATGTATACTTGTTCTCCAAGCAGCCCCTTGTCTAATTATAATAAAACTCAAAGCATTTGAATTCTTGCATGTGTCATTTTTACTCTTGATTTATTACTTGATACATCTGATGGTTTGGTTGGCAGGTGTGGATGTGTATAACTGGAATGAAGAGGTCCTGGAATGGCTTTTTAAGCATAAAAATTACTCCTGGAAGATTAGCGATTGACAAGATGACCAGAGTTGTTGGTACATCTGCAAGTAACATTTTGTGTGCGTTATCAAACTGCACTTGACTGTATTCAAGCCTTTAACGGTGCATCTTGAACCATAATTATGATGGGGAGGGATGTCTTCATAACTGACTAGTGTAAATCAAGCTTTGTTCCCTGGGAACACAACCTGTACATGACTGCAAATAGGATGCATTACATTGACAAGTTTGACCCTGATAATGCCGTTGTCTGTATATTGCAATATCCCAGATGTGTCATCTAGTGTTTAATATGCAAATAGAAAAGATTAGCACCTTTTGAATAAAGTGCATTATTAAATGATTCCCAGTTATCGTTGTAGAGCTACATTATATAAATCGACATCTTGAAAGATTAGCATATAACCGTTCTCAAAGACCAATACATGTTAAAACATTTCTAATACTACCTATGTTGGAAAATGTTCCAAATTATGCCACAACAGCATCATCAAGGACCCCACACACCCCAGCCATGAGCTGTTCACCCCCTTACCATCGGAGCATGAGATCTCTAATACCAACAGGCTCTGAGACAGTTTCTATCTACAAGCCATCAGACTGCTGAACACGTGAACTGGACTGACCACTGATTCTCTGCACCTTAGCACTCACTCACATACAGTCATGCTACACACATCACAACTGCTGCTACCATACTCTTATGATAGCTAAATACTAAACAATTAAACACTTTCCCAAAACACTAAATATTGGACTATAAATTGTGCCTTCCTGTATTATACTTATGAAAAAAATATATATATATTCGACTGTGCCATTTACTTCGTTTTTGTATTCTTTTATTTCTTATTGTTTCATTGCCGAGAAGGCAACCAGCAAGAAAGCATTTCGTTGGACAGTGTGTTTACCGTGTGTATTCCGTACATGACTAATAAAACTTGAAACAGCATGAGCATGTTCAGTCCTTATACAATGTAACCACAACATAGAACTGGGGGTTCAAGGATTTGATGAATTTTCACAGCCAGCCTATAGCAAATGTATTTAGGCCTTGCTACATTACATTTACCAAACAGGACAATTTATAGGGAAAGGCCAAAAAAATACTAAATGCAGATGGTATGACCTCTTGTGTTACCTTTCTGGCTTGGGAGGAGACAAAGTACCTCGTTTACTGGCTACTTTAGCAATCTCTACTGTAGCTAGCTAGCTAGTTCTAAGAAAAAAAGTTGCTGACAGCTGAGGAGGATAGCTACAACGTCAGAGAACAGACACAGAAAAAACAAGGTAAGTGTAAATTGGTGAACGCTCGATAATTTAAGACATGAATCGATGTATATAAACTCCAGCTAGTTTATGTGTTAAGATACAAAAAGGAAAAGCCATTCTACACTTGTAATCTCTAAAATAGATTAGCGTTAACTAGTTTGCAATTTATCTAGCTACTGTTAGCTAGCTAGTTATCCATGCCAAGATGAGTGATTTCGCTAGCTAGCTAGTTAAAAGTTGGCTAACAAAGTTGCTTTTCGCCCTTGTCCCACTAACTAGCTAATTTGAAACGATCTATTCAGACAACTGTTTCAAATAGCACGTTTTGTTTCAAATTGAGCTAACTAGCTAAGTGAATGAGAGGATAGTTATTTTGCTAAAACATAAAGCTAATTAACTAACGCTAGCCTTGCTATTGAGCATGCTACCTAGCTTGTCAAACTCAGTTGGACCACAGAGTTTGGTTGGGCCATGGCTTGCTAGTATTACTACTTATTTGTATTCATCAGATACCAGTACCTAACTAGCTATGTCATCAGATATTTTTCAAATGGGACATTGATTATGTACTGTAACAAGTTTATATGTCCTCTTCATCTATCCACTGTAAATCATTTTGGAGTTCGCCGAATGACATTGGCAGCCTGCTGCCACGTCAGTGGCCATACCCAGCTAAATAACAACTTGTATTTAACTATTTTAGATTTAACGTCTTTTGGATGTTCATTATGCTCACAAAATGATTTTGAAGTAGCTAGTACTTAAATGTAAGTGTTAATGTATTTCATTGACTAAATTGTCTCGATCTCCACATATCTGAGTGATGTACCACAAATTATGTCTACTGAATCTATATTCATACCAGCTTGGCTATATGCTTAATGGATGGCCATATAAACTGTCTTCAATTGTTGCTTACTTAGCACAACTGGACCGCTAACCCTTTTACTGTGAAATGAAGGTACTCTAGCCAGCACCTAGATATTTTTTGGTCCATTTCAAATTTCCAGACTAGTAATTTGCCTAAAAGAAATAGGATAATGAAAGCTTTTACACAATGATGTATCTGTGAGTGTGCTATGTTGAACTGTGGGGGGCACGTGAAAAGCAAAGTTTGCTTATAGGCTAGTTTACTGTAGTGTGAAGGACAGTTTGATGCCACAGTAACTGCCACATAGGACTTCCCTACAGGCTAGCTGTTGAACAGCACCTGTTTCTACAACACTAATTAGGACCATGAGATCATGTTCAAAGGCCCTCAGCAAGCATATGATTTATGTTGACTCTGTTCAAGGCTTCCCTTCTAAGAATTAGGCTTTATCATGTCTTTGTATTAGTATCATGTGCTTATCTTCCGTTTGGTGCCGTTAACTTGCCACCTGGTCTTGAAATGTCTTTGTGATCCTACTTTGCAGGTGGTGCACGCTGTTGGATAAGGGCAAAACAAATCTACTGATTGAGTAAAATCAATTAATTGCATGTTCTGTAAATTTCTTGATTTTCATCTTGTTGAGTTGAACATAGCTGAGATAGCCCAGTCATCTGTTTCCCCCACTGGCTCTCTCAATCTGGCTCTCTGTCTGCTTATTCTCTATGCTTCAACAGTAAACAGGTCTGCCTTGTTTGGTGTTGTTAGAAGCAGGCAGCACACCCTGGCTTAAAGTCAGACAGAGGAATGGTTAATCCAAAGGCAATCCTTCTCCACTCTGTTTTTCAAGAACTAACCTAACGCCCAACTGCCAGAGGCAAAATGTTTGTTCTATGGTTTTCAGAAACTATATGGTGCCTCATTTGGGAAGAAGTCATAATATAGCCTACTGAAGAGATAATGAATTGATGAATTGGTTGACTTGACCTGTTTTCTCTCCTGCCTAGAGGGAAGATGAGTCAAAGCGAGCAGCAGCAGGATGAAGTCCCAGCATACCTCAAAGACGAGCCTCCAGCAGGTCAGTTCAGTCTCTTTAGTGGCCAATAACAAGCTGATGAACATTGAATGGACAATGATAACACATATTGTACACTGACACTCAGTAATGTAGGAGGCTACATACCAGTAACTTGAATGCCATCCTATCACTGAAGATCTTACTAATAGGCCTAACTACAGTAAACCTGAACTTTAAAAAAAATATCCTGACAAATTAGAAGTTTGAGTGAATCTCAGTATGTCTGAGGCATTTGTATTTGTACCAATAGGTGGCATTACCGTTCCATCTTCTGCACTGTTAGTGGCACTACAGTTTCTGTCTAGCCCACCACACACTGATTCCTTTGTCATTAGAAGCATTGAGACTATTGAGGGCCGTCGTAACTATATTTAGCTTTATCTTTCTAGTGGAGCTATTACTCTATCATGTGGTCACAATGGACCATTCTAAGCAGAAGACATGGTTCAACGACACAGACGTCCATGTAGGAGCCTATTCATCATTCTATCGTGGCACTGTCTGTACAATATGGAACGGAGAGCCTTTGCTATAAACTGGGGAAGTTGCGTTGTTCCTCTGCTTAACTTCTCTTAACACTAACACCCTATTGTCTCTCATCAGATGGCAACAAGGATCACCCTGTGCCCCAGCCAGGCATGTTCTCCAGAGTGACTGGAGGACTCTTCAGTGTCACTAAAGGTGCCGTGGGAGCCACTGTGGGTGGGGTGGCCTGGATAGGAGGGAAGAGCTTCGACCTGACCAAGACCGCTGTCACCTCAGTGGCTGCTGTACCTGGCATTGGGGTGGGGCTGGTGAAAGGAGGGGTGTGTGCTGTAGCTGGAGGCGTGTCTGCAGTAGGCTCAGCAGTGGCCAGTAAAGTTCCTATTGGAGGAGGCAAGAAGAAGGACAAGTCTGACTGAGGAGGGGGCGGACGGTGGTGCCATTTTGGGTCTCGTGTCTGTTTCGTCTACAGTGTGGAGGGGCCTGGAGGGCTATAGAGGATTCAAAGTTGTGTGTGTTCACTTTTCGTGGAGGCCTACGCTCTGATCCGCGAGTGTCTATGGACCACTCTCATATTAGGTGGCCTGGCCACTGAGGAGGAGACTAAATAAGGGGTTTCCTTGTCAGCAGTACAGGGACCACCCCACCCATCTTTGTCTATAATAATAACCAGTGCCTAAACTGTTGGAATATGAAATGACTGACTGTGAATGTTGTATTTACTCTGTAGATAAAAACCAGCCAACAAAAGATTAGGCCTATTTTATTGCTTAGTATTTGTTACATCTCCCGGCCGCTGTTTAAGAAACAGGCCAAGAACATTTTCACAATGTTTAGGCGGTGTTCATGTTCATTGCGGTGTTTGGCAGTCAGACAATCAGTGATCGATGCCTCTAACAGTAAATAAAGAGGATCTCATGGGGGGGTTTGGTGCTGGGCCTGCACTGGGGGTTTACCACAGTGACCCCCGAGCTGTGGTGGGGTTCAGATCGAAGAAGCCAGCACCGGGCTGTTCCAACCACTGAGGCAGCGCCTTGTTGTGAAAAGCATTGGTGACGGCGGGGAGTTGATGGCTGCACTCCATCTCTCTGATTGATTCTGTTTTTGAGATGACGGACTCTGTGCGTCTGGGTCTCAGCAGCCCAGCCTTGGTGGTCTTTCCCACAACAACACTCATCACTCTCCTGCTGCTCCCCAATAATTACCACGGCACGCTGGGGTTTTAACGCTGCCTGACAGGGCTATGGGAGACTAAACACTGCTAGGGAAGTCAATGTTCCTGACTAGATGTTTATGCTGGTGAAAATAGTTTTTTCCCCCTTTTTTCTTCTTCCGCTGTAAAGTATTAGATTTTTATCTCAAACTCCCTGTTCCTGATGTGATGGGGATTTTTTTTTTTATTCCGGAGGGATTCTATTTCTCCACCAGGGAAATTCTTTAAAGTGGATGTTTTCATTTTTATTTGTCTTTTTCATCTTCAGATAATGCTCTCTGGTGCAAGTAATGTAACTTCATGTTTTTCAATGACAGAGTTGTTTTAGGATCTGTTTGCCCTTTGATGCGTCGAATCACAGAGCTCTGTCACTGCCGTTCCTTTCTCTCTCGCTATATTTTGAACTTTAACAAGGTGCCTTATTCCCACAAGAAAGCCTGAACTAAAGTAACTTATTCCTTTTTGAACCTACCACTTATATACCTACCACCTTATACCGTAGTCCACATATTGTTCCACTGCCCAAAACACAAACTAGCCTATTTTAGCATTATCCATAAAAAAAAAAAAAAAACATTTAAGGTGTTGTGTTGTCGTTTTTTATTGTTGGTATTAGAAATAAAATGTATTCATATTTTCAATGTAGTTCTCTACCAAAGGATTTGATTATTAATCGGTGGATTCTTAACATTGGGTGTGTAGCCCACACCTTTGTAACATCACATGGATATTTATTTTGTTCAAGATTTGTCTATAATTTTAATGGAAAAATATATGAAGAATGAATAAGCCTTTTTCATCAGAGCAGTTGTTTTGCCCGTTTGTCATTTAGAAAGGTTTGATGGTGTGAATAGGAACTAGGATAATCAGGCTTGTCAACACTGCAGAGATGAATTTCAGTAGCCCCCTCCCCTAGATCCTACCTCTCTGTTCTCTAAATCTAAAAGGTCTGTATAGCCAATATAACAGTAGAGCCACCTAGCCTGTAAATAGGCTGTTTAATCCCAAATCTGCCCCTTAGGCACTTGGTGTAGATCTGAGAGGATTGGATTAAGCAATATGTTAATAGTGCCACGTTTCCTTCTGATACTGTTCTCCAATCCTTTCAGGTCTACACACATGCCTAGGGGGTTGAGCCTAGGGGTCGATTTGGAATTAAGCATTCGTGGGTCGCCTCCACCATATCTCTTTCACTTACTCTGTATCTAGTCTTCTGTGAACACCGAATGGAACTGGTTCCATGATGATCAAAATGACAGTTGAATTTTCAGAGCCAAACTGGTGGACGTTTCATCTTTAGATATTTCAGCAACAGAGCAGTTAATTTTAGTCCATTTGAGTGCGTTCACTCTGTCGCTTGTAGTACAGTTCCAGAGTCCAGTTGTAATATCAGTATACTGTCTGATAGTCAGTCTGTCAGGACGAGGCAACCTCAGGCTGTCACACTGGAATCAACTGATTCCTAACCACGCTACATAGACATAGGCAAACAGTTGTGGTAATACAGACCTTTCACACTTTTCCAAAGCAGTTGTACACTGAGTATACATTAGGAACACCTTCATAATATTGAGTTGCCCCCCCTTGCCCTCAGAACAGACTCAATTCGTCAGGGCATGGACTCTACAAGATGTCAAGCGTTCCACAGGGATGCTGGCCCATGTTGACTCTAATGCTTCCCACAGTTGTGTCAAATTGGCTGGATGTCCTTTGGGTGGTGGACCATTCTTGATACACACAGGAAATTGTTGGGTGTGAAAAACCCAGCAGCGTTTCAGTTGACACAAACCGGTGCCCTGTTCAAAGGTACTTAAATCTTTTGTTTTTCCCATTCACCCTCTGAATGGCACACACACACAATCCATGTCTCAATTGTCTCAAGGCTTAAAACTCCTTCTTTAACCTGTCTCTTCCCCTTCACCTACACTGATTGAAGTCAATTTAACAAGTGACATCAATAAGGGATCATAACTTTCACCTGGTCAGTCTGTCATGGAAAGAGCAGGTGTTCTTAATGTTTTTTATACTCTGTATATACTGTATGGCACCCACATAAAAACAAATTACTTGTGGAGAATGACAAGCTAAATGCTGTATGATATGACTACTTCAGGTTGAGCAGTTTTTTAAACGGACGAAGTATGTATTTCAGTAGGAAAGTACAACTCTGAAATGGTTCTAGATTTTGCATAGAATCTGCATGTCCATGACTTGTCATGAACTGTGTTAGTGCAGTATTTCAAATCCAAATGTTTTCAATCTCAAACCTTTTGTCTTAAAAATGTCTCTGTTTCTCACTTATTATGAGGAAGAGGTGGTGAGAAATCCAGAATTGATCTCCCCTGTCGTCTAGACAGTCTAGAATTCACACACCTACATCAATGTGTAACTGGGGGCTTTTCTTCTTCCCTGTTCCACTGACTATCAGTGCCTGGAGGGAATTGACATGCGGCGGCTTCACACAGGGACTGTAACCTTGAGCCCCCTGTGCATTAGTCGTATGAGTTAGTGGCAATACCGTAGCTTTCACACTCGGCGGATGAAGGAGATGAAATGCCCCAGCCTTTTCCTCAGTTGCTAACAAGGTTGTGATTCAACCTTTTGGAGGAATCAATAATGAGGCCCATTGGTGCCAAGTCCAGGAGCCAGAGATTTTACACTTCAAAGACCCAATTTAAGTGGTGGGCAGCCTGGCTGCTGAGAGCGAGGCTGAGGTGACTGTTCCAAGAGTGAAGAAGAAATAAATACGTTTTTACGTCACTGCTCACTAGTGCTCACTATTCAGCTTGACATGGTCGAGGTATTATGACAATCATAGAAACAGAATATAAGTAGGCCTATATGGGTCATTGTAACTAGCGGTTGATTAGTTTATGACAATCATAGAAACAGAATCTAAGTTGGTCTATGTGGATCATTGTAACTAGCGGTTGATTAGTTATGTGATTAAAATATGCTCTAAATCTGAGACCTCGCCGTATTCTTTTTAATTGACCAGACTTGGAAGCTTGTTTCGACCCAAGAATCATAGATTGTGAAGATAAAGTGGTCTTTTAGTTCTAGATTGAGAGCGTTGCCTTTTCCGCTGTTGTCCCTATTTAATTACCACAGACCTGGCCTGATTACAGGCACTGGGTACCTGCATGAATATAAATCAGTAGAGAGCTAGCTAGGGAATAAGGGAGATATATGCCACAATGCTGTTCAATTTCCTAGACACAGATGTGGTTCAATGAATAATACTTCTCCAAAATGGTTGTTCAGTAAAGCAAGAATTAAATGGTTGGTGACAGAGGATCCTGCACCAGTATTTGAAATTCTATGTTGTATTTCACAGAGTCAAGTCAACTCAGACCTCGCCTATCAGGGTAAAGTCTGAATAGGGTTCAGTGAAACCTGACCAGGTGAAGAGCCAATTTGGCCGCCTAATCTCTGGGATTAACTAACAGGCCTGTGATAATGAGATCACCTCAAATAGTATCAGAATCTCACTGTGTCCTGCTGCCGGGCTGCCATGAGTTACATGGCTCTTAGTAAGAAAAACAACTATGAAAATCTATACACTCACTACTGTAAATCCATCTGGATAAGAGCATCTGCTAAATGGTTAAAAGATTTGTAAAAAATATATACTGTGTGTGTATGTATGTGTGTGTATGTATGTATGTGTGTGTATGTATATATATATATATATATATATATATATATATATATATATATGTGTGTATATATACACACAGCTGTGGAATAAATTAAGAGACCACTGCACATTTTTCTTAAATCAGCATCTCTACATGTATGACAGCCATTCCATTCCAGTGTCTGTTGAATTCCAACACAGGCACACCTCATTCTACTGAATTAGGTACTGATTAGGTGATCACATGAACCAAATCTTATTTAACGAGGAAAAGTATAAAAACCACTGCTGTGTTCATGACTATCCTCTTGCAATAGGACCAGCTGGATGGCAAAAACAGTGCTAATAGTACCTCAAAAGTAATATTAATCAAAAAATAATGACCATGCCAAAAGAGTTGAAAAGGAAAGTTTTGAGTGAGGAAAATAAGGGTTCAATTCTGGCTTTACTGGCAGAGGGATACAGTGAGCGTATCCCTCTGCTTCCATCCTTAAAATTTCAATGACGGCGGTTCATAAGAACAAGGTCAAGCAGCAGACATTGGGGACAACAAAGCTACAGACCGGCAGAGGGCGAAAACGACTCTCTACTGACCGGGATGACTGCCAACTCATTCGAATGTCACTCAACAACCGTAGGATGACATCAAGTGACCTACAAAAAGAATGGCAAACAGCAGCTGGGGTGAAGTGCATGGCGAGGATGGTTCGAAACAGGCTCCTAGGGGCACGGCTGAAGTCATGCAAAGCAAGAAAAAAGCCCTTCATCAATGAGAAGCAAAGAAAAGCCAGGCTGAGGTTTGCAAAAGACCATAAGGATTGTACCGTAGAGGACTGGAGTAAGGTCATCTTCTCTGATGAGTCCAATTTTCAGCTTTGCCCAACACATGGTCATCTAATGGTTAGACGGACACCTGGAGAGGCCTACAAGCCACAGTGTCTCGCACCCACTGTGAAATTTGGTGGAGGATCGGTGATGATCTGGGGGTGCTTCAGCAAGGCTGGAATCGGGCAGATTTGTATTTGGGAAGGACGCATGAATCAAGCCACGTACAAAGTTGTCCTGGAAGAAAACCTGCTTCCTTTTGCTTGGACATTGTTCCCCAACTCTGAGCCATCAAACAAAGCCGAGCTGCTTGAATTTTTGCGCCAGGAGTGGCATAAAGTCACCCAACATCAATGTGAAAGACTGGTGGAGAGCATGCCAAGACGCATGAAAGCTGTGATTGAAAATCAGGGTTATTCCACCAAATTTCTGAAGTTAAAACATTACTATTGTGTTTAAAAAAAATTAATATTAACTTATTTTCTTTGCATTATTCGAGGTCTGACAACACTGCATCTTTTTTGTTATTTTGACCAGTTGTCATTTTCTGCAAATAAAAATCTTTATTTGGAATTTGGGAGAAATGTTGTCAGTAGTTTATAGAATAAAACAATTATTTTTACACAAACACATACAGTGGGGAGAACAAGTATTTGATACACTGCCAATTTTGCAGGTTTTCCTACTTACAAAGCATTTAGAGGTCTGTATTTTTATCATAGGTAAACATCAACTGTGAGAGACGGAATCTAAAACAAAAATCCAGAAAATCACATTATATGATTTTTAAGTAATTAATTTGCATTTTATTTCATTTTACTTTCCTTCTTAATGCGTTCTTAATGCAAGGTGGGGGGGGGGGGTATACAGAAGATATATACAGTTGAAGTCGGAAGTTTACATACACCTTAGCCAAATACATTTAAACTCAGTATTTCACAATTCCTGACATTGAATCCTAGTAGAAATTCCCTGTCTTAGGTCAGTTAGGATCACCACTTCATTTTAAGAATGTGAAATGTCAGAATAATAGTAGAGAGTGATTTATTTCAGCTTTTATTTCTTTCATCACATTCCCAGTGGGTCAGAAGTTTACACACACTCAATTAGTATTTGG